AAAAAAAGCTTTTGGCGGGGAAGTTTGGTATTTCAACTTGATCAGCAAATAATCTTACGGGGTCGTTCACTTATGACGTCCATCAAAAAACCTGATTTTAAGACCCCCTCCCCCCCCCCCCTCTGTCAGAAAAATTCTAAAGAGAAAAATGTCCATTCTTTGAACTGTCACAAAATCCTAGATGATTTTAACTGGTCTAGCAATCTAGTGCGATTTTTTGAGACAATATTATTGGAGATTGAAAAGTTACGTTCAGCTCTTGTAGATTAATTAATATTATAATTTTTTTCTTTAAATTGTAGTTTTTTTCATGGAAAATACAAAATAAAAAAAAACTAATTTGAATTATCGGTTTTTTTTTTTTGGTATGAAAACGGGAATTTCGGGAATATTCCCGATTTTAGAACCCCTATGATAAGACATCTTCAAGACAATAAGAAATCGTCAAGACAATTCTTCTGTAGTTTGTCAGTTAAAAAAGTCTATATAAATCCAATTCGTATCAAATATTTATACTATGTGCTTACTTGTGTGTGAACGATGAGTAATTGTTCAAATGTGAAGAAAATAACACAACATATGAAATGTTTTATGATGGCTATAAGTGCTGATCCTTAAAGAACCTAAAATATATGGCAATTTTAAAAACGAATTAGTAAAATAAAAATAAATTTAATTCTTAATTAAGATTTGCTGTTTAAATTAAAGTTTCATGATATCAAATTCACTTTCTCTGTTGGAAATTAGTCAGAAAAACTTTCAAAAAGGCTCACGTAAAGCCTACGTTACGTAAAATGATTAAGTAAAATCACATAACATTAAGTACTATGTTCCGTTCGCTCTTTCTCGATGTAAGTTAAAGATGGAAGTCGATGGACAGGTAAGAGAGAAGCTGATGCAAGATGAAGGAGGGATTAAACTGAGAAAGCAAATTTTTTGATGGTTCTTCTTTCATAGTTAATCATATCAAGTTTAATTTCAACCAAGGAAATGAATCAATCGTGTTTTCATTCCATTACTGCTCACATTTCAGGCTTTGAATCAGAACAGTCCGAGATAGAGGCAAAAACGTTCTTTACCACACACCTGAGCATGAAAAAGAACCACAATTTAGGGTTAGGGTTAGACGCTTTTAATTAAGCTTCTATTGATTACAACCCAAATCATCAGAGGCTCATTTTTCACATTAAACTACACGATACGTCATTGGACCTGATGTAAGTCTAATGCTGTGTGTGAGAACAGGCATCTAGACAAAAAATTGCAAGTCTCATTTACGAGCAAGCAATCAATGTCCTTGATGCCACTCTACATCAAGGATGAACCAATCAATAGCCACGATAGTAAGTCTCACAGGCAGAAACACGTGACTCATAGGCTCGATTTACAAAAAAAAGAAAAAAGAACAGAAAAACTTTTTAAAAAAAGGGTCAAAAGACTTTGCTACCTCAAGTTTTACCCCTCCTCATCTTGCATCGACCCCCCTCTGACCTATTCAACGACTCCCACTCTTAATTTACATCAACAAAGGCTGACGAAATGTAAAACTCAATGCAATGCGTTTTTAAGTAATCATTTCACGTATTGCAAGCATTACGTACGCAATTGTAGAAAGTCAAATGGCTGGTTTCATTAAAGAAAAGGAATTTGAGGACTATTTATTAGTATACTTAGCTTTTTCTTCGTTGTCACTAGCCTCTTGCTTCTTTAATTGTGTCCTGGTTCCTTCAAGCTTCATCAATCTCACTTTCACTTCAATTTTACAGCTTCTTGAATTTAATTTTCTTAACTTTCAATGTTCACTCAGAAAATTTTTCATTTTTTTCTTCACTTTTAATTTTTTCATCACTTTTGGCTTATTTTCACTGATGTTTCCATTTTAGCACTTCACTATCACTTTTATCTTGAACTCCACTTCTTTTTAAGCATTAATAATGTCAAGTTCCAATTTATTTGATTGTCAAATTGATTCTTTTGACAATAATTTCCGTTTGAAATTCAATTCTTTTTGGTTTTAGAACAATTCTTAAAGTACGATTTTAACTGGTCTAGCAATCTACTGCGATTTTTGAGACAATATTATTGGAGATTGAAAAGTTACGTTCAGCTCTTGTAGATGTTGGTGGATTCCAGAAATATTAATTTCAAGCACGTTTTTTTTATTTTGGAAAAATTACTTTAATCCAATGTCAATTAAGTTTATTATTTTATGGACATCATACATTTAAAAAATATTTTTAAATACTTTTCTCTTCGTTTTTCATAAATATATGTTTTTGATTTAAAAAACATCAAATTTGGTGTCCATCAAGTAGAACGGTTAGGCTAGATAAAAATATTTCGTTTATTTTATTTGATTAAGAAACATTTGCACAAATTACTGACCAAGTTTGAACAATTTTCGTTAAGCCTTGTCAGATTTACAGTCGAAAGTGTTAAAAGTAAAAAATCGGCCCTAGCTCCGTTTTCAGATGCTCATATCTCAGAACTGGCAACTTCACAAAATTTAAAAGAGTTATTTTTCTGCTTTCACAAAATAGCACAAAAAACCCATATATGATCCATCACTCAATTCGTTAGGTCACCGTTCTACTTGATGGACACTCAAATTTGAGTTTAATATTTCAACTCTTAAATTCCTTAACGTATGTTTTCATTATTATAATTTTATAATTTTTTTCTTTAAATTGTAGTTTTTTTCATGGAAAATACAAAATAAAAAAAAAACTAATTTGAATTGTCGGTTTTTTTTGGTATGAAAACGGGAATTCCCGGGAATATTCCCGATTTTAGAACCCCTATTCTGATCAGATATATTAATAACTTCTAAACAGACAAAACGTAAGACCTATGCAACCTTGATCCAACAGAACTAGCTACATTTCTTATATGTATATCCATCACAAATTGAGTATTATATGCAGTAATGAAGATACAAATTAAAAAATCGTAAAAGCACTTTTCCATCTCTTCATCTTCTATTTGAAAGGAAATTCATTAAGCTTCTGGTAATTCTATCATGCGCGCGAGATTTCATTTCAATTTACACATTCTTTTATACAGACGATGATAATTTTTCTATCATTTTCCTCGATGCTACCCAAAAAATAAAATTATTGCTATCCATGATTTTTTAATACGAGTGTGTGACTTCTTGGTGGGCAATTTGGAAAAGAATCATCTCCTATTCATTACAGTCGATGGATGAACAGAAAAAAGATATATCTGATGCAATATAAAGTAGTAAATAATAGATTTTACTTTTTTGACGGATATTCCATTTATGGCTGAGACAAATAAACACACAATCTGCTTTTAAATAACAACAAAATTATGACGAATGACGAGTTTAGCCGTGAGGATGGACACAAATGAAATTTACATAAAAGAAATTCATCATCAAACATCAGCGATATGAATTGAAATTGATTCATTCATGATAGAGGTGTTAAAATGGTGAATAATTGCCGGTAGCACAATAGATCGCTATTCATTAATCTGCTGGATATTATAGTCGCTCATTGTAAAATTATTTAAAATGAGGTGTCAATGATTTTTTTGGCATGTCTGTTTTTTTGTTTGTTGGAAACACTTTTAAATTCGAGAAAGTTGTTCGACTTTTCAGAAGATGTAAATCAAGTTTCAAGGAAATCTAGCCCTAACAACTAGAAAATTTGAATGTTTAAATTTTAATCAATTTTAATCAATCAAAAAGCATTGACATAGCTTAATTCATATATACAGGCTTAGGTTGACTTACATTATATATTTTGATTGCACCTGAATACAGCTTTATAGCTCTGGTTAATTACAGTGATTAAAACATTGTAATCGTTATCTAAATCATATTTTTAATTCAGAGATCAATACCTTAGACATTGATTGTTCAAATTCTACAAATATTCAAGAATTTATAACTTAAAAGTTCTTACTTACATCTATTTCTGTCGATTCTCCCTACATCATCTTCAAATTGTCTCAGCAACACATTCAATCTTCATAACATGACGGGTACTCTCACTTTATACTTTATACTTTCATAAAAAGAAGATTGAAAAATTCCCATGAGAATTGAATTTCACTCTTTAAAAAAAAGACAAGGGTTGCTGAAAAAAATCTATAAGTTAAAATAATCTTAACGCGAAAAACTTAAACTTCATGATTCCCTTTTTAACATATTTAATCTAATTTAATTTCCACCAAAGCACATAATAGCACATAAAAATCGGTACATTATTCGATGAAAGGTGGATGTATTCATTAGTTTTGGCTTTGAGTCCCAGCAGCATTAGCATGAGATGCTATATTATTAAATAAGTATTCCCATCACTTACAGACATAAAATGCTCATAAAATACTGTACAGATAGCGAAAGGAGGTGAATAAAGTAAAGAAAATTATTACACAAATTAAAATTAATAATGCCTGTTACTGTATACAGACTTGCTTGAATATCGCTCTGCAGCCATTTTCATTCGAAATGAACGAAATAAAATGAGGGTAAAGAAAGTGATAATAGAGAAGTTTGCTGTATTGATTGGAATGAGGCTGGAGCGCATTTATGTTTGTGGTGGACTAATGCTAGATATGCTTGGTGCTTATCATAGAATTTTCTTCCTGGAACAACCAAAAAATCAGTTTCAAGCACAATTTAAATCCTGATATTACTAAGATTTATCACATCCAATAGCCACACAGACAAAGTTCATCCGTATCTACTTAGCTAGTCCAAAAAACTGTTTGAAAAAGGTAGAAAAGGAAAATTTAATCAAGGATTCTTTACATTCTCTCGTGGGTTAAATGTATTTGTGTGTGTAGATTGAGATTATCAAGCTATCATTTGCCTTCATCACGTTCATTTTGTAAAGAAAATTTGATCCATAAATTATTCATGAAATGTCCGTTGGGTTTTGTTTCTTTTGCATTTGGAATGAATTTGGAACTTATAGCTCCTTTTATTTTCTTTGAAATTCTTCTTGTTCACAGTTTAGACTTAAAAATTATTTAACTTTTTCATAGACTTGATATTGATATTTAATTCCATTTTCTTCCTGAATATCGTCTGGAATGTCTGGATCATTTGGAATGCGCTTAAAACTATCAGTCAGTTCAGGAAAGAAGGCATCACATTCAAATTCAGCCATAACTCTTGTTAAGTAGATTCGATGACACATTGGAGATTCCATGGCTTCTTTATATACTGAATATCCACCGACAATCCATACATTTTCAATTTGAGAATCCAGATCTGGACTTTGGATCTTTTCGAGGGCTTCATTTAAGCTTTTAGCGACAACTACACTTGATGGGAATTCATAATCATCAGGTTTTGTTGTCAAAACTACATTAATTCTTTCTGGAAGTGGACGTTTGCTTTCTGGAACTCCAAAGTATGTCTTCCGTCCCATAATCACAACATTCTTTTTGGATGTGTCACTGATCTTCTTTGTAGTCTTCGAAAAATACTTTAATTCATTCCTAAAGTTATTGAACTCTGTTAAATATCGTTAAAGTAAGTTATTGCCATTCTACTTACTTGAGAAACCACGGCAAATCACCTTTATATCCAATGCCCATATTTTCACAAGCTGCAGCAATTAAATTCAATTTTAAACTTTTCATTTTTGATGATACGTTGCTATCTATAGCTTCCGATTGAATGAGATTATTATGCTGGCACTAAAGCTAATTGAACCTAGCAATTTAAAGTGCTTGATAAGGTGCAATTAACAAAGAAAATGATAAAAACTAATAAATTAATGGCGAAATAAAAAAATGTAAACAGATGCAAAACTTTATTTTATTGCTTCAATTTTCGCTTCAATAGGAATCGGTTTGAATTTTTTAAAAGCGTTGGTTGGTGTGACTGATCACTACAGGTATATCAAAGAATTATCCGTCTAACACGTGTGGTCAGATGCAGTCTCATTTTCAAACCTCAATCTTTGACCTGTCATGATGTAATCTTTGTCAATTTTATAAACAACTCAAATTGCCTCTGGCAAGCTAGAACAGTTCACACTCAGAACTTGAACAACAACGAGAGTTGTTTAAATGATGAACAATTTCGTAGAAAGCATCAAATTGTAGAAAGAGTTGAATTACTGATTATCTTACGAAGAAAATACGAATTAATGATTTTTGTTCAAAACTTAATGATGAATTATATTCACGGAGTTCCAATCAAGATTACTGTATATGATTGAATAAAGAATTCATCTGAAATGCAGACGATTAAGTCTCGTCGTATCAGAATAAGCTTAAATTGAACTTTACGAATTGAATTGAATATTTTAGAAGTGTAATTATGTCTTGGATGGACACCTTTTGAATAAGTTGCATATTTTTTAATTCACAGAAAAAAACATAATTAATTACACTGGAACAATAATCTATATTGATTAAACCAATAAATTTGACATTTTAAATTTTTTTTATACAAATGATTTTGCTGCAGCAATAAATGACCAAGATCGGCTCAACATAAAACTGAATGTCACAAATGAAGCTTCAAAAAAAGGAGTTGTAAGTCTCAATTTCTTTTGAGCTATCATGATGATCATTAGTTGATGTTTATCGATATTCCCGAGCGACACAATTTGACGATGACGATCAAATGATCGTCATATGAGCGTCTTCGTCATGACGATGATGATTTTACGACGATTTTTTTTTCTAAAATATTATGACGATCATATGACGATCATATGACGATCATATGACGATCAAATGAAAGTCATGAATGGCGATAATTTTTGATTTTCTTCCAATTTCGATTGTATTTTTTGCTTAAACTTTTTTCTTTGAACTGTTTTTGCACTGTAAAAACTGATAATTATTTTCTGAATGGAATTTCGATGATTGAACAAAATTTTTTGAATTACTGAATTATTTTTTTGAGATTTTGTAAATGAGCTTTCATTCAATGTATGCTCACTGATTTCTAACGAATTTTGAATGCAAAAATAGATATGCTTATCATCAAAATGATCTTCAAAATGATTGCAAAATTTGACATAAAATTATCAATGGTAATCAAAGTTACCATTTTTTAAATTCACACCGTTTTCACGTGTGAATCTATTGGTTTTGTTCAGATTGAAAAATAAGTTTTTAGAATTTTGTGAGGATATGGAGCAAGATAGCTTAAAATGTTCAGACATGAACAGTTTGTGCCTGGAATTTTACATCACCTTCAAAAAACACATTTCAAATTGGTTGTGGCATTGCTGAGAAAATCGCAAAATACGCTTTCTGTAAGCAAGCAAACAAGCAAACAAGCAAACAAGAAAGAAATCTCAATAACGAGACATCGTAGAGACTTCTAGTTTTTTACATTTGATCCGTGCTGCTCTATACAAGAGCTGTATTGTTTTTAGGCAAGGTAGGAACAGCCGTTGCTTCAGAAAAACAAAAAACTTTCCTTTCTTATGAATTTTTCAAAACAAAAGTTCACTGTGATTTTTATAATATATAGTATACGAATGTTTGGGATATTCGTCAAACTTTATACCTTCAAACTTATACTAAGCGAAGCTCAGCTGACTCGATAGCTTTATAACTTCAAACTTATGCTGAGCGAAGTTGACTTATCAAGCTTCATACATTCATACTTATGATGGGCAAATCTTGGTCTATCCATAAGACTTTGATAGTACGGTTTAAATATAATCCGCATTGGGTTTCTACCCGATACACTAGTTTGGGTGAAAATTTTGTTTTCTTCATTTGTGTTCGAGAAGTTGAAGTGAGAAGAAGGAAAATTATATTCAATCCTTTTTAAAAGTTTTTAAGCTGATTTACCTGGAACTTACAGCTCAGCGGAAGATGCTTCAACAGCCGTCAAAATTTATTTAAATCGACGAAGAGAAAATCAAGCTAAGCAATTGAAGTTGACTAATCAAAACCGATTTAACGACGAGGAAAATCAAGAAAATGAGTGAAAAAATCAAGAATATCAATAGTCTATCATTATTAATCCATCATTATTATCAAGCCATTGTTATTATCATTAATCCTAAATCATTATATTATTATGTTGTATGTTAAATGTAATGGCCTATGTTTATAATTTAAAATATATATAATTAAGAGTTATTCTACACAAATTAACACGTTTTTCGTTAAATTTTAAAAAATTATTTCAGTCAAAATTCAGCATATATATCACGGTTTATGCTCGTCGTCTCGCCATAGTAATTTTGTCATTTGATCGTCATATGATCATCAATTGACGTTTTCATTTGATCGTCGAGTGACGAATTTTTCGTCAAATGACCATCATATGGGGTCATAAATCGAATCGAGACGATGTCGTGATGACGTCTTATCATCATATGACGATCATATGATCGTCATTCATGACGTCTTTATGACGATGACGGCTGTCATATGACAATCATATGACCGTCATATGACGCTTGTGTGCCGCTCGGGATTATATGCTTCAGTAACAATTGATGTAGAAGAGTCCATGATTTTTTGACTTCCATATGAAATAATTGCGAAATAAATCAAAGCTGCAACGCCATGCATAAGTGGGATTAAATTTTTCAATAAACTATCAGCAGTTATAACACTAAGTCCTAATACAACAAAAAGTGCTGTTCCACAGAAATATAATGTAAAAATCATTGGCTTGTAGATTGAATTGAGGCTATTTGTCATGTCCATTAATTTTAAGTGATGCAAGACGAATTCATCAATTTTCATGTTGTTCATTGAGCCTCTAAGGATCTCAAAATGTCCACTCATGGTGAAACATAAATGTCCATAAATCAAACCCATCGCGATCTGTTGACAAAAGACATATATTTATGGATTGACAAAAATTGTGTCACTAGCTTTTTACGGACCAACTTTGTATGCACTCCTCTGCAAAGAATCAGTTAAGTATTTAAATACTTACAATATAAGCACAGACTAATATTATTCCGTAAATTTGATGCAGATAAGTCAACTCATATGCTGGCGATTGTGTAACGTCATAAAAGAATTTAGCCGTTAGTGGGATGTCACGAGTAGGCTCAATGCCATAGAAGAAATAATAAACAAAGTCATTAGTTATAGGCATCAAGATATAAAATGTTGGAGTTACAGTACATCCCAATTTTATTGGAAACATAATTTTTATTGCCAGTGTTTTGGCATTCGACAGTATTTCCTTGGCATTTGGAAGGTCTTTGTCTAAGTTAAAATTAAGATCAATTTTTAACATCTGAAAAAATCTCAACTTTCTCACATTTTTCATTGAGTTCCTCAACTTCGTCTATAAAGCTGAAAATCTCTTCAGATCGTTTACAATAAACTATATACCAAATCAGCATAATGAATGCTGTAGAACTTGTTGACATGCTTTCAGCTATTTTAACGATGTCATTTGTAGAGAAAATATAAAAAGCCGATGTAATAACGGCGTTAAACCAATAAATATAATTCCATATCTTTAGCAGTTTGAAAACATATTTCATGCGTTTTGATGGATATCTTTCGATTCCACAATATTTCAGAATTTTCTTTTCTACTTGCAATATTTTCATAGTAAGTAAACCTTTTGCTAAGAGCTGTGGATTAAAACTAAGTTTTAAATAAAATCTTTTCTAATATCTAGTGACTCAATTACAAAAGGCTAGATCAAATTACCAAAACACATTCGCACGATTAAATAAGTCATCTTCATTCATTTTAATTGGTTACGTTGAACTTTTTAAGTCAGAATAGATATTGAATATTGTTTAATTAAATCATGTGGTTTTTAAGGCTAAGATTTTGGGTCTGTCTGCTGAATCTTGTTCCTGCTCATTTGTTACCTTCAGAACTGAGAAGCAAGAGTCTAAAATTTCAGCATTATTAAAATTATGAAGTTGTTTCTGGTGCCATCTATTGATCGCCAAAAAAATACTGTCCTATCATAATCAACTAATGTTCACCCACTCATACACATACATTAAAAACTTTAATCAAACTAATTACACTACAATTAAACAAGAATATTATCTGTGAGTAATTTAAAATAAAAAATCGTGGTCATTTTCCCATCAAATGAACGGCTAAGCATTTAAATTAATGGTTTTTTATTCATTGATGGTTAGTTCTTCGGGAGATTTTCAGTCAGCAACACCAAAAGAGAAGAAAAGTGCATAAAAATGGCTGGTTTTGGATTTTTAATGAAATATAGTTTCAAGACTATTGCAATTATTTCCGTTGTGATTATTGTTCTAGCTTCTGTTGTTGGATTTTATTTAGCACCGATGTTAATTGATATGAATTTAAAGGTTGATTTGGAAAAATTAATTTTTATTGAATTGAAACTTATCATTGCTTAACAATTACATTCAGGGTTTAAATCTAAAACCGGGAAGTGATATGCGAAAACTGTGGGAAAAGACACCATTTCCATTAACCTTCATGGTTTACATATTTAATATCACAAATCCGATGGAAGTTGTTCAAGGCAAAAAGGTAAATGTGAATTTTTTCTTTGATTGCCCAAATTCTTTAAAACTTAATGCTTCATTCGGTTTAAAGGTAAAACTAGCAATTTTTCGACTCAGTTAAAATTGAAGGTATGAATCCTATTCAGTGTTGCAAATGTAGATGTCTACACTAGATGAAGAATGTAGATTCTTCAATAGTTTTTGTCTAACTAAGCTTTCTTCATAAAGATCGATTCTATATGAAGATAGAAAATCTAATCTACACAAAGATAATTTCTACATAAAGATTCTGTCTACATAAAGATTCGATGTAGATGTCTACAATTCTACATTTTTTCCAGGTCTAAATCAGAGAAGAATGTAGAATTGTAGACATCTACATCGAATCTTTATGTAGACAGATTCTTTATGTAGAAATAATCTTTGTGTAGATTAGATTTTCTATCTTCATGTAGAATCGATCTTTATGAAGAAATTTCTGTCTCAGAATTTATCTGATCCAGACAACTGTGCCAGAATGCAACACTGATCCTATTTTTATACCCATGAAAATTTGAATTTCTTAGTACCAGAGATCATTTAAGCATATATTCTACTCGGGGGATACAAAACAATTACATAACATTAAAAGTTTTAATGAAGTGATCGAAGCTGATCGGCTTAGCATTAATAAAAAGAAATTTTGAGCTCATTATAAGTACCAACCAAAAAAATATGACACCGCATATTGTATGTAAAGTTCAGTTTTAAAACTTAATATGGATGTTAAATGAGTTTTAACTACCAAAAAAATCTGATTTGATTCCTGCAAAATATTTTCTGACTATAGATAAAATAAAAAGTAATCGCTGTGAAATTTAAAGCAATTTGATATCAGATGTTATCGTAGCTTCCAACATTTGAGTCTCTTGTTTCCTACAAATTTGCCGTGTTCACAATAGGAAATGAAAGATTTAGTCCAAATCATTAATATTATTTTTCTTTCATTAGCCTCGACTTCAACAAATCGGTCCTTATGTGTTCAAGTAAGTTGGTTATAATAAATTAAATTCATAATGCTTCCAATGAATATTTCATCCAACTGAACTCAACTAATTAAATTACAAAGAATATCAATTACCGTATTAATTACAATTCCTTTTAATTATTTAAAGTGAATGGAAGAGCAAGAATGTCATAAGTGATGACGATAATGAGGATTCAGTGACCTTCGACTTAATCAATACCTACACATTCCGACCTGATCTAACTCATGGATTGACTGGAGATGAGGTTGTGACAGTTCCTCATATGATGTTGATGGTAAGATATCAAAGAGTTCTGGTTTGCAGATGATTATAAGCTTTGGGGCTGTTCACTTATTACGTAACGCGAAAAAATGACTTCTTAGACCCCCCCCCCCTCGTAACAAAATTTGTATGAAAAAAAAATTTCCTTGTTTGAACCGTAACAAAATCTTAGACCCCCCTCCCCCTAAAAGCGTTACGTAATAAGTGAATGGCCCCTTTACAATATCTCCTAGACACTCATAGACATTTCAGATAAATAAAACTAAAGCTACTGACATTAAAAACCCCAAAAACTCTTTTAATCCTAGGGAGGTCTAATAGCTGCACAACGCGATAGACCTGGACTTTTAGGCATTGTCATTCAAGCATTCCAACAAATCTTTGAACCAGAAGGTACGCCATTCCTTACAACAAAAGTCATGGATCTTCTTTTTAATGGTGTTGGAGTTGACTGCAATCGTGAAGATCTAGAAGCAAGTATTGTGTGTCCTCAAATAGCCAACGAGAAGAACATCAAAAAAATTAATGACACATACTTTACGATTTCATTGTTTGGAGAAGTAAGTTAAGCATGAATTTAAACTTAATTAATAATTCACAGTTTGACATTAAACTTTTTATAATTTGTATAGTCAAACGGCACAAGCTTGGGTAAATATAAAGTATATCGTGGAGTTAAGGATGTCACAAAAGTTGGACAAGTCATAACATTTGAAGATAGTGAAGTATCGAAGGTATTTAAAGGAGATTGTGGAAAAATCAATGGAACTGATGGAACGATGTAAGTCATTATTTTTGAATTTATTATGTCATGTTCAAAGTCAGTCGTTCCTACTTCCACTCCACACAAACTTTTCTCAATGATTTCTATTTTAATCCTGAATATTCAGTTTTGCGCCTTTCCACAAGAAAAAGGATACTTTTTACTCATTTTCACCAGTTTTCTGTCGATCAATTGGACCAGTCTATAAAAATGAAGCATCATATAATAGTGTGCCTACATCAGTGTACAATATTCAATTTGGTGATTTCAAGGTAAATTCTATTAAATTAAAATCGATTCCATAAATCAAAATTTATGGATTTAAACACCAGACAATGATAATTAGTCAAAAATAATTGATGGATGAGCTGATTTGAATTTCAGATTATCAATTTTCATTGTTAAATAAATATTTCGGGGAAGCATTAAAAATTGTATTCTAACCTGAATTTTGAAGTATTTAAAGACTAACACTAATCACTTATTACTAATCTGTGCTTGATCATACAAAAGCTCAGAACTGGATTTTTGTGAATTAGTAATCATATAAATCTATTATTGCAGAGCAATCCATCACAGCATTGCTTCTGTCGAGATGGAGATCCTGAGAAATGTCCACCAAAAGGAACTATTGATAAGTAAAAGAATTCAAACTTTAAAATTGAATTGATTCAATCTTTATGCTTTTAATGTTCCAGCTATGCATGCATGGGTGTTCCGATGATAATGTCTAAGCCTCATTTTCTTGATGCTGACAGAAACTTACTTAAAGCTGTCGATGGATTGAAACCTAGCAAGAAGCTACATGATAATTATTTGCAGTTTGAAATGGTAAGAATTATTTAATTTTAAGGAATCAATATTTTATTGCCATTAAATTCTTAGCAATCAGGATCACCAGTATCCGTCAAAAATCGAATACAGTTTGCATTGCAAATTGAGAAGATTGAAGATTTTGATCTAATGGCTAACATGGAACCTGCTATAGTTCCTATATTCTGGATTGAAGAATCATTGGATTTACCAGCAAAAATAACGAACGTCATGCGTTATGGAATATATTTGTAAGCATAATCAGCAGTTTATTGCTTTAAAAAATGCTTAATTGATCTATAATTGCAGATTCCAAACAATAATTTCAATCATAAAATATTCGGGAATAATTATTGGACTTATTGGAATATTTTTTGCCGCATATCGAAGCTTTGATAAATCAGCTGGTACAAAAGTAAATGTACCAATCCCGGTAATTGAAAATCCACTTTCAGGAGTGAATCTCCAGTCAAGAGCTAGTGCACAAAAGTACTAAAGTGTCATTTAATTTTAAAGAATTGTTGTAATTTACACGTATAATGATAGCTTGACGTAAGCTATAAAAATAAATCAAACCCAACGATTGGAACTTAAACATGTAATTTTTTTCTGCATAAATGATTGAAACTATCGTTGGATTAAGTAAAGCACTTGTTGGCATTTTATGTAATGAATAAGTAAATCATGAACTTCTGCTTTAGTTTTATTTGTGTTTGAGAATTCAAGCTATGGTTGATAATAATTTTTGTAAAGTCTCACTAGTTTTTGAATTTGATTTAATCAGCTGTTTAGCTATGATTCTTAAAAATCCTGGAGTTATAATCTAAAACAAGTGAAAACTAGTGAAATTTCGCTGACAGTCCAAAAAGATTAAAAGTTTAAAATAAAAAAGTTATTGTGCCTCGAAAAAATCGATTTTATAGATTGTCTTCAAAAAGTTTATTATAAGTTTATGAATAAAATTTTAAAAATTAATCAAGGACAAAGTCACTTGGAGGTAACAATATTTATTTAAATGAATTTCAATTGTTGACTCTTAGTTTGATTTCTATCCTTCAACAAGTGACATCAAATAGAATTGAGTATGGCAAGGATAAGAATTAATTGTGATTTTAAATCTATTGGAATTATTTCAGTAGTAAGCATAATAGTGTCATCAGTTTTTGGATATTTAGTGACACCAATGCTGATTGGGGTTCAAATTAAGGTAGCATACAAGAAGTCTTAGAGTTATGTTCAATCAAAATGTTAATAATATTCTATAAAGTCTATGAACTTAATGCCAGAAAATCCTAGACGTTGGATGTGGGAGAAAACTCCGTTTCCAGTGACTTTCAAAGCTTATTTATTCAATATAACAAATCCATTAGAATTTATCGAAGGAAAGAAGGTACAGCATTTTCCAGGACTTCTTTAAATTGCTAATAAATCATTTATTACAGCCAAATTTACAGGAAATCGGACCATTTGTTTTTGAGTAAGTGAACATACTTGCCTTCCTCTATAGCATATTATTTTATCCTAAAGACCTTTTAAATTTATCTTAGTGAATGGAAGTCCAAGAACATTTTAAGTGAAGACAACGACGAAGATTCAGTCACATTTGATATGATGAACACGTTTCATTTTAGAGCAGACTTAAGTCAAGGATTGACTGGAGATGAAATGGTTACGATTCCTCACTTACTGCTTATGGTAAGTGAAACTGATGACTTTCCAAGAAATTGTTAAAAATAAAGTTTGATCAAATTTGAATGCGAAACATTCTAAAGAACTGAATTTTGTTATTTCTTCATAATTCCTTTACATATCTTAGGGAGGACTTATTTCTACACAACGAGATAAACCTGCTTTACTTGATATAGCCATTGATGGATTTAAACAAATTTTTCAACTTGAAGACAGTCCACTTCTCACTGCAAAAGCAATGGATTTATTGTTCAATGGCGTTGGAGTTGATTGTGATAGAGAAGAAGCTGAGGCTGGAATTATATGCACGATGGTAGGTTCAAAGCGTGGAGTCAAGCAACTAAATGATACGTTTTTTGCTGTGTCACTTCTTGGAGGTGTAAGTACCTTAATAATTTATCAATATTTTCATTAATAATTTAAGAAAAATTTCAATTATTAAGAAAAACGCGACTAGTTTAGGCAAATATAAAGTCAATCGAGGCACCAGGAATATTTTTGACGTTGGCAAGATTTTAAGTTTTGATGACAGTAGTTCATCAAAAGCTTTTACTGGAAGCTGCAGTGAAATTCATGGAACAGATGGATCAATGTAAGGAATTATACAGCTACCAAGCTTCTTGATCTTAATAATACTAGAGTTTTATATTATTGATTTATTTTCAATAGTTTTGCTCCATTCCATATTAAAAAGGAAAGCTACTTCTCATTATCACCTGGATTATGTCGAACAATGGAATTTAAATATGAAGCAGATTCAGTTTACAATGGAATTCCGATTTCTATCTACAGTCCAAATTATGGAGATTCAAAGGTTTAAGTTTGACAATTTTCTTATCAATTTTTAAGTTTTAAATGCATATTAAATCTGTTTTTTTTTCTTAAAACAGATTGATCCCGCCCAACATTGCTTTTGTCGTCAGAATAATCCTGAAAAATGTCCTCCGAAGGGGACTTTGGATAAGTCAGTTAATGTTTTATTACAATTTCTAATGTTATCAGTTTATAAAATCATAAATGTTTGTTCAATTAGTTATGCATGTGCAGGAAGTCCGTTGATCATCTCAAAGCCACATTTTCTTGATGCTGATGAAAATTTACTGAAGAACGTTGGTGGACTCAATCCAAAAAGGGATCAGCATGAGAGTTACTTGAAATTTGAACTTGTAAGTAATATGTATGTTAATCAATGAATTATTGACTAGTGAATTTAATCAAAATTTAACCAATTTGGAGAGAGATTTGGGTACCATCAAATCTTAAATTGCATCCAACTATATCCCAAGATATTTTCAAACTATAAATTGTTTTAGCAAACCTCAACAACTCTTTCAATCCGAAATCGAAATCAGTTTTCAATGGAAGTTGAACGAATTGAAAAGTTTGATTTGATGGCAAACCTTACACCTGTCATTATTCCAATATTTTGGGTGGAAGACGGAGTTGATTTACCACAGCAAGCAACAAATGTCATAAAATATGGAATTTATCTGTAAGACGTCTAAGGTTATAGATTTATTAAGTTGTAATGTTTTATTTTTGAAAAAAATATTTATTCAGATTTCAAACAATAGCAAATGTGGTAAAGTATACAGGAATGATTTTAGGAATCATCGGAACTATTTATGCAGGATATAAATACTATTGTAGGATACAGATTAAAAAATCCAGTCAAGAACAGCGAACAGCAAATCCAATCATCGATTTAGTTGAATATTTTTAAATTATCATTATGGAGGGAACTCAAATTTATGGCATGATATTACATAATATCTCTATCATCACTGAAAAATCAATATCTGTTTGAAAATTGAACTATAGTTTTATGTGTCTGTCAAATAATATCGAATCATAAATAATTTTGATATTTTAAGTTTAAATGTAAATTATTGGAACTTTTATAATCCGAAATTGTTGGATATGATGAACAAAAGGTTTATTTATTAATAAACTTAATCAAAGAGACTTTATAAATCTCTTTCTTTATAAATTCACAATGATCTTTACTGTTCCATGATCAGAAATTTCTGAGTGGACAAAGAACTAGTTAAAAGCTTGCCATTAACTTGCCTGTTCACGGCGAGTAAGTATCCATTGACGTGCCTTTGCAACTAGACTTAGGGACGACTAATGACATATTTTGCGCTTTCCATTTAACTGGACATAGGAATTGCAAATATGTCTAGTTAATGTCCAGTTACAAAAAAATCGAAATAAAATAAATAACACGTGTCTTTTTCTCCATATTTTTTTCTTTTGTAAAATTTTATTATTGTATTAGTGTAATTAATTAATTAAAGTACACTATCACTTATGAAAAATCTCTAGTAAAAATTGAGTCTCGAACACTTACGCGTGAAACAATTATATTTACTTAAAAGTTTCATACAAATTTTGGTGGACCTTATATAAGTGATTTCTGCAAGCGCTTGTGAAGTATATGGTCAAAAAAGTAAGGAAAATTATTAAGGAACACTTGGTTGATTAGCATGAATATGTCCAGTTAAAGTCTAGTTAACGTATAGTTCTCTATGTCGTATATATTTCGACAAGTTAAAAGACTGTTAAATGATTGTCCAATAATGGACTTTAACTGGCTGTGTCCACCCGGGAAAGATACTGAATATTCATATGAAGGGGTTATCAACTATACAAGGGGGGAGAATTAAGTCAAATGTTGTTTAATCTGACGTTAACTTTGATACGTAGTCAAAGGAATTATTAGTTTTCCAATCCATTGCTTTGCCATTGAGAGTTTTGAATTGTTTTTTTTTTTGAATCAGCAATTACAAATTTTAACCTTAATAACTTTTAATATTTAAGTCCTTAATTATCTTCACTGTCATTTTCTGAGCTTGATCTGTAATCACCAATTTTTTTATGTGTTAAAAAATTTGATGTAGCTCGAATGATCACAAATGTCCATAAAATGTGGAGTGCAAAGAGAAGTAGATGCATTAATATTATTATATAAAAGAAAGGAAAATGCTTGAATAATGCCGAAGTTTCAAAAATTCCACAGTAAATATATTTTGAAAATATTACTAATCGTGTGATAATCCATGATATCGGAAATAAAATGAAGAATACTGTCGAAAGTGTTTTATAGTTTGCGTATTTAAAGGTTTTTGCTCCTTCCAAAAAAACATCGGCGATGTCATGAAAAAAATTCACTACTAAAAAACATAGAATATAATTAAATATCCAACTTGTCATGATTAATGTGATTGAGAGGATGTGATGGATAAACATTTGCCAAAAGTCTTTCCGACGAGTTTCAAAGAAATGAAGTAATGTCTGGGATATATAGAAGGCTTGAGTAATGTTGTAATACCACCAAAAGCCATTGTCAAGCGACTAAAAAATAAACAATAAATGTTAAATTCACTGACTGAATTCCAGGAACAAAACTTACATGTCTTGGATAGTCACGAAACAAATCAATAAAGTTCCATATATATGATGAATTCCACAAAATTGACAGACCGAATGTGAAGTTAAAACTATGAAACAAAAAGCGCCAGCAGTTTTCACCAAATTTGTCTATTGAAGTCGGTCGATCATGCATTCTTCTCATCCTCCACCATCTCTCAATTTCTCTAATCGATATGTCAGTTTGCTTCATCAAACTCACGAGCTCCTAATTAATGACATAAAATATGAAGCTATGAAATATTAGGATACGAGCTTTTCCTGTTAAGTACCATTTTTGTTGGTAGCGTTTGACATTTTCTATACATCTTCTCAAGAACAGCATTTTCAAATGGCATCTTTACTTTCTTTGATTTAATTTTCAAAATATGACTTAGTGGGATGCAGAAGTGTCTAAAATTAAAGACAGATAAATTTAAAATTTGGATATTGTCAGTCTGACACGTGTTTTACTTAATAAAGCACAATCTTATTACTATTAAAAGTATTGCCAATGGTATTGACCATAACAAATCATTGTAATTCCTATATATGACACCATCTCTGATTCCTGGCTCGAGGTCTTTCCATGTTACATTTTCGGGTAGGAAAAACTTTTAAGAATGCGAAATTAAACAAAATTAAAATCAATAAGCTGTTTCTAAACTTGATTAGAATCTAAATTTTCTGAAACATTCTTAATATTCCTTACCTTTTCATCCCAAAAGATTTTAAACATTATTTCCAAATTTTAATTGATTGTTCCTCTATTTAATTCTCTTTGAGGCTTAAACGACGTAAAACCAACTGAATTAAAAAATAAGTTTCACATTTTGATGAGTTTTGGAACTACCAGAGGGGTAGGAAGGAGGTGGTCAAAACACACACTTCCATGGAAAATTTCATTAACTTGCTTGATCCATCCTTTTTCAATTTTTCCATTTATATAAAACCAAATTCATAACCACATCATGAAAAAGTTCTGACTATGCCTCTGCATCTTAAAATGGAACTCAAAATTTATAAATTTTAAAAACAGAAGATGCATGACGTGTAAACAGGTGAAAATAGTTCATTGAATAGATCAGTAATAAGAACATACACAAGTCATTTTTATAGTGGCTTGCTTTTTCAGTCTGTAATGATATCAAATAAGTTTTTGGTTCTCAAACTTTTCTGAACACGACAGTAAATGTTTTTAGAAAAATTCGCAGAACACATCATGACCTTTTTTTGGCTCCTGTATATATAAAAAATATTATAACATATACATATATATATAATCTAAAATTGGATATTTGTGCAACGCTGGATTAAACAACATCAGAAACTTGAAGTGTAGCGGAAGAAACAGGAACGAGAGCTACACGATTACACTCGAATGGAATATTGTCAGAACCAAGGGTGTGGAACTGAAGAATTACATTTTGATCATTTTTGATCAATTTTGATAATTTTTGATCATTTCGTCAGTACCACACCTTTGGTCAGAACGGAAACTTCCAATCGTAGATAAACAATATTCAAATTAATCCTCAAATAATCAAGCACAAACTTTACTTTTTATTCTTTTCCAATGCATTCTTAAATATTTGAATATGCTGATCAGCTCCTTTCTTATTAGCATCTTCATAGTACGATAGCTTTCTCATTTCAGTCATCCAAATGTTAATATTTGGATACTGTTCTGTAGAAAAGCACTGAACCATTGATTCCATCCATGCAAAAATTGCAAGATCTGCGACAGTCATTTGTTCATTAGATGCTACCCATTTTGATTTGGTTAAATAGGTTTCAAGAATGCGATATCCTCGATGAACTTGATCGATTCTTTCTTTTGGAACATCAGATTTACCTTGCATGATAACTGGATACTAGCAATAAATTGATTCAAGTATGTTTATAAACTTTTTTTTAAACCTTAATACTCAACTTACAAAGATATTGTATCCACGTGGAAAAAGGAAACTTGCATTGAAGAAAAGTCTTTCATTGATAACAGATCGAAGTAAGAAATTATTCTTTGGATACAAATAGTCATTCTTGGCAAACTTCTCAATCAAATAAAGACATATAGCTTGACTAAAATAAGAATTAAAAGCTTACTGAACAAGAGTTCGAATAGAGATCCTCACCTGTCACAAATCATGACATCACCATCAACCAAAGCGGGAATTGTTTGTGCTGGATTAATCTAAGTTAAATATACGCTTATCAAACATTACAAATTTATGCATTAAATTATCTGCAACTGACCTTTGTGAAGTATTCTGATGTATGTTCGCCATTAACAAAATCAATTACTCTGCAACAAATAGATTTAAGGAGGTAAATTACTTCAAACTGACAGATAATAAGCCATACATAGAACAATCTTAAACTTACTTCAAATCTATGTCTATGTTGTTTTCACGAGCCACCATAACAACAGATCGAGCTGGTGGACTGAAATTTAAAGTCATTAGGTATCTTGTTAAAACATTTTAATGCTGATTTACCTCAATGGATGATAATAGAAAACCGGCTTTGACATTTTGTATTTTAAGGTTTGATCAATCTGCTTCAACAATCAAATGCCGACTCTTAATATTCTAGCAATTTAAAATGATTTAAAAACAGAATGATAAGTTGCGAGAGAGAGAGGAGTGAATTGTTTGAGAATCACTTGAGATAGCAAACTGTAAACTTAACTATCAAGGTCATATAAAAAATGAGCGAATTAAAATTTTGAGTTTGCGGCTTTTTCAGACTCTAAGAGCAAATCTAATGTAGATAGGCTTGAGCATTAGGCTCAAGATGTGTTTGACAGATTGTCAAAGTAAGGATGGTTGAGAAGCTCCATATTATAAATTTTGAAGACATAGACTTTTATTATTATTTATTTGTCGACGTTACCGTCCGGAAGAATTAGGTATTTATACATGTTTTTACTATTTACATTGATTAGTGATACATTTCATATCACTATGGGTGACGTAGAATCAAGCTTCTAATCTTCAAATCTAGGTTTCAAATAAACTAAGGCTCTCGTTTCAATCTTCTGTGGGCGTGACGTGATACATTTCAGGTCCGTTCTGACAATATTCCATTATAAGGTAATCTTGTAGCTCTCGTTCCTATTTCTCCCGCTACACTTCAAGTTCCTGATCCGTTCCTTAATCCAACGTTGCCCAAAATGCCCAATTATGGCTTGACTCGTACATTAAGCAGTCGAAGTATCTAAACTTCTGAAAAAGAACAAATTTGGAAATGGCTGGATTCGAACCGACGACCTTCGAGTTACCATACCAAATTTGAGCCAAGCGCCTTACCTATTCGACCAGCAAGGCACTTAACTGCTTTAACTTCTAAACGGCAGTTAAATTGACAGTTATTTGATGATATACATCAACTCCAAAGCACTATTGTCACCCAGCCATTGTCTAAGACAAACTCTCAAATTCTTCTTATCTTCAATATTTTGTCTCTCACAATTTCCCATCAGCCTCTCCGAAATTGGCATTTGAGAGACATAAACAGAGAAGAAAATGAAGAAGACAAGACCGTAATGTGTACGTGAAAAATGTTGTGTATTTGTTACTTTCGTTCCGTTGTTTATTTGGTGCACACGAAAAATAACAAAATTCAGAAGTAAATGATTTGATAAAAATAAATTTGAGCCTTAATTGTTCTTGTCAATTGTCATTTAATTTGCAGATACAATCCATACTGTGACAAGCTAAAGACACTAATTGTTTCTTATAATGTTGAGAATATTGAGTAGAAACTTAATTAGGTAAGAGTTCCAGCAACTACGTCATTTATTATTCGCTTTCTAATGACACGTTGACCTTTGCTTGATGTTTAGACGTGGAAATGCTGTCAATTCCCGAAATGCTAAGTATGCCAAAAATCATCAAGCTGCTATTTTTCTAGCGACTTCAGCAATCAGTGGATATTTGTTGCTTCAAGGTTGGTCATTTTGCATGCAACTTAAGCTTCAAATTTCATAATTCATCTTCTAGATTTCAAAGATCGCGTTCTGTGTGAAGAAAAAGTCGAAGTCAAACTGGAATTAAAACAGCACCAGATTATTCGAGACGATTTACCATTTTATACAGATGAGGAATTAGCAATGCACGATAACAAGTATCATATCAAGAAAAGTCCAGGAGTTGACACTTTTGATATCATTGGGAATTCATGGGAAATTGATAGGTAATGGGTAGTTCTAAGATTGTTCTAGAAGCTTCTTATTGAGGGTTTTATGGATGTAAATGTCAATTTGAAACTAATCTAAAGTCTTTGTGAGTTAAAAGTGCAATGTTGTTGTGACAGTGTCTTGTTAGGTGCGTGACAATAGTAATGGTCACATGGTTAAGGCGTTTAAGACCCTCACTACGCACCAGTGTCTTTTTATTGTTGTATTATGTACTAAGCGTAGCTTAAATGCTCAAAAATCATGTCAAAACCCAAAGAATGTCTCTTGATACTTATCAAAATATCATTATTTCCTAGTGTCAACTCCTGTACCTATTCCTTCGGTTAAAGTCCACCGTAAGTATCTTTAACTCTTCAAATTCTCAATTCTAGAGAGAAAGGGATTTGGGTGTCATGGGGAGTCGGCGTTTATGACATAACAAATCTCATTGATAAGCATGGAACACCAGAAACGACAATTTTACTTGCTGCTGGCATGGCATTAGATCCATTTTGGGAAGATGAGGAAATGGCAAAACTTCATGGTAAACCTTATGTACCCGGTATGATGGAAAAATGTAGAATTGGGAACATTAAGAAAACGGAAGAATAACAAGTTATAAGTAGAAGCTTTTTGGAGCTTGTTGGTCGTTTTGGAAGGAATGTTTTGTTGGAATTTTAAGTGTGGCTGTATGTAGAATTTGATGATGTTAATATTGATGTTTGGAGAATCTTGGGACAATCCGTCAATTATGAGAACTGTTTAAATTCCTTTCTTGAAAAGACTAAGACCCAGAATAGCCTTGTGTTGTTGCTGTTAAATTTTTATTAGTAAAATCCTTTTGTAGCTTGGAGTAGCTCAACATTCTACTTCGACAGTTCAGAAACAACTAATACTTATCTACCTCATACCCAGTTGGTTCCATATTTGTGATTGAATAAAATTAAGTCATATATCAGCAAAATTTCCAACAAAGCTCTTCCAATGTCTGATAAGAATCCTACAAATATCAATCAAATGATAATTAATCCAGGAATTTAGCATTTTATCGGTGTTTCTTGTTGTGATATTCATGACTAAATAATATTATAATAATAAATAGTAATTGAATTAATAATAGACTCTGTTTTATTTGTTCCTACTTTTAAGTTCTATTCCTACTTATCCTGACTAAATGCTTCATTAATTTTCTCATCTAAAAGTTCTTCCCTATATGACAGTGGCTTATTAGCCCAATTATGCCAATAAATTAATATTGGAGTATATCCAATGAGTCTTAATTGATCTAATTTCAATCTTAAAACACCAGTTGGCTGTCTAGTTTCTCTTAAGTAGAAATTCCAACCACCGATGACAATTGCAATCATTTTATATCGATCCATGTTGTCTGCAAATTGTGGCTTTTGTGACAATAAATGCTCTTTGGAAAATACAACTCCTGGATGTTCATCTCTTGGCGGGAAGATATCTAAAAGATCTTCGGTCACAGATTTTCGATTCTCATCAAAGCAATAAAGGATATCGGGTCGTTCAAAATGTGGAATCGCTTGTGTCAAAATGTTCTTGCCATATTTAATTTCTGATAATTCTTGAACATCCAGCAACAATTTATCACCATGTGTCAATTTGTATGGCTGTCCTCTGTATGGAATATAATGTGATGAAAATGTTGCGATTCCTTTTCTAATTTTGTCTGACAATTGTGGACCTTTGTAGATGTCTTTGAGGTTTATTTTTGTGAATCCATCAATGCAGAGTATTTCACGACTATATGCAAAGTAGTTCTTTCCTATAAATGGAGAAAAAATCAGTTAAATCATGCAACAAAAAATAATTTGCGATTTTTACCATAAGCAAAAGTAACGAAGCTTTCTTTCAGTGCTGCCTGAATCAATTCTATATTATAAATGCCTTTCATAGCTAAATAATGCACAGTCGATGTGAAGCATCTTGGATGTCTGACAATTTCATCAACTCGCTTCTTCAATTCCTCTAGAACGTTTCTTAGAAATTCCATTTCAATGCCACTTTCAGTTTGTATATCAAAAAGAGCAATAACTAACGATATTCTGTCAAGATCCTTTAGTCTTACTGTTGTGACTTCCTGATTATATTTGTGGACAATTTTTTCGATTAAATCTTTATTGCAGTTTTGAAGATTTGTTCCTAATAGTGCAATGTGTAAACATGTAAGGGTACCGAATCTGTCGATGATTGGAAGGAGCTTCTCGAACAATTCATTCATGTAGATACAATGAGATGGTTTTGATGAGTAACGAAGAGTTTTGAGGATATTTGCAAATGTTATGTCCTTTAGATCGTCAATCTCATCGATCACCTAGAAAAGGTCATATATTAATGGAATTTTAAAAGATCCATGACTTAAAAACATCCAGTTTGACACAGATAAAGCTATAAATCGCATTTTACTTACCCTTCTATAAATCCTGTTCATCAATGCACCGTTAATCAACTTCGATTCTGTCTTAAAGAATGCTAAGCACACAATTCCAAGCTCATCAATCGTAAGATCATCTAAAATTTTCTCTAGACGACTTTCGACATAATACATCGGCACATCCTTATGTCTAATTATTGACTGATAGAACATCATCTCAATAAGCACTCGAGGTGGCAATTCATCAAGTCTTCGGCTGAGTTTCATTAATGCTTTATGATTAAATTTACTATTTTTGGTAATTCCAATTCTGTACCAAGCATTCATGACTTTTAATAGCTGTTGATATCTCCAATGTCTGGATCTTTCCCAACATTCACTATCAATTGCATTCCAGAGCTCGTGATACTTTGATGACTTGTAGTCGAGCTGTGGAAAACGATACAGATCCACAAGAACTTTTACAACTTGATCGTCGTTCATTTCTGGAAGTTTTTGTATGACTGCATCAATTATTTTATCATATTTTCCTTCTGTCAAGCTACTTTCAGTCTGTTCACAATCATAACTTAGTTCCTCAAACACATCACTTATCTGATCTGCTGTCTTTTCCTTATAATCATCCTCAAGTTTGAAAATATTTTGATTAAGAATGAATTTATCTTTTTGTCCATAATGTGGCACAAATTGTGATATGAATTGCGATTCTCTTCCTCTAACGATCTTTGTCTCTGGTATACTGCTTACCCAACGCCAATGTTGAAGCTGTTGTTGTGGTAAATTATGCCTTGAAAGACGAATAATTCGATTAAAATTTCGCTTTAAACAAAGCATGGTAAATATTGTGAAAATCAAAACAAACTTTATAATTTGAATTTTGAATTACCGTTATGCTAAGTTTACACAGAAAGCACCAAAATAATAGCAAAAAATTATACACAAGTAAAATCATATTCAAAAACCACTGATTAAATAAAGTATTAATTATATTAACCAGGAAAGCCACAAACCCTTGGAAAGCATATTTTTAAAACTTTATAAATGTTTTAACCCAAAACATTTGAGAGGTTTCCTATAATTTGAATTTTTTTCACCGTTAAAATGTGTCTTGACTAAATTAGCAAATTCTTCAGTTTTAGACTAAGGCAGTGATATACGTCCTATTATAAATTCTGAGTATAAAATATTCAATTTAATGGACATAAATTAATTAAAATAAATTAGCTTTCAAAATGTCAAGTAAGTGCTATCTTTTGAACATTAAAATAACTTTTTTGAGAAAATGAATAGCTTCTTCATCTCTGTTTCTTTTATTAAACTGCTTAGGGGCCATTCACTTATTACGTAACGCTTTTAGGGGGGAGGGGGGTCTAAGATTTTGTTACGGTTCAAACAAGGAAATTTTTTTTTCATTCAAATTTTGTTACGAGGGGGGGGGGGTCTAAAAAGTCATTTTTTCGCGTTACGTAATAAGTGAACAGACCCTTATCAATCAGCAAACTATCGTTATCTGCTCAACAGCTTGATTTATTACCTATGATGTGATTTTTTTTTTTCAGGAATTTTGGAAATTCAATCAGAAGAAGCTTTTTATATTGGTGCAGGGATCCTAATAAGTGCTGGATATGCTTATGCTGCATACAATTTTATCAGAAGAGCTTTCAGCAATAATATTCCAAAAAGGTAAGAATAGATTTCATAAAAATGATTAAAAATTGCAACACTTCAAGATAGGTGCTAGGTTGGAAGAGAATATGACTAGACTTTAAAAATTTAACATTATTAATTACTAGGCTATCCAGAGGCGCCCGTGGCGCCTCTTATAAGGGTTAAAATTTGATTACTATTATGTAAATAACTGTGAGACGCAAATAACCATAATGTTTTTAAGGTCAATCCTACCACAAACCTCACAACCCCCTCAAACTCGGATTTCCTTAATCCCACAAAAACTATATAAATGGCTTCACAAAGTCCCTCAAACTCGGACTTCCTTAATCCCGCAAAAACTTTATAAATAGCTTCACAAAACTTCACATGGCTTCACAAACCTCTTCAAACTCGGACTTAATCCCACAAAAATTTTATAAATGTCTTCACAAACCTTCTCAAACTCGGACCCCCTTAATCCCATTAAAACTTCAATTCCCCCGAAACCCACCATGTCTTTTCACAAAGCTTCGCATGGCTTCACAAAACTTCACATGGCTTCACAAAATTTTATATGGCTTCACAAAATATTCCTGACACCAAATTTTTCCCGCAAACCCCCTCAAATTCGGACCCACCCCCCCCCCCCCCCCTTAACTGACACCCACCTTGTCAGCACTTCTCAAATCATTGGCTTCACAAAACATACCTGACACCCCCCTTGCCCCCCCTCTTCCAACTGACACCCACTTTGTCAGCACCCCTCGAATCATTGGCTTCACAAAATATACCTGACACCCCCCTTGCCCCACCTCTTCCAACTGACATCCACTTTGTCAGCACCCCTCAAATCATTGGCTTCATATGGCTTCACAAAATATACCTGACATTCCCCTTGCCCCCCCCTCTTCCAACTGACACCCACTTTGTCAGCACCCCTCGAATCATTGGCTTCACAAAATATACCTGACACCCCCCTTGCCCCCCCTCTTCCAACTGACATCTACTTTGTCAGCACCCCTCAAATCATTGGCTTCATATGGCTTCACAAAATATACCTGACATTCCCCTTGCCCCCCCCCCTCTTCCAACTGACACCCACTTTGTCAGCACCCCTCGAATCATTGGCTTCACAAAATATACCTGACACCCCCCTTGCCTCCCTCTTCCAACTGACATCCACTTTGTCAGCACCCCTCAAATCATTGGCTTCATATGGCTTCACAAAATATACCTGACATTCCCCTTGCCCCCCCCCCCCCCCCCTGACACCCACCCCACATCTGACACCCACACCCACCTCACAACCACCTTGTCAACACTCCTTAAATTTTTGTCTTCACACGGCTTCACAAATGTCTTCACATGGCTTCCGTTCCAGAGTCAGTGAATCAGTGAGTTGGGCTTTTATATATTAGATTCTTTCAGATGGAGAAAAGTCGGAGAAGTAAGTGACTTGATTTGCTATCCAATAAAGTCATGCAGATGGGTTCGAGTCAACTCATTTGACTGCACACAAATTGGTATCGAGAAAGGCAGCATGCGTGATCGTGTGTTTATGGTTATCAGACCAAATGGAAACTTTGTAACTGCTGTCGCTTATCCGTCACTTTTTGAAGTACTTCCAATTGTTAAGGGTGACATTATGACATTAACAGCACCAAACATGGAAGATATTAACATCGACATTAAGAAACTTAATAGAAATCCAACATCTAAGGCTGTTGTTTGGACTCAAACTGTTGACGTGATTGATGTTGGTGATGAAGTCGCTGAATGGTTCTCAAAGTTTATTTTGAAAGAAGATTCTGGTCTACGTCTTGTGGATTATTCACAGACATATCCAACAAGGAGTGTTCGTGAGAAAAATGCAGTCTTTGAGACAGCAATTGCAGATGATACAGGAGCACTTCATAATACAACATCATATATGATCATCAATGAAGCTTCTGTTGTTGATTTGAGTTCAAAGATTGATAAATCATTGTTGCCATTACAATTTCGACCAAATATTGTCGTAAAAGGTCCAAAAGCATTTGCTGAAGATTCTTGGAAGTGGGTCAAGATTGGAGATAATACAATTTTCAGGAATGTCAAGCCTTGTGGAAGGTAAGTAGCTAAAATAATAATTGAATCATTAAATATCACTCTACCTTTAAAATTTTAGGTGCCCTCTTATCAACATCGATCCAGAAACTGCACAAAAAGATCCAGAACAAGTTCCTTTAAAAACACTCAAGAAGTACCGACTATTTCCAAAGACTGGGGAATCTCCAGTAATGGGTATTCATCTTGGTATTCGCAAATATGGTCCGTTGAAAGTTGGCGATTCTGTTTTCGTTGAAGCTGATTAAATGCAGATCAATCCAAAGCATGAAATGATTGAAACATTACAAATGTTTTAAAATTCAAATAAATCAAACATTTGAAAGACTCTGGTTTGAAACTTTTAATGTATCATGGCTATATCCATTTAAATTCAGTCTTGGACCCCCTTATTTATAAAATAATATCATCGGCACAGTTATCAACTCAAAATTTTTTGTGGTATTTTTAAGGATTAATGCTTAACATTTCGTCATTAAATAAAGTTTAAATAAATTGCTTCCAATATAAGCATCAAATTTGAAATGTCAAGTGAGTAAAAAAGTCTTGAAAACTATTTTGTACCAAATCATTATCACCTTATCTGTTATCACTTTCCATAAATAAGCAACTTATCAACTTACTTTTCAATTGATAAATCATCATTATCAGAACAATGTTGCTAATAACTAATTCATTATTTTTTCAGGGCTGTTGGATATTCAGCCGAAACAGGCTCTTTATATAGGTACTGGAGTTGCCATTAGTGCCGGATTTGCCTATGCTGCTTATAATTTTACCAAAAGAGTTCTCGATAACAGGGTACCGAAGAAGTAAGTGTTAAATACGTATGTAGAACTGGATCAGATGCTCTTTCAGATTTATTGGACTAGATTGAGCTTCAAGATCTGCATCATGTAAATTGTCTAATCAAAATTTACATACAGCATAAACTACTATTAAACTTGTCAATTCAAAGTCTAGCAATAAACTCTCTCACTTTTATAGATGGAGAAAAGTCGGCGAGGTCACTGACCTTATTTGCTATCCAATAAAGTCTTGCGGATGGATTCGTACTAATGAATTTAACTGTTCGCAAATCGGAATTGAGAGAGATAATATTCGTGATCGAGTCTTTATGGTTGTTAGAACAAATGGAGAATTTATCACTGCACGTGCCTATCCGACAATGGTTCAAGTCACTCCAGTTATTAAGAGTGATATAATGACATTGTCAGCGCCTGGAATGAGAGATATAAAAATTGACATTAAAAGACTTTTTACGGTTCCAAAAACTAAAGCTAGTGTTTGGAGTGAAACTGTTGATATAATTGATGCTGGTGAAGAAGCTGCTCAATGGTTTTCGAGATTCATTCTTAAAGAAGATTTTGGTTTACGTTTAGTGTTTTATCCTCAAATATATCCAACACGTGGAGTTCGTGAAAAAAATAAAATCTTCGATACAACTGTTTCAGACGATACTGGAGCACTTCATGATGCCACATCATTTATGCTTATTAATGAAGGATCAATTGCTGATTTAAATTCCAAAATTAATAAGCCTGTAACGCCATTACAATTTAGACCAAACATTGTGATAAAAGGACCAAATTCATTTGAAGAAGACTCTTGGAAATGGGTTAGAATTGGAAATCATACAGTCTTCCGTAATGTAAAGCCTTGTACAAGGTGAGTAATGCTTCATAAATGTTATTTTATTCAAGTGAATAACTTTAAATTTTTAATTCAATCTTTGTGCTCACTTGATGGATTTTTTGATTAGAAAAGAATTTTCAATTTTAGGGTAGACTTTTGATTACTTACGAATTTAATGATCCTACCTGATTAACAAAGAGCTAAATTTATGCTTACTAATGCAAGGAATATCAAGTTCAGATCTAGCTTTTTGTTGATTAGGACTTTTTATGGTATTATTGTAATGCTTAACTTTCTTTATAAACACAGATGCATTTTCACGAACATTGATCCGGAAACAGCAAGACGAAGTTCAGTGGATGAACCATTAAAAACGCTTAAGAAGTATAGACAATTCGAAAAGACTGGAGAATCACCTGTTATGGGAATTCATCTTGGAATTCGTGAATATGGAGCATTAAAACTTGGTGACTCCGTTTTTGTTGAAGATGATTAAAACGATTATCCTTAAAGGATATACAAGATTCATATTGAAGGAGAATTTAAATATTTTAAATATAAAGTTGCAATTATTTGATGAGAAGTTTTGATGAACCAGATTTAAAACCACCTGAAAGCAATATTAGATTATGCAAATGTCCAACATCACAGTAGTTGCAACTAGAAAATGACTTTTATAACCACAATTCCACATCTTTAAAGATTCAATTTTATTTTATTTTGCATTTTTTTTTATAAATCCTATAAATCTAACAAAAAGTGATAACGAATAAAGTATTTAATATTTTTATGTCCTGACTTATTGATGACAGGATAATGAATTCCTCTTTGGAATTTTAAAAAGATTCTAAAATAAGCGTCTTGATTATTTGAATAAAGTAGATCCAAACTAGTCTAGATTTAAAAACAAAAATCCTAAGAAGTATCAAATTGCAGCAAAACTATCAAATAAGAAAAAACAGTTCCAATAATAGCAAACAAAAATGTCCAGTCTATGTTGAAAAGTCCAGCAGAAACTTCAATTTTCTCATGGTCAATTTGAAAATTTAACAAATTCATATGCTTCATAATCTCTCGACTCTTTGAGTCCATCATTCTTTGAAGTACAATTCCTTCCATGTTTCCTACTTCAGATTTCATTAAAGCTGAATGAAGGATGATCCATGCACCGAACCAAAAGAAGAATTGGACATAAGCAAAGACAATAATTGAAAATATCACTTCCTCAAATGATGAGCCGTAAATAATTTGATGCATTAATCCAAAGTAGAAGAAAATGTTGAAGAATGTAAATTGAAAGAAAAAGTTTAGGAGGTTTAGCGTGTAGCAAGCATTTATGGACGAAATAGCATCGCAAAGTCTAATGTGGATTCTTCTGACTGTTTTGATATCCTTAATATTTTGGATGTCATTTTCTAAAATTTGATTGATGTATTTAAATCTTAGATAGACAGTGTCAATGATCAGCATGTGTGTAACTTGATAATTCATGTACGCAACAATGTTTATGAATGCAAAAATTCCTTCCACAATGTCCATTTCGATTTGATCCAAATAATTCAAATATAAATATTGATCGACACCTATAGCTACATATAAAGACATGAAATAAAACACTGTTACTACTAAAGCAGCCTTAAAATGTTTCGGATGATTAATTTCAATTCCAAAAGCTGTCAACTTTTCATCGATCCAATTAATATCCTCAATAACTTTCTCATGCTTCTTTCTAATGATGAAATTGAAAATTCTAAAGACCGTCGGCATGAAAATTGTCAATTGCAGCAAGATTGTAAGTCCAATTTGAAAAATTAGTGAATTTCTGCTTCCAACATTAATGTTTGAACTTTTTAATGACATAAAAAGTCCGACGACGACATAAAAAATCAGCCTTAAATATTCATCAATTTTCAGATTCTTTTCTCTGCTTCTTATGGAACCAACTGAGAAGTGGAAGTAACCGAAAAATCTTACAAGCGAGCAATTAAATGAACAGACTTCCAAAAAAATTCTTCTTTCGAATAACTTGTTCATTTTTATTTGTTTAAAAGGTAAGAACAGAATGACAGAAGAAAGTAGACTAAATTTATGGCTACAAAATGTTATGACAAGTCATGTTGTAAATGATGATTAAAGGTTATGATAAATATTCAATTAAGTTTCGTAAATAAGCATTGAAATCATCACTGTAAATAGTCCCAGTGAGTTAAGGAAGTGACTTGATTTTGTTTGTTGACTAAACTGGAAAAAAACTAGTCCAATGCTAGACTAAGAGACTAATCATAAGCCACCATATTCAACACTCCATAGCTCCCTGGGACTTATAACGTCACAAATTCCGGAGAAGCTTAATTACCTCATAAATATTAAATTTGATAATTAATTACATTCTAGCTGTTATTTTTTACCGATATAAAGTTCGTCTCTAAACATTTGCTTGTACTGACCTACCACACTACCGACTAATGAACATTTTTTCATTTCAATGTCAAATTGCTTGCAAGTTGCAATCAAAGTTTCCTTAAGTTGTGGTAAGACAGCAGCATCAATTGATGGGAAAAGTTGATGCAAAACTTGCTCGCCATAAAGTGTCAAAATCGTGAAAATGTTCATATTGGCACCTGATCGATCACAAACTGCATTCATTTGATATTCTCCAAAATCATAAGTGAAGATTTCATCGCCTTGATGGATTGTTGTTGTCGTATGATGCCCACGATTGATGAGTCCGATGACATGAAAAACACTAGCTGCGATGATTATATGAAGCCATTTGAAAATGACTTCTATTATGTCTGATGATTGAGTTCCTGTTGTGTAGATTAAAGCTGGTGTGATGAACATTACAAGATCATCCCAGTAGAATGTCTCGGCGGTTCCCCAAAAAAATCCCTGAATTCTAAAAAGATAAATTAATGAAAATATAGAGTTATTGTTGATATGCTTCATGCTTACCTCATCCTTAACATATTGAAGAAATACAGCGTATGAATGTTCACATGAACAGCAATTGACTGAATTTTGTACTGTAAATCCTTTACTTCTGCTGGAATCCATTTGAAATGTGGATCAAAGAAAGTCGTTTCTAAGTCTGCGTATGTATTTGGGTACATGTGATGTGACTGCAATCAAAATTAAGAGAAATATTAAAAATTGTCATGAATCAATGCTTGAAATTATAAATCTTACAAGAATATGAAAAGTTCTCATGTCTCTAGTCGCAGCCATACTCAAATTTCCGGTATACATCCTCCAGTTATCTGCTTTGTGAAGAAAATTATGTGACATTGACACCAACCATTCCAACAGTAGCCCAGCGATTATCACTGGCGCGATGTAATTCGCATTAATATAATCATTCGGTTGAACTTGACTTACAAACACGACAGACATCAAAAAAGCAACAAGAGTAATGTCGTGAATTATTTTTGGTTTTATTTCTACACTTTTATCGACACTCTTCATTTTCTGTCCAATTTCTCTCTTTAAAGTTCTATAAAATCCATTATCATCGAATGTATAACGATAGTTCCGTTCTTGTGTTGCCACACCGACACAGTAGTTTTCCAAAACATCACGCGGTCTGGATGATAAATGATAGCACTCAAATGCTTCTGTAATATCTGTACCCTTCATAAAGAAAATGAAAATAAAGATGAATCGTATGCTGAACTGGAAACAAGACGACCTTGGAGATGTTTATAAAAAACTTTATAGACTAAACTCGTTTAGGTCTTTAGGAATTTTCTTCATAATTTGTTGTGTCTTAGAAATTTTGTTTACCTTTGAGATTTCCAGCCACGCTCTGCCTCCTGGATGTTTGGGTATGAAATCTGTCAAGTCATATAATTTGTCATGAACTCGCCACAACCCAGCTGCATTGTCATCTATTTTCTTTCCTTCTATCCACTTCCAACAACCGTTTACAAAGTCATTACGGAAGCTTGGAAATTTTTTCATCAGTGAATTATTTTTAAGATATTCAAGGGATGACATGTTGATAACTTGAATAAATAAGGCAAACTGTGGATTTTTTTTAAGTTTAAGATTTTACATCTTTTGAAGATGTGTCACAAAAATCAAGATCAGCCGGTTTAACTTGAACGATGTCATAATATAAGGCGATGCCTTTAAATTTATTCCGAACTGACCCTTTGAGATGTTTTTGTGTGCTTAATACAAGTTTAGTGAACTACGCGAGTTTGATGACACAGGAAATTTTTTGTACGGACACAAAATCAAGACCACCAACAAAATATTGTAGGCCTCGGAAATGTCTTTTGAAAATTTGAATATTAATAAATCAGTCAAGTTCATGACATATCAGGCACGACATAAAGTCTCATAAAATCGATCAAATTGGAAGCATCAAACATTGTCAAATCTTAAGTATTTTAAGACAAGTTGATTCAGGATCTGATCTGATCAATGATACTTATTTTGTGATGACAATTCACACTGTCACTAGTTGCTAGTAGCTTGATCAGCAATTACATTAGGTATGTCTCATCATATGCATACTACCTCGATCTTAATTGAGATGCATAAATTTTCATCTTTACTAGACAATCAAAAGCTACAAAAATTAAAAAATAAAAATTTCCATTTGCCTTGTCTGCAGTTCTTTGTTGAATTTTTATCTATAAATTAATTCTTCAGCTCATTAGCTACACAATCCCACAGCATTGAAATTTTTCAGTAGCAACCAAAAAAAAAAATCTCCAGTCGTCCCCTAATTATCAATAATTCCTAAGCCATACATAAATTATATTTCTATGACACATTAGCAGTTCATAAATCTCAACTTATGACACGTTGGGAAACAAAGCTTTTATATGCTAAGCATGCACAACATAATATGGGGATATCACACCAAAAAATCTACTTTGACATTACATTTGTCTTTGTTTCTTGTTACCGTTACACACAAAATTCATACAGATGAACAGAAATAGATCAACAGTTGCTGACTGCTGTAAATGAAAAATGAAAATTGAGTACACAAGACGGAGGTGTTTACATTTTATTTAAGAAAAAAGTACAAAATATAATGAAACAGTCAAATGCTGATCGTCGAGATGAACAATCTTGTAGTTTTTACAGTACTGCTGAAAATTTCTTTTTCGGTTGGATTTGATTTAAATAAAACTGTAGCATGTAATATTCAGTACTATTTCTATCATGGGTAAATTAAGATTATGACTTCCATCAAGGAATTTAAAAATTAATCATTTTCGTCCAAAAAGCTCATCACTTTCCATTTACGACATCAAAAGCTTCTCAAAAATCATTGACAATCCAAATTTTGATCCAGACAAGCCAACAACATTCTACATTTATGGAACGATAGAGGGAATTTGGGTGCCAACTGTCATCGCTGTCAAAGATGCTTATCTAGCTAATGGAAGGCATAATTTCATTATTGTTGGAAATAAGAATCCATTCTTGCATGTTTTCAACAACGCGCTGATAATTGCTGATAAATTTTCTGAAAACATGCTCGAATTAATAAATTCTGGATACGACTATTCAAAAACTACTTTCGTGTCGTTCTCACTTGGTTCAAAGGCTATTGCTCCAATGACTTCAAGATTAATAAAAATGAAATCAAACAATAAGTTCAAATTGCCGAAAATTGTTGCACTTGATCCAGGAATTGTAAGAAATAATGAGCTACATTTATCAGGCGGAGAGCGACTTAATTCAAATGATGCTGATTTTGTGATGACTGTGCACACAGATTGTCATTATTGGGGTACTAAGGAGTCACATGGACATGTCAATTTTTGGATTAATGGTGGATGTGATCAGCCGATGTGTGTGAATGACTTTAGTGAGTATATTAAAAATTTAATAACAAATCTAGCGATCCCTTACACTTTTAACATCATTTAACAGCAAAAAGCGTCTGCAATCACTTGATGGCAGCATACTATTGGGCCGAAGCAGTAAAAAGTGATAGTAAAACTGCATTTAAATCAAGGCAATGTGCCAGTTGGAAGCATTATTTGAAAAAAGATTGTGACTTAAGTTTACCGGTTGCATATATTGGACTTTATACACAGGCGAATATAACTGGTGATTATTATGTGAGAACGAAAAAAGTTGTGCCTTACTCGAGATCATGAAGTGAAAATTGATGATTTTTTGAAAGTAAATTCTTTGTGTTATTAATTATTTAAGTAATTGATGTTGCATCTTATCAATACAGGGTCGTAGCCAGGAATTTGAAGAGGGGGTAGGGGACAATTTTTTTTGTATGGAAAACTTTTAGGGGGGGGGGGGGTTATTTTTTTGAGTTTTTCATAAAAACTCTAGCAAAATGAAGAAATTTTTCAAGACGAAGGGAGATTTGTCCCCAAAATCCCCCCTGGCTACGTGCCTGTATCAATAGATCAGATTTTGATTGATCAGAGAGAATGTTGAGCTTGAAGTAAAAAATCTAGTCATTTAAAGTCATAAGTATGGTAAAGTTTATTCTAAACTATATCGAGCTTTAACCTGATATGTTCTTTTTATGAAGTTCTATAGCTCAATTGAACAATTCTAACGATAACAAGTTAAAGGAAGCAAAAAAAACATTCGCTTTATTTGTTTGAACTTGAAGCGAAAGTTTAATGCTGTAATAATTGTCATGTCTATAAAGACTTATTAAATCAAGATAGCAGTGTCTTTAGCTCGTCGCTTTATGTAGAAACACACCATTTGGCTAGAACCCTCTCACAGTATTATTATTGGACTTACTAAACAGCAAATTAATTTTGAAAAAAATAAGAATTGTAAAAAATGTAAATAATTATGATTAAAATTTATAAACTTAAATAATACCTTATTTTGCAGCATAATTTAAGAGACTTTCATTATCTCAGACATTTCGAAAATAGAAGTAAAACTACAATTAACAAAAAATTTCTCATTTTGTAAATAAAGTGTTTGGAAAACTCGAATTAAATTTCCTAATACTTTAACCTTGGAGCTTTAAGCCCTTGAAATGCATAATATGAAAGAAATTTGCATCAACAGTCTTACTATCATCATATACTGATGAGCATTGCAACGCAAGAATGTAAATTTATAGAGAATAAATAATAAAAATTGAGAGTCTCTCATGCCCTCAAAAACAGAATAATCTGCTGTACTCAAACCCGTTTTAATCACTTTCTTGGAGTCTTTGCAGCCAACAAGAAGACAAAGAGAAATGTCGAAGACAAAATTCATTATATTAATATTATTCAGTAAGATTTACAAAAAATTTGTGTCTATAGATCATATTTCATTTGATTTACATTCAATTACAGTTATAAATCTCAGTTCCATCAACTGTGCTAAAAATAAGGAACGACAACGCAAGAAAAATTACACAGAAATCGCCACAAATGAGGAACTTCAAAAATTAAGTCAAGAAATTTTTGAATTAGACACAACGAATATTTTATCAAAGCTTCATGTAAACTACCAAGGACGTTTTCGGTCACTAAATTCAACTGATGATCTCGCACCAGAACCGTAAATATTTTTCGAAACTTTTTTGGACTTAATTTTCTCATTTTTCTGTGTGGACAATTAAAAAATGTTTTGGGCATATTTTTGCGAAGAGATGAGCTTTTTGTGGTCAGTTTGGCTTCATCCTTAGCTTCATTTAGGCGCGTAGCCAAGAGGGTCTTGCCCCCCCCCCCTTTAAACGTTTTGAACCGCAGTAAGAGCACGACCTAAAACACTTAAGATGGAGACAAGACCCTCCTGGCTGCGCACCTTGCTTCATTCTTTATCAATGACAATTTTGTTACTTCCGGGTATCAGTATCTATCTGAATGTATCCTTCAAGATGCAATCAAACTTATAATTCTAAAAAAACATGACCAAGCAGCTGATGAAACTCGTCATATGCTTCCTAAAACCCACATAAAACCTTAAATAATTTCCAAACTTACTCGCAATTCATTCATAGGCTGTTGACTTACGAAAATGAATTAACAGAGTTGGACACTATAAAGCACATGATCATGATGTACGATAATTATGAGAGAAATTCATCTGTAAATGAGATCGTAACGGACGACGAGAGACAAGAAGAGAAGAACTTTATTAATTCGCTCTTAAGTACAGCTGTTATGAAGTATGTCAAGTTGCCGGTTCTCTCTCGATTTTTACTCTCATTTTTTTTTGTTTTTATTTTTTCACTCTAGAAAAACAATAAATTTTTTGGAGTCAAAAAACCTTGTTGGAAGCAGTGAAGACGAACATTATACTTTACTTCATTCCATCTGGTTTGGTTTATATCCGCGAAATAAAGGCACGCATGCGACGTCTTCTGGATTTGAGCATGTTTTTCTTAGCGAACTTAAAAAGAAGAAGACAATTGGACTTCATAGCTGGATTTATATGGCAATGATGGAAAAGTCTGGAGAGCTTGACTATAAGGGATGGATAGACCGAGTTGATCTGGGTGATGTAAGTTTATATTAGATTTTTTTGAAGGTTTGATGAAGAATTAAGGATTAAGGATATCAATCCATTCATAAAAATGTTTCTTCTTCCAGAAAGCCGTTATTTTAACCATCAAACTAGCTGTTAACGGTTACAGAAAAAATCTAAGTTCAATTATTATTGGAGCTCCACCGGAACTAGAATTTGCACTTTTTACGTTATGCTTCAAAACAAGAGCTAATAGAAAATGTCCTCTGTCGTACAATGACATAAAATTCAATGTCAATACCTACTCAATCGTCCACAAAAATAACAAACTTGTCGGAACTGCTTATGCTGATATCAAGGAGAATGTTTCATAGAATCGGAATAAATTTGATGACGACATTGTGAGAAAGATGAGTTTTTGCTTGCAAAAACAGGTAAATCATGCCTGCTTTTGGAATCAAACAACATATTTTGAAGATGTGCGAAAAAATAAGAAAATAAGGATCGCAAAAAAATATATTTAATAAAACTAAAGACATAAAGATTTTTTGTTTCAGTATATCTTCAAAAGTCGAGAATATAAGTTGTGCAAAAACAAGTTTTTAAGTTTATAAATATTTTCTGAATCAGATTAATAAAAAAAAATTTTTGGTGAGTGTCTGATGAAGTAACAGTGACTTCTTTATAACAAATACATAATTATTGAACTTAAAATCATGCTTATAAATAGAGTGAGGCCTTAGTTAATCCACATTACTCGATTGACATTGTTTCTAATGCTAATCAAATGATTCGTCGTCCAAATCTCATTTTTTGGTAAAGTTCAAGAAAACTTGTTAAAAGAGAAGTTAATGCATTCTTTATCAGAAATGCTGAAAAAATGGCACATCTTTTAGTATTAATTTTGTGTCAAATGAAAAAGAAGTTTTACCTTTTTTATGGCATTTAAGATCAATTTAAAAAGTTGGTCAATAATCGAATAAAGAACTTATTTAAAAAGATCCCACAGAATCTAACGAAACTTGCAGATTATAATGAAGTCCGGTTTTCTCTTGTATCGAAATTTCTCGATCATGTCTTACGCATTCAGGGAAAGAGATGACGAAGGATTTTGCCTTCAGACTTTTTTTTTTATTTCGCGGAAGAATCTTGATATTGAAATAAAAATGATAAGCGTTGTCTATCATCTGCGAAAATCATAAAAATACAGTCATCAAGGCATACTGGATTTGAAGAAGAAATAGTTGCGTATTGTTGATTATAATCAAGCATCCGGGATACCAATTGATTTGTTTACTAGTCAGGTGGTTTAGAAACTATTTTCTCAATCTTATAGCAAGAACTTTTCTTTAATTCGATAGAATTTATTTCGGTTCTCTGAAAAAACTGCACTAAGAATTCTAGCTTTATAAAGATTAATCTGCGAATAGAATTACAATTAATTAACTTTGAGAACAAAGAATTGGGTTTTTTGGAATCATTGCAAAAGAAATTTAAGAATTCTTAAAAATCTTTTTTTGCTAAATTTTAATTTTAATTGTTCTACTTCAAACAAACTTTACTAAGGTTAATATTCATCATTTCAAAGCTTCTTTTATTCATTTATAAATACATTAATTAAGATTATTAATCCTCAAAAAATGTATTTCGTTTTAAAATTGGTTATGTTTTGATATTGTTCAATATTCTTTTGAGATTTTAAATTAATCTTTTATGCATCGAACAATACAAAATATTCATGAAGTATTTTGTGCCAAAATGTAAAAAATATTTTAAGAAATTTCATGTTATCTACAGTTTTTCATAAAATGCATTGCTTAATTGCTTAACATACACATTCAAACGCAAGAGATTAACTTGTTATCAGTTCAACTTTAAAATTGTCATTTGAAAATGGGATACGGGATTGATAATTCTTTGTATGATTCTTGTAATTGCTTCTTAAGAAAAGCTGTCACTGTCATTGACTCTATATCAAGACTCCCTCAGATTATAATCCTTTAAAAACAAAGAACCTTGGGATTATTTAAAGATTCTAATATTCAGGAGCCTTGCTCTAGATCAGTGGACCTCAAACTTTAATAAACACCAATAATTGAAACCAGGATTTACTTTTTGATAGAACTTTAAAAAATCTTTTTTCCCATTAATTAGCAAACTAATTAGTAATTTTATTCAGCCAGAACACAGAACTTAATCCATTAGAAATATAATAATTTAAATTTGTTTCACACTCGCGTGTAGCGTTAAATACAAGTGTATTTCGTTCCCATTATCATACAATTGAACTGGTATTTGCAATATTGAAACTCGACAGACTTAAAAAAAACATTTCAAAGTTTGTGATCAAAGTGTCAAGACGTTAAAATCTTTAAAACTTAAAATATATTTTTTTTGTCAGAGAATGTTCAATATAAATGATATAAATCATCAACAATACACGGCAGCTGGAGCGAACAATAAGTCTTTGTCAGCATTAATATGGAAGTTTACTTACTGGTTCATGGTCGGCTTAACAATGTCAATAATTGAAACTGCAACCTACATTTACCACTTATTCATCCCTCGAACACCAGCCGATGTGTCAAAGCAATTAGCACTTGTAACAGGTGGCGGAAACGGAATGGGACGAGCATTTTGCTTTAGATTAGCTAAAGAGAAATGTGACATTGCTGTTGTTGATATTGATTATCAGTCTGCTCTTAGGACGGCTTCAGATATTCAAGAAGAATATAAAGTTAAATGTCGAGCATTTCAATGTGACATTTCAGATTATGCAGCAGTCCTTGAGCTAAAGAATAAAGTCGAATTGGAAATGCGACCTATTGATATTCTCGTGAATAATGCTGGTCTGCTTTATATGTCTGATTTCTTAACAAGTGATATGAAAGATATCAAGAGAGTTGTGGACGTTAATGTTACATCTCAAATTATGGTGAGTTAATTTACTTTTTGATTGATTGACATGTTGCTAAATGAACGACTCCTAAACAATGACTTAAAGCTTAATGCCTGACTTAATTTCAGTTTAGTAATTATTATTTCCATAATCTTGTAGGTTGTTCACACATTCTTACCAGGGATGCATGAACGAAAACGTGGAAGAATATTAACAGTCGCATCAATTACTGTTATCAATCCAATGCCAGCAGCCGTCGTGTATACAGGAACGAAATTCGCAGTTGAAGGTTTCATGTCATGCCTGTTCGATGAACTTGCAGTAAACAACAATGATGAATACATCAAGCTCACAACATTATATCCAGACTTTACTCACACCAGAAAGGAACTTTCGGACACTCTTGATCATATTAAGTATGATTTCCCACGATTAACACCAGAACGAGTTGCTGATGAAGCTATTCATGGAATGTTGACAGGAGAAAGAAGAGTTGTTGTTAGTGATATTAAAATTGCGCATTACTTCTTAAGGTAAGAATTGGTTTTGTCAACAGTAAGAGACGAAGGTTGTTCTAAGTGCTTTCAATTTTATTCCGTCATAAGAGCAGGGCACCTTTTGAACTGTTGGCTACATTATTATTGTGAATCTATAGACCAGTTAAATTTAATGAAGAATTAAGATCCAGATGCTTTAATCTGTGATCTCAAGCATTTGTCAAGCTACAAAACTCATAATTTTAAATTATCTTTGAACTTAAACTGAAATCAAGGCATTTAATTTTTCAAAGCTTCCCAACTATCATTCAAACTTTAATTATGCAGCCAATCATTCAATTTGGCTTATTATTTCTATAGCAATTATTTGCTAATATGTTGCATTAATTATCACTATAAATCTTAATATCAGTTGCATAATTATAACACCGGAATTCATTAAAATCAATCTATAATAATTTATTACTACTTTTTTTTCGCAGGTTATATCCAGATCGTGCACGCAAATATTTAATGAAATCAATGACTGAAATAGGTCAGCTACTTAAAAAATAAAATAGTCTAATAGCTTTTATTAAAAGTCTACTGAGCTTTACTGTCAAAATTGAGTATGGAGATAAATGCTTCATTCTATACACTTTACTTGTAAATTCATTTAATAAATTTGTAAATAAATAATTTAATGAAATGAAATCTGTGAATAAATAAAAAGCGGGAAACAGGTATTGCAATTTAAATGAATTGATTTTCGGCAAATGAGGAGCTAGTTAACCAGATGTGCTTAAAAGAAGTATCTTTTTTAAAAAAATATTTTCATTTTTATTGAGTTATTTTTGTTCATCTGTAATTTTATAGTTTTTTGATTGACGGCGTATGTGAGTAAAATTTGGCTTGTAGCTAAATTGAATTAATTTATGCATAAACAATTCAAAAGTTATGGTGTCAAGGTAGAACAGAATTAAGTCTAATTGAGGTTTATCTGTCCATTCAAAATTGAAGTCAAGTAGTCAAGTAAAGACATTTCGATTCCTACCAAAGACGGATGTCTCAACTTTTCACAAAGTTAGATTAATAATAATCTCAAAACTTAATTAATACTGAATACTGAATACTGAATACTAAAGTTCAATGGCACATAAGAAGAACAATAATTTGATGGCACATAGTTTCAAATAATATTGATATTAAAAATTTAAGAAGCAATTGAGTCAATAAAATTCAATTTGAACTTAAACTTCAAAGATTTTTATCTAACCTTGAACTCATCTCAATTCTTCTTCTTGTTGACATCAACTGTTCGACTTCCACGATATCGTCGATAAATTCTCTTTATCACACAAGCTAAAATGACTAGAACCAGCACAATAATTGCTTGAATATCCCAAAAGTGTGAACCAAGCAGTCCCAAATTAAACTCAGCGGGTTTTAAGTGTGTAGCTTTTGGATGTCTTAAAATGTACTCACACCACCATACAGCACGATCTAGTGGCTTTTCTGGCTGATCCTTAAAAACTTTTGATTTTTGTTGAGCCGTTCGACGATATTTTGGGGTATGGAGGACTTCAACAATAGCTTTTTTAAGCTTTTCTGTATTAATTGAGTGAAAATCAACCTTAACTGCGATTCCTGATGAGACGGACTTGAAGACGTTTCTATGCTGATCAGCGATGAATGGAATTGCGACCATAGGAACTCCATGCCATACTGCTTCATGTGTTGATAATAATCCACCATGGGTGATGAATAACTTTATATTTGGAAGTGCTAGAATGTCATTTTGAGGCAGCCAGTCCTTAATCATAACATTTTTTGGCATGTCCTTAAGCATTTCAGCTGTTTCGAATTTCCATAAGAAATTATAGTCAGGAATTTGACGGAAAGCTTCCAAAATGCTTGTTATGGCCTTGGATCCAATCTCATCTGACCTCATATTTGTTCCTAGTGCCATCAAGACTGCTCCCTTCTTGCCTTTCTTTATAAATTCGCTTATATCTTCTGAAACTGGCTTTGGTTCTTTAATTTGAAGTCCACCAACTTGTATGATGTTTTGCGGTAATGGCTCTGGATAGTCAACAGCTGGATGTGAATTTACAAGCATTAAAACAGCTTTTTTGTCAAGATCCTCAGCGTATGGTGTGGTTGGACCATAAATCTCCTTCATTTGCTTATCAATCGCTGGAGTTGCAAAGTATTTTCGATAGCTGAATATGAATTGAGACAACGATAGATAAAAGTAAGCTTAAAAGTAGATTTAAATTGATATAGTGGAAATAAATGTGACTAGCCAGTTTGAGGCTCGAAATTTAATCTACAAAAAAAATAATTACTTACAATGAATCCAAAAAATTGATGACTCCATTATGCAATCGCTGAATAAAATTCATATTGACATCATAATGAAGGAGATAAAATGGTTTAACAGTCAATCCAAGTTTATCGCCACCGACAATATCAACAGTATAAGGTGGATTATTAAACGCCGATATTCCAATTAATGGTGGATATTTAAATTTTGGCAACAATCCTAATAGACAAGGGCCACACACAAAATCGTGTATGACGAGGTCAAATTTGAAATCATCTGGATAGTTTTTGATGACTTCAATGCCTTTACTTATTTTTATTCCCTCACACATTAACGCGCCGAAGTCATAGAACGAAAAGACTGATTTTAATGGCGATTCTCGACTCATTTCCAATAAATCGATATGCTCGGAACTGCTGTTGGTGCCAAAGGATTAAAAGCTATGAGCAATTTTACAGTGAATAAATTTCAAAGATTAATTACTTGTAATAATGCGAATAGACCTGCTCCAAATGGATGTAATGGAAATTTTCCACGACATTTTTACTCACGTCAGGTGACACGAATGTAATATTATGACCACGTAAAGCCAGTGCTTCTGCTACTGCACGATTAAATATGTAATGGCTTGGACTTTGATTTCCAGCAGTTGAGAAGATAAAAAAATGAATTATGAGATTTTAATGTAAATAATTGAATTGGATGTTTATCCGAAACCTGTGTTTTTGGATTCTTGACAAGTTTTGAGAGAATTTAGACGGCTTTTAAGATATTTAAGCTGAAATGCTTGAAGAATAAAATATAAACCTTACTAGATTTTTCAATTAAGTTCTTAATAATCTCGAGAAATTTGATTGTGAAGTGACCTTGGAGCTCTCATTCACCTTCTCACGTAACATCAATCTGATTCTCATTCAAAAAAAAATCTAAAATTTTCAAATAAATTTTTCGAGAAATCTAAATCACAGAAGTTCAAAAATTAAACTTTCTGACACTCAAAACATCAAGCTCAAAAACCCAAACAATTCAATTTACATTAATTCATTCCCTCAAAAATACCTAGGAATTCCACTTAAAACAAGTATATTTGTAGCTTCATTAGATTTTATCACATAAAACAATAAGATAAGGCACACGAGCTTCATTTTTAGATTCTAATTCACTTGAGATACTTCTGCATGAGCCAAAATACAAAATTGAACTAAAACATAGGCTGCGAAAACATCGTTTCGTTATCACACATGTGGTTCTCATGACCTTCGCAATAATTTTTTTTTCATTTAATTTGATCGAATGAAAAGAGAGAAAAAATTAAATTTGATTTTTTTTTGTATGTTTGAAAAATTATTTTCAGTGTGGTTGGCAACTTGAGAAGCAGAGGTGGATCTGGAATTTATTCCAGGATCTAGATCTGATTTGAAACTTTATAGAAAGCAAATTGGATGACGAGAAAAAACTAAATGCCCCTCAAACATCTGCATCTTTCCATACAGATTCTGCAGCATATGAACGATACTGATTAAAATGGAAAGAGTTTATAACCCTGCCAATCATTTATTTTTAGAATAAGTAAAAAGTCAAATTTATTCATGTCTCAATGAACGTTATTTACTCAATTTTTTTTTTCTCTTGATCATTTTAAATAAGTGAGAATTTGTTATGAAAATTAATAGAGTGCGATCATTGTTAATTGGAGTAATTTCATTTCAAATCACTTGAAACAATTTTCTCATTTAAAATTAGAGTCTTTTGGTGTATATCCGTTAAAAATTTTAATTCGTAAACGATTAAATCTAAAAAAATTGCCATGCCAAACTGTGTTTACACAAAATAGCGTGTAAAAAAATCTCCTTTTTAATAAAGAGTTGATCCAAAATTTTATTTTGAATAATGTGCCAAACTAGTTTTAGTTCCCTTACAAAGAAGCTTTTCACAGAGTTGCGAATGTCACTTGCATGTTGCTCGGAAAACTTTATCTAAATTAAAACTTAATTTCCTTCGTTCAATGAACGCTGAATACTTTGTCAAGATAATAATTAAGTTTATGTACAAAGAATAGTAAAAGATTTTTAAAAAAGAAGCTAAGTTTGGAGAAGTTCGGAAATAAATCCTTTTTGTGTACATGAATCATTCTTAAAAAAGCTCTTTCCAGTTTATAAGCTTTATTTGTAGAAAACTATTATAAATCTTTTAAAACAATTGTTTGTTTAGTGTTTTGGTAGCCGTAATAGATGTGATGAAGTTTTTCTTGTTCATATTTGTTTAAAGATTAGTTTTCAAGTTGTTTGATGAATAAAAATAAATTTTATGCAGCTGTGAAAGTATTTGTCTCTATTATTAATATTTTAAATAATATGTTTCAAACTCTTTAATGCTTAGATTGAATCTTTGTAATAGAACAACAGATATTTATCTGGACACATTAATTCCGTATATGGAAATAATTTATAAACTCGATGTGAAGTGTGCTGTGTCATTTGATAAGATTGTGTATGAAGTATATTTTACTTTTCTAAACAAAAGTTTCAGTGCTTCTCAGCATTTCAAAGAGTTCACATCAAATTAAAAAATAAAAACTTAACTGCGATGGATGAAACGAAAGTTATTAATAAAAGTTCATTGCCAAATAAAGTTTATGAGAAAGTTCTTAATGAAATAATTGAGAATAACTTAGGAAAGTCGAGTGATGAGTTTAAAATAATTTGCAGTGCTGGATCTGAGAATGGCGATGGCTATGTTGGAGAAATGTACAGAATAAGGGTAGTCGATAAAGAAACAAACGAAGACAAACTAAATTTGATAGTTAAAGTTCCACCAGAGAATCCTGTCCGTCGTGATCAAATGTTTATTAAAGCTAATGTAATATTTGAACGAGAAGCTGACTTCTATGATAATGTCTATCCAACGTATACAAAGTTTCAAGAAGATAAAGGCATTGATGTTGAAAAGGAAGGATTTCATGAAGTTCCAATTTGCTATAAAACTTTGACTGAGGAACCTTATGAAGGTATTTTTATGGAAGATTTGAAAGCAAGTGGATTCGATATGTTTGATCTACGTAAGGATTTAACAAAAGATCACGTCTTTCTCGTAATGAAAGCTCTAGCAAAAATGCATGCAATCTTCTACAGTATTAAGGATCAAAATCCAGAATGGACTGTAAAATATAAAACACAAAAAGATCTATTCATCTTAATGACAGAAAAAGGAAAATCACCAATGGATCCCTGGTTTGAAAGTATGAAAAAGCAGGCACTTAAGGTCATCAATGAAAGCGAGAACACTGATATGGTTGAGAAGATTAACAAATTGCTGAATAATAAATTTAACAAATTGATTGAAAATTGCTTTGACCTTGAAAAAGCTGAGCCATATGCGACGTTATGTCATGGAGACGTAAGCGTTTTTTTATTAAAATAAATTCTAAATTAAAAGTAATTTATCATTTTTTTGCAGTGCTGGAACAACAACATGCTTTTCAGATTTGATGATGTATGTATTAACAGCTATTAAAATGATTAATTCTAATGATCGCTTATATTTAACAGAACGAAATGCCTCTTGAACTTAAATTTGTCGATTTTCAAGTTATTAGGTATGTATCGCCAGTTTGTGACTTAGTTTACTACATTTTCTGCGGCACAACAAAGGAATTGAGAGATGAGCACTATCAAGATTTCCTGAATGTTTACTATGAGGAGCTTACATCCTATATAAGAAGATTAGGTTCCGATCCTGAAAAGCTGTTTCCAAGAAAAGCTTTTGAGCATCATTTAAAAGTTTTTGGACATTTTGGATTGCTAATGGCATTGATGACACTTCCAATATTCACAAGCGATTCGAAGGAAGCACCAAACATGGATGAATTAGCTGAACAATTTGTCAAGATGGGAGAATCAAGTGAAGTTGATGAGAATGCTTTTCATTTCACAAAAATACGGAATCAAAACAGATACGATGCTCGAATCTTGGGAGTATGTAATGATATGGTTGAGTTGGGATATGTATAATCTGATATGATCAATTTACACAATATTATAGTTTAATAAATTGTTAATTTTTAAAACAAAAACTGAATTTTTAATTTCCATACTAGTTAAAACCTTATCAGAAGTGATGGCACGCTTAAAACTCATTATTTTTTCAATCTTCATCATCCGACCTAACGACTTCACTCAAAAGCATTCTTATCTACAGCCAAAAATATGTCTCGTGCCTTAAAAGGAAAGTGAAATTAAAAACTGTGCCTTGATAAGGATAACAAATTTTTTTATTGCTTAATTGCCAAGCCACAGCCATGATTTCAAGGAAAATCTAGAATTTCGATCTATGCTTTAGGCATTAATTAAAAATTCCATAGTTCCCAAAGTTCCATTAATTAACTACCGCAAGTTTAAAACCATAATTTTTAAACATCAATCAGTTCCTATCCGTTCAACCCATTCATAAAAATTACAAAACATTATGAAATACTTAGTATATAGGTGAGCACGAGAGAATCAAGAGCATTGACCTTGAGCAACATGTGCTCATGTAAAAAGATATTCTCAAACATAATAATACACTCAAAAAATTCTCTCCGAAACTGATAAGTTGCGAATGAAAAAATTGAGAAAACAATTAGTTTTGCGTGCTTTATAAAGCATTACAGAAGCGTCATTTATACTCAGAAAATTTAATTGATTAAACCATGGACGACACAGTGTTAAAATTCCCAAACGAAATATATGACAAAGCATTAGAAGAAGTTGTCAGCAAGCAACTGAACCTTTCTAAAGGAGAATATGAAATAAAGTTTAAAGAAGGATCATCAAAAGGTGACAACTATAATGGAATTATTTATCGTGTAGAAATAATCAAGAATGAGGAAGTAAAGTTGAGTATTATTGTGAAACTCCCACCAGACAATCCAGCAAGACGAGAAGAATTTTTAATCCATAAAAGCTTTTTCCAAGAAGCTGACTTTTATGACAACATCTATCCAATGTACAAAAAGTTTCAAGAGGATAAAGGAATTGATGTCCAGAAAGACGGGTTTTTCCAAGTTCCAGTATGTTACAAAACCTTACCAGATGATCCTCATGAAGGATTATTTTTTGAGGATCTCAAAGTCACTGGCTTCTCAATGTTTGATCGCAAGAGAGATCTTACTAAGGATCACATATTTCTAGTCATTGAAGCACTTGCCAAGATGCATGCAACTTACTTTTCTATCAAGGATCAAAAACCAGAGCTTGTTGAAAAATACAAAGACATTGAAGATTACATTCTCAAGCAATGCCGTCGTAAAGAAGCCGCAATGAAAATATTTAATGAAAAAATGAAGAATCAAGCACTTGATGTACTTAAATATTGCAAAAATGAGGAGCTTGTTAAGCGTGTAAGAGAAGTATTGAGTCCAGAATTGCATCTTTTATTAGAAGAAGGCAATGATGTTCAAGCTGCTGAGCCTTATGCGATTTTGTGTCATGGTGATGTAGGTAGTAAGGATTTGTGTATGATTAAAGATTTAAGCACTTATTTTCTGAATTGCAGTGTTGGATGAACAATGTCATGTATCAGTATGATGAGGTAAGTACCCTAGATTTTATCTAACAAGTTATAGCACTAATTATCACACATTTAGAACGGAATTCCAAAAACATGTATACTGCTTGACCACACAATTATGAGATATGCTTCCCCCATTACCGACTTAGTTTATCTCTTGTTTTCAAGTACAACCAAAAGTTTACGAGATAAATACTACAACGAATTCATGAGTGTGTACTTTGATAAGTTATCAAGCTTCATGCAACGGTGGGTTTGATTTTTTTTTTGTCGAATGACTTTACAAAATTATTAAATTGCTGTTCACAGGTTGGGTTCTGATCCAGCAATCGTTTTTCCACGCGACATTTTTGAAAGTCATTTAAAGAAATTTGGAAAGTTTGGACTTGCAATGGCAATAATCTTGGTTCCAATGGTTACAAGTGATGCCGATGATGCGCCAGAAATTGACGATGTTGCGGATGCTTTTAAAGATAATAAAGATCAATCAGGTGACGTGATGAATTTTACAACAGCTAAGACATTAAAGGTCTACGAACAAAGAATGATGGGAATTTTTGAAGATATGTACAATTACGGCTATATATGAGAATCACAAATTTTAATGTAATCATAATCAGCACGCGTAATAACAGCAATAAAGATTAAACTACCTCATGACAGCTTGTTATGAATTATTTTTATTTACAAAGCATTTTCCAAATTAGGTACGAAGCAAATTTAAATGTTACGACATACTTAAAATGCCGTCAGTTCTCAGTGTCTATTCAGTTCGTTCGTATTAGCTGTTGATTTATTTACGAAGCTATGGATTCAAACCATGATGAGTTTTGTTTACCAAATAAAATTTACGATGATGTTTTGAAGGATATCCTTAAACATAATCTAAATAAATCTACTGATAACTATGAATTGGTTTTCAGCGCTGGATCTGCCAAGGGAGACAATTATATGGGAGTAATCCACAGAGTTCAAGTAATCGATAAAGCAACTGGAGAAAATAAACTCAATTTAATCGTCAAGTTACCGCCACAAAGCCTTGCAAGAAGAAATGAAATGTCCACAAGTGATTTATTCAGACGTGAAGCTGATTTTTATGACAACGTTTATCCAATGTACAAGAAGTTTCAAGAAGAGAAAGGAATTGATGTAGAAAAGGATGGATTCCATCACATTCCGTATTGCTATAAAACTTTAATTGAGGAACCTTATGAAGGACTTTATTTTGAAGATCTTAATGCTAGTGGATTTGAAATGTTTGATCGTTTAAAGGAAGTTACAAAAGAGCATGTATTTCTTGTCATGAAATCTCTTGCTAAAATGCATGCTGTATTTTACAGTATCAAGGATCAAAAACGTGAATTAATTGAGCCCCATACAAAAATTAAAGACATTTTCCTAACTTTAAGTGACAGACCAAATTCTCCAATGACTCCATGGTTTGATTCTCTTAAGAAGCAAGCTTTAGAAGTTATAAATAAAAGTCAAAATAAGGACATGATTCAAAAGATTGAAAATTTGTTGGAGAACAATTTCAGTGAATTATTAAAAAATTGTTTGGATCTTGAAAAGACCGAACCATATGCAGTATTATGTCATGGTGATGTAATGAACTTAATTGTTATTTCTTGATGAACTTTTAATGACTTTAATCAAATTACTTTACAGTGTTGGAACAACAATGTGCTGTTTAAGTATGATAAGGTACAGTAAAACAATAAATAGCTAAAATATCTGACTACATACCTCATTTTTCTTGGCAGAATCGAGCTTTAAAGTCTCTACGTCTTTTGGATTTTCAAATTATGCGCTATAGCTCTCCATGCCTTGATCTAATGTATTACATTTTCTGTTGCACAACAAAATCTTTACGGGATAAGCACTATCAAGACTTTTTGAATGTTTACTACGTTGAACTATGTGATTTTATTCAAAGGTAAGGAAATTAATGAAGTGACTCTTATTTATCACTCTTAATTCCAAATTAATTTGTTTTAATAAATTAGGCTCGGATCAGATCCTAATAAGCTCTTCCCGCACGAAGCATTCCTAAAACACTTAAAACAATTCGGAAAATTTGGATTCATCATGGCTATGATTGTTCTTCCGATTTTCACAAGTGATGCTAGCGACATTCCAGACATGGATGAACTTGCTGAAAACTTTAAGAAAATTGGTGATTCAGAGCAAGTAGACAAAGATGTTTTTAACTTTACAACAGAAAAAACATTTGATAGATATGCAGAGAGGATGATTGGAGTGTGCGATGATATGTATGCATTAGGGTACATATAGATAGTTTATTTTATATGACAAAGTTGTGGGCTTTTTGGTATTTTTATATTTTTTAAGTGATAAGTTTGAATTAATCATCCTCTTACTCACCCCTGCATGTTTATCATATCTCTTTTAAAAATGAATAAAGAATCTTTACAATTTGTTTGACATAACAGAGCAATTGATAAGGCTTACAACTTATATGTATATATTGAGCATTTTTTTTTTTCAGTTGAGTGTAGAAAATTCTCTCAGTTACGTTCAGTTGTGATTCTCAAGTCATACTATTCACATCATAAAGTTTGCTATAGTTTCTAATATGGACTCAAATCACAATCAATTTGCTCTTCCTCATAAAGTGTATGAAGAAGCTTTGAAAGAGATTATCAAGAATAATTTGAATAAATCTTTTGATGATTATCAGATAATCTATAGCTCTGGCTCGGCAAAAGGGGATGGCTATATTGGAGTGATTTGTCGAATTCAAGTTGTTGATAAAGAAACTAACGAGAATAAATTGAATTTGATTGTCAAATTGCCTCCTGATAGTCCCACAAGACGACAAGAATTGTCAATTGGTAAATTTTTTGCACAGGAATCAAATTTCTATGATAATGTCTATCCAATGTATAAGAAGTTCCAAGAACAAAAAGGAATTGATGTTGAAAAGGATGGATTTCATCATGTTCCATTTTGTTTTAAAACACTTACTCAAGAACCACGTGAAGGACTTTTCTTTGAGGATTTAAAGGCATGTGGATTTGAAATGTTTGACAGATTAAAGGAAGTAACAAAAGAACACGTCTTTCTCGTCATGAAAGCACTGGCAAAACTTCATGCTTTATTCTACAGTATTAAGAATCAACATCCAGAATTAGTTGAAGGCTACATTGGACTGAAAGATCCATTTACTATGCTGTGCGACAAAGAAAACTCCTCATTTAATCCTTGGTTTGATAATTTAAAGGATCAGACTCTTGAAGTCGTCAACAAAAGTGAAAATAAGGACATGGTTGAAAGGATCAACAGCTTGTTAAACAGGCAGTTTGGAGAGCTTTTGAATACTTGCTTTGAACGTGAGAAAACCGAACCCTATGCAACTTTGTGTCATGGTGATGTAATGTCTGCAAGTTTGACTTATATCTGTAGATTTTAAAATTTTCAATTTATTTCAGTGTTGGAACAACAACATGCTCTTCAAATATGATAAGGTAAGATGAAGGTTATTAAACTCTGATTATTAAATTGACTAGCTTAATATTTTTACAGGATGGAACTTCAAGTTCTTTAAGGCTTCTTGATTTTCAAATTATTCGCCATGTTTCTCCAGTTACAGGTAAGCTTTATTCTGTGTATATTATGTTTATGACATTAATATTCTGTATTATAGATCTGATGTACTACATTTTCTGCTGCACCAAAAAATCTTTACGGGATAAGCATTATCAAGAATTTTTAAACGTTTACTATGAAGAACTGTGTAGTTTTATTCAAAGGTAAGGATGTTGCATCAAGTCTCTTGTACCCTTAATATCAAATTTAATCATCTTAAATTAGGCTCGGATCAGATCCCGAACAGCTTTTCCCACGCGAAGCATTCGAGAGTCACTTAAAGAAATTTGGAAAATTCGGCTTAATCATGGCTATGGCAGTTCTTCCATTATTCACAAGTGATGTAGATGACATTCCAGACATGGAAGAACTTGCTGAAAAAATTAAAAGAATTGGAGCAGATGAAGAAGTTGACAAATCAGCATTTAACATTACAACAGACAAAACTTATGATAGATATGCAGAGAGGATGATTGGAGTGTGCGAAGATATGTATTCGTTGGGGTATATATAGTCAAAGTTGATAACGCAGGCTTAAGATTCCTCATTAAGGCACTAATATATCAACTTTTTATAGAGACAATTAAATCAAATTTTTATTAAAATTGTAATTAAAAATCATATAGAACATCATAAAATTAACAGGCATTGCAACTTTGCATTCTCATCTAATAATAGCCTGTCAGACAAGTTAATAAATAATAAAATTACAAACCTACATAAGGCACGTGCTTGAATTGAATTACAACGAATAGGGAAAAAAATCTAAATAATTTGCTTACTTTAATGACATAGATAACGTCGTCATATAGAAGTAGCTGCATATCATTTGTGTTTGCTAAGTACTCTTAATATTAAGTGTATGAAAAAGTATTCAGACAAAAGTTTCAAGTTTAGTATCAAGTGTCATCTCAAAGCGTTCACACCTAATTATAAAATGGAACCAGATCATGAACAAATTGTTCTGCCTAAAGTGTATGAGGAAGCAATTAGAGAAATTATTAAAAATAATTTAAGGAAGTCATTTGATGACTATGAAATAATTTACAGTCCTGGATCTAATAAAGGCGACAATTATGCTGGAATTGTTCATAGAGTTCAGATTAAAGATAAGGCAGAAGGTGAAATAAAATTGAGTATGATTCTTAAGGTTCCACCTGTGAATCTCACAAGACGTGATGAATTTATGGCTAAAGAGCTTTTCATTCGTGAAATTGAATTCTATGACAACATTTTTCCAATGTTCAAGAAGTTCCAAGAAGAAAAAGGAATTGACATAAAGAAAGATGGATTTTATCAAGTGCCTTACTGCTACAAAACTTTAACTGCCGAACCTTTTGAAGCACTTTTCTTTGATGATTTAAAAGTCAAAGGATTTGAGATGTTTGATAGATTCAAGGAAGTAACAAAAGAGCACGTTTTTCTCGTAATGAAGTCCTTGGCTAAAATGCATGCTATATTTTACAGCATAAAAGATCAAAATCCAAAATTAGTTGAATCATATTTCGAACTTCGGGACTTGTTCATCATGTTCTGTGAACGCAAAAATTCTGCTATGGATGCTTGGTATGAAAGTATGAAAAAGCAAGCATTTGTAGTAATCAATGAATGCAAAGATATTCAGTTAAAGGATAAAGTGAATGCTTTCCTTGAAAAAAGTATTTATGACTTGATGTGCGACTGCTGTGATCGAAAGAAAACAGAACCGTACGCAACGTTGTGTCACGGTGATGTAAGCTAGTCATTAATTTATGCTATACTTAAAATCTGACTATAATGTCTTTTAATAGTGCTGGAATAACAACATGATGTTCAGAAATGATCAGGTATAAGATTGATCAGCTTATTAATGACTTCTAATGTCTAATTATCTGTTCTTTTCTCAGAGCGGAACTCCAAATGCCATTCGTTTATTAGATTTTCAAATTCAGCGCTATAGCTCGCCAATTTTAGACTTAATGTACTATATTTTTGGATGTACTGTTAAGTCATTAAGAGATAAGCATTATCAAGAATTTTTGGATGTTTATTACGATGAATTATCAAGTTTTATGACTAGGTGATATGCATATAAAGGAACAAAATTCTAATTGTTAATTATCGCGTAACGCGTGGCTTTAACAACAAGACTTCAGTCAATAAAATTCAGTTGTAATCTTACAATTCTTATCATTACAGACTTGGATCGGACCCCAAAAAGCTCTTTCCTCGCGATGCTTTTGAAAGTCATTTGAAGGAATTTGGACATTTTGGACTTACAATGGCACTAATAATCCTTCCATTTTTCATTAATGACGTTAAGGATGCTCCTGACATGGATGAACTAGCTGAGAATTTCAAAAAAATAAGCGAAAGTGTGGAAATTGATGAAAATGCTTTCAATTTTACGTCTGGAGCTAATCGAGACAAATATTCTGAAAGATTGTTAGGAGTTTGTAAGGATATGTGTGACCTGGGCTATATATAGATTATTTTATTATGGTTTCTTCTCAGTTTTCCTTTATTTGTAGACATACGTATAAAAAATATAAAAAATTCTTCTTACTTTTCTAATCACTGCAAAATTATTATCAAATATAAAGTCCTTAATGTCATAGTTAATGTCATCAATTCAATAAGTTTTTCTGTGGAATAAAAAATTTTAAATTAAGAATAAAATAAAATCACTAAGTTATAATTTAAAATATTTTTACCTTCAAGAAATTATCCCAAGCTTTATCCTTCATCATTAAAGCCTTTTTGACTTCATTAAGAGTTTTGAACTTTCCTTTTACCATTCTGTGACTGACTAGTTGATATGCTGTCTTTGCTCCTATTGTTGGCAAAAGTTGTAAATCTTTCACTGATCCTGTATTGAGCATTTCCATTATTGCAGTTTTGTGATCATGTTTTGTAACTTTTGTGATATTTTCAGTGGATTGGCCATAATATGAAGCAACGATTTGATTTTTAACTACTTGTCTCTTTACAGAACGCGAAACTTTTTCCTCGACCTTAACTGATTTGTTTGATTTATTTTGCATGACATTACGCATATCTGAAATTCTTGTACTGCGACGTGTTGGATGAACAATCGTTTTGTTACAATCGGGAGAGAATGCATCAAAAACTTTGACTTCGTTTTCTTTATTTTCCTCAACAGCTTTAAAGGAAGAATCAGTAGTCAAATCAACAGTCAGTAATCGACGATTTGTTCTCCTTGCTTGATTAAGTATTGGTTCGTATTGTGGACTGGCTGGTTTACGTTCTACAGTTGAGCAAACTGGAGCTGATGTGATTTCAAAGACTGATTGATCAAGAGATTTTCTAACTTCTTCTATTCCATTCATTACAGCATCTTTCATTTGCTGATGAACGACAACAGTAGATTCAATATTAGTAGATGTTTGATTTCGAAAAGATTCCATAAATATTGACAATTTATTGTCGATTGTTTCTTCAATACGCCTCATCAAAGGACTGAAGCTCACTACTGGCGCTGCCTGCAAACTAGCTAAATTTGAAGTAGATCCGAAACGTGATACTGAATTTGTTGCTCCATCAACTTCTGTTGAGGTTGATACGTTCATGATATTAAAGGTTTGATTGTCAATTGATTCTTTTGGCGGTTGGAAAGCTTCTTTTGGAGCTAATTGATTAAAAGTACTCAAATCAGCAAGATCTCCAAGATCTGTGTACCTGGATTTTGACATTGGTACTTTCTTAGCTGATGGAGTGATGAATGAAGTACAGCGATTAGGAACAGCTGGTTTTTTAATAGTTGATAATGGTGGTTTCAAGCTTGAAAGTCCAAATTTTCCAGGCGTTTTTGCTTTATCATTCTTCGTTGTTGGAAGCATGTAAGGCTTGAGTGGTGTACGAGCATCTAAGCGCTGTAAACAAATAGATAAATCTAGCCATCAATAAAAGAATAGAAAGAGCATTGCGATAGGTCAAGTTTGTTGCTGATAAAATTTTTTCGACCTTGATCATCTGCGATGTTCATAGCTGAACATTTTCATGTAGATTTCATCAATTAATTTCTATGTACAAAATTTGTGTAAATCTATTTTAAAGTTCTTTGACAATTAATGCCGCTAATTAAAGAAACTCGAAACGTAATCAAATAGAATTGACTGAGATTGTAAAAATTTACCAAACACATGCATGGAGAGTATTAAAAAAATTCTATATTTTTAGTCGCTCTCTCGCTTTGCTCTTCAGTATCTTGTCAGCTTTAGAGCTATAAACACATATTGTTGAGTTAATAAAAACAGACGAAAAACAAATCTGCATCGTCAAGTATCATAAAATTAATCAAGAACACAACGAACTGTGATCTATAGCATACCACTTGTTTGAGACATTTAAGTGAGTTTCTATTTTTAATGTGCCTAATAATTATACCAAATGTCTATAAAGTTGTTATTAATGTAAATTGAAATTAATTGTGATAAGCAAATGAGAATGGCTCTATGCAGTACCAATGATTGAAATTTTTTGTTCTGAATTTCATGCTTTAAAGTGACCAACTCAAAGTTCAATACCATTAGATGCGGATCATATTTTTTGGAACGTTAACAACTTTTTCAGACCATTAAAATTGTCAGTAAGATTCTGAGGGACGGACTTTGATTTAATAAAGAAGTCGAGAACATGAGAATATTTAACCGAGATACTATTGCTGACAATTTAGATAGCATGCATGTAAATATCTTGAGATTGAATGCCAATGAATTATATACGATAAACTCAAGAACTTTTGATATTTTAATAATCATAAACCTATCAAACAAGTTTTATACATTTTCTAATACGCGAATCAGCTGATGATTCGTTCACAAAGAGAATCTCACCTCCTACCCCTTACTATGATGTCATTTTTAAACGACCCCTATTAGGTTTATTTCCCGAATGTATGAAGTCTTGAACGACAAGCTAATATTTGTACAAAGACCACAAGTGGAAATATCACTCGAATCAAACACATGTTCTTGAATAAAAATGATCATCATCACATAATTAGATCTAAAAATTAAATTGTCATAAATATTTGCGTGCTAAAGCACTATTTGAGATAAACAAGCATGATAACTACTGCAAAAAAATTCTCATCATTATTTGTTGGGCAGCTTTTTTATTAAGCTGATGACTACATGAATAAAAATGATGAATGTACATTTTATTCAAGGCGTACACACTTAGGAAATTTCCGAAAGTTTCCCAAAATTTTATGAGAATACCAAAAGTTTCGGAAGTTTGTGGAGTTTCCATAAGTTTCCTTAAAAAAAACTTCCGGAAGTGTACTAAGTGTGGACGCCTTGATTTTAATCGACTATTATTAAGCGGCAAATAAAGCTTAATAAATTTTCAATGTCAAATACTTGTCACTCCCAATAAAAAAATGAATTTAATTTTCGTAATATAGATAAAGCACAATGGCTGAGGACGGAATTGAATTGAAGAACGAAGAAGCAGAGTTCATAGCTCTACCGAATGAAGTTTATATCCAAGCATTGCATGAAGTCATTAAGAATAATTGCAATTTAACCGAAGATCAATACGAAATCCAATGCTGCGCTGGTTCTGCAAAAGGTGACAACTATATAGGCATTGTGTACCGCGTATCCGTTAAGAGCAAACAAGACAATTCAGTTAAATTAAATTTGATTGTTAAATTGCCACCGCAAAATGCAGCTAGGCGAGAACAATTTTTCGTACGACCATGCTTTATTCGCGAAGCAGATTTTTATAATAATCTGTATCCAATGTACAAGCAATTTCAAGAAGAGAAAGGAATTGACGTTGAAAAGGATGGATTTCATGAAATTCCATTTTGTTTCAAAGCTCTTACTGACGATCCTTTTGAAGGACTTTATTTTGATGATTTAAAAGCCAGTGGATTTGAAATGTTTGATAGATTTCAAAATGTCACAAAGGAGCAAGTTCTTATCGTCATGAAGACTCTCGCAAAAATGCATGCAGTATTCTATTGCATTAAGGATCAAAAGCCTGAATTAATTGAACATTATCGTGACATGGTTGATATATTTTTGCAACGTAAAGGCGATGAGAATATGAATGTTTGGTTTGAAAGTGTTAAGAATCGATCCAAAGACACTATTACAGAATGTGGAAATGAGGATATGATTAAGAAAGTTAATGACTTGCTGTCTTTGGATTTCTTCGAACTTTTGGAGACCTGCATCAATGGAGAAGCAGCTGAACCTTATGCTATAGTGTGTCATGGAGATGTAAGTGATTTAATTCAATGGTTCTCAAATTTTTTTTGGTTCACGGCACACTGATTGACATTTTAGAGCAGTCTAAGCTCTACAAATAACATTAACGGGCCGCAACCAACAGTTTGAGAACCGTTGAATAACAGGATTCAATATCTAATGCTTTTAAAATTTCTAGTGCTGGAACAACAACATTATGTACAAATATGATCAAGTAAGTGCCAAAAAATTGTTTACTTCTCAAAGTATTTACGATTTCTTTTTATAACACGTTTGCTAACACGTTTGGGTACAGCATTTAATGCTGAATTATCAGTCTTTTTTCTTGTTCCTTTCTCAGATGATTTTTTTGCATCCATAGGTGGATCTTTCTTTAATAAGTCTGTCTTTCTTGATATTTCGTTCAAAATTATTTCCTGAATTGATATTCGAACCCTTAACTTCATTGTGGGATCCATCATTGATAGATATGGAGTTATAGACTTGAAAAAGTGCATGATTTCATCACCAGGTGGATGTGGACAACAATCTTGAATCATTTTCTGTTGATTAATTAATCTCAACCTTTGTTGTTCTTGTTGCTGTTTCACATAATCATAATTATAATTATTAGACTCTGAATTACATTCATCATCATCACTAGGCTCAATCACAATCGTTTCTATATCGTCATTAGCTAAATCATTATTACTTTGCAAGTTTGAGCTGTCATTTTCGTACAGAACTTGAGATTGAATTTGTCGCTTGTCGAGAACATTTTCTAAAAATTCTAAATTATTAAAGTGGATCCAGCCACTTATTGCTATTCTATTTGACATTTTAAGTTTAAGTAACTTTTTATATTCTCGACGATAGTTGTCGCGTAAAGACTTCCACTTAGACTTGCAGATGGGCTCTAAAATAGTTTAAAATTCCATTCTCAAAATGATTCAATTATGGTCAATTGAAAGAGTTTTTACTTGGTATTCCTGTTTCCAATGCGATTTCATTCCACACTTCAATGATTCTTGGTCTATGATGATATAAGTGATGTTTTGGATCCCAAATTTCTGGATATTTCTCTATCTCTTCTATTAATTTCTTTATATCCATTTCAATTTCAATGGACTAAAATTCTTTTTTTATCTTACGCGACGCATGCTCATACTCATATATATGTTAAAAATTAATTTCTCTTCTCAGAGCGGAACTCCAAATGCTATTCGTTTGTTGGACTTTCAAATTATACGCTATAGCTCGCCTGTTTTGGATCTGATGTACTATATCTTTGGATGCACTGTTAAGTCATTGAGAGATAAGCATTATCAAGAATTTTTGGACGTCTATTATGACACGTTGGCAGATTTTATTAAGCGGTGAGGATCATCAAACTTAATTAATGCTTAATTTATCAATTACTGTTTCACAGGCTTGGATCTAACCCAGACAAAGTATTCCCACGCGAAGCATTTAATGAGCATATAAAGAAATTTGGAAAATTTGGTTTTATCATGGCTATGATGGTTTTACCAATGTTCACAGCTAATGCTGAAGATATTCCAGACATGGATGCAATGGCAGAAAAATTTCAGGATTTGAAGGAAACTGGCGAGAAATTAGATCCTTCAGAAATTGTCGACTTTTCATCATTTAAGACCGTTGATGTTTTCAATGAGCGAATGAGAGATGTCATTCAGGATATGTATGATTTTGGGTATTTTTAACAAGCTAGCATTTCATAATTTAACGACATTTTGTTAAATAAAGGACCTTTTCTATTGTTAAACTTTATTAAGTAATATGACATTAGCTCACCTGTTTTTCCTTTAAGAACTCGTTCATTTCTGGTAACATCTTGTTGTCTAGATTCTTGCATGACTGTGCGAACCGAATTGATGATAATGTCTCACCTCTATTTTTTCGAGCCGGTGAGATACATGCGATGAGTGTAAAGAATGACTCTAAATTCAAGCAGTCTTGTAAGACAGTTGTAAGAATGCTGTCGCGATATGGCACTAAATTTTTACCACTGCTTAAAGCTTGAACAACTTTGCAAACAGCCAATAAGCCTTGATTGATATGAACACCTTCTTGTTGAGCTATGCCTGAATGATTTGTTTTACGCAATCCTTCACTTCCTGCTAAATCTACTAAATGTAGGACTGACGATCGTTCGCTATTATCTGATTTTACAGTAAGCATTATTGTAAACATTGCATGAGATCTTGAGCTTGCAGCGTTCATAAGTGTTGATCGAACATGTCTATTTTTATTTCCTTTAAGAAGTAGCTGTTTAGCTTCAGATGAATTTTGAATTGGAACTTTAGTAGATCCTGAATATTTTGTTCCTTTAGTATGAATCGAATCTGAGCTCTTTTCACTGAGTAAATCATAAACTTTTTCATTGTAAATTTCGATGTACGATACACTGATTGAATATTCGCCATCATTTGTAGCTGATTTGCTTTTTTCTTTGATTTTATGAAATATTGAGTCTAGAGATAAAGATATCAATCCAAGACTTTTCTCATCCTTTTCATTTAAGCCCATCGTGAAGGTTTTTCCAGCTCCGGATTGTCCATAAGCCAAGATACAGTTGTTGTATCCATTTAATAAATGATCAACATTAGATTCCTTTAAAATTAATGATTATGAATTAACTTGTGCTATTTATGCTGTAATTTATGTTTAGTTCTATTAAACTTACCAGATTATAAAAGATTTCCTTGTTATTTGAGTTAGAATAGAAGATTCGATCAAAAAGGTATGCATTGTTTTCCAAAATAATCATTTTCTTCGTACTTTTATCGAAATCTATATATGTTTTCATTGGTGATGATGTTTCCCACAAACTAGGTGGTCTTATACGCAAAAATATATTAACTTTAGACGTGTTTTCCATCTTTTCACGGCACTTTTCTTTAATTAAAGTAAATTTTGATAGTTTCAATTTAATTTTGTAAACAAGCTTTTCAAAAAAATAACGTCTTTTGAGTTTAAATTTATTTCAGTCGTTATTTTTTTGGAACTTTTAATAGCTTTTAAGCCACATCTTAAAATCAATTGATTATTAATATTATAAAAAAGTATTAATTATGTAAAGTTCTAGAATGTTGCATGCCAAAAGTTGAAGCAAACGGTTTAAATTCAATTTTTCAAAACGGATTTTTTTTAAAAGTTGTCATCAAAGTCATTTTGTTTACATCAGTGCTGTTGAACCTTTTTTAACGATGATCAGACAAATAACAATAGGTTCAGGAACGGAAAAAGTTTGAGAACGACTGATCTACATCAAAGTCCATCATATTAAATACTATTTAATTAATTAAATAGTTAAGATGCTTCCTGAGTATGAGATTCGATCGAGTTTTAGTAAAAGTGTATCATTAGCATTGGATAAATCCACAAACAAGTATGTGGCATTAAAGAAAATTGCTGTGGACAAGTATAATGATGAAAACTTTAAGAAAATATGTGAAGAAGTTAAAATAATTAAGGATTTACAGCATGAAAACGTAGTCCAAATTTGTGCAGTATTTGTTAAAGATCTAGAAGTCCATACAGTATATCCATTCTTTTGTTTTGGATCAGCTAAAGAAGCTATAAAGAATTTCTTCTCGAGTGGTTTTCCAGAGATAATCTGTGCCTTAATTTTAAAGGATCTCTTATTAGCTGTAGAATATCTTCATTCTCGAGGAATTATTCACAGGTAAATAACGCTATTTAACAAGATCCAGTAAATGTACAACTTACTAATTGCAGAGGAATTCGTGCATCTCATATTCTCCTTAATCAGAAGCGTGCTGTACTTAGTGGATTTCGCGATGCTACTTCTCTTATACAAAATGGTGAAAGAATAAAAATCCTATATACTTTACCACTTCATTCGGCAAAATCAATTAATTGGTTTGCACCAGAATTGCTTGAACAAAATCTTTATGGATATAGTGAGAAGAGTGATGTCTATAGTATTGGAATTACAGTATGTGAGCTTGCAAATGGAATTGCTCCGTTTGGTGATCTTCCTACAACTTTAATGCTGACCGAGAAAATTCGAGGCAATCAACCATCATTATTAGATTCATCTACTTTTCCCTCAGAAGAAATCATCTTTCAAGCAATGGATTCAGGCATTGGAATCGGTGAAGCATGGGCTGCTGACAATACAAGACAAGTGTACTCTAAACGACTGCTGTCTGATCCTTTTCATAAATTTGCTGAGGAATGCATGGCAAGAAATCCAGAAAATCGACCAAGTGTCAATCAATTGTTGACTCAGCATTTATTTTTCAAGCAATGCAGGAATACGAATTTAGAAGATCAATTAAAGCAAATTTTGCAGCCAGTTGATCTAAACAAATTGAGCCTTGAGAATATCGCTCAAAAAAACATCGGTGACAGTGATAATGACTTAATAAGAGACATTGCATCTCTTAACATTCAAGCAAATGCGGAATGGGATTTTTAATTACTTATTTATTTAAACTTGCAATGTTCAAAAATTGAAAAAGAAAAGGAATTACATTTATGTATAATATAAAAGTTTATTAAGTAGCTGATTTTGACAAACAAAAATCGTTTTAACTTTTCATTTCAAATTAGACTTCTTTAATGATTAAAATAAAATATGAAAAATGCATCACTTAAACATCATGTTGATTATGCCGGAAAACCTTGAAACAGTTATGATAAATGGGAATATTTAGTAAATTAATTTTTTTAATGCTGTCTTTTGATTTGTTTGGAATTACAGCTCAATTTATCCATTCATTACCATTCTGACGAATTCTTCATAGTTTACATTTCCTTGCGAATCTTCTTGATTTGAAAGTAGCTGCTCGACCTGCACAAATACAATCATGTTTTACAGATCAATCACACGACAATATCAATCATTTACCTCTTCGTCACTCAATTTCTCTCCGAGTGTTGTTAATAAATGTCGAAGTTCAGCAGAACTGATGAAACCGCTTGCATCCTTATCGAAATGACGTAAGCCTTCAATAAAATCATCGGCTGTGTCACCTGAGCGTTGCTTTGAAATCGCCTGCAAAGTTTAGAAAAGCAAGCATTAATCCGGGGATTAAAAAAGATTGGATTAAGGTAAATCGTAGAAATTAAGGAATGACTTACTTGATAAATTGGAAGAAACACTTCAAAGGATATTCTCTCATCAGGCTTCAACTGATGAGTGAACTTTTTAACATCCGATTCGGTAGGATTTTGTCCTAAGGCACGAAGACATTCGCCAATCTGTTGCTGTTGGATTTTTCCATCTCCTCGATTGTCGAATAAGTTGAATGCTTCTTGAAATTCTAAAAATAGTAAGCAGAAGATTTTATATGAATGTTCATTTTTCGTTCAACTTTTAAGTACCATCGACAGAGGAGAAGGAATTTTTCTTGGGATAATCGTACATATGGAAAGATTAAAATCAAATTAATGAGAAGAGCAGAAAAAAAATTATTATCAAGTATCTACGCGAGTGGTCAACGGAGACTGATTTTTATAATATTATTTAAGAAAAATTCAGCAATGGAACAAGTTTCTTTCAAACATACAAGCATATAATATATGTGTGACTGACTGCAGTAGTAATAATAAAGGTTTTACTTAGTCAGCAGCACACATGTTATGTTGGCAAAAAAAAAACTAGTTGAAAGGAATTTTGAGCAATTGTTTTTGTCCATTTTTGGAAGCAAAAATAAAATTAAATGGCAATGAAAGCATTTCGCGAATCCAGTGAAGCCGAGTGATAACTGATTTTTTTACATTTTCATTTCTCTCAGCTTCCAACGGCGTCAATGTCATGCGAATAATTTTTATGTATACTCTATACACAGACTTAAAAGAAGTAAATGAGTATGAAAATGTTTCTCTTACAATCATTCATTCGTCATGACCATATAAAGATATAAAAAGAAATTGATCATTTTTGTTGCCTTCTTTGCTTTTTAAAGCATTATTGATGACATTCATTCTGCAGTAAGAATCAGTAATTGATATCGTCGGGTTTGATAAGGAAGTTCGCTGTTAAGCGCTTAACTTTTAAGTACAAGTACTTGTGTTTGACAAATTTATGCCGCTACTCATACAAATGCAGTTAAATCTATGTAAATTCTTTGAGAATCCAATAGTTCTCCAGCTAATTAGGTCATTGACTTCTTTCGTTCCCAAAAAGAGTACAATACTCTTTCAACCTTGACAACTTAATTTTGCACATTGTGTCGATTGTGTGTAGAAATATAATGCCAGTTTTATTTTTATCGCCATATATGCTTTAAATTTCCGTTTCTGTTCATTATTCACCTACATATGATTCATAAATTTATCTGTCTCACTAGTTTTATACAAACAAATCACTTAATTCCGTTTTTGCTTATTTTGCAGCCTGATAACATTACTGGATCAATAAAAACCATGATAACAGCGCTCGGTAAATGACTATTAAGTGCAAATTCTTAGGATTTCGATGTTTAAATAAAGTAATGAGTCATAAACATAATCCAAATTTTTTTGTGACTCGAATGGCTAAAGTTTTGCGGTTTAATTGCATAATTTCAAGACTTACCAGCAAGTTGATCTTCGGAATAGTTTGTCTGTATAGAATAAAGGATATTTATGCTTTAAATACCTTTTAATTAAAGAGAAATCAATAGATATTTACCATTTTAATATTTTTTGTTTTAATGAATTTTGTGAATGAAAAGAACTGCTTAAAAATTCCAAAGCTTTTCAGTTTTGCCGTCAGAGGTCAGAGCTTTTTAAAAAAGCTCAAACCGTTAGTTTTAAGCACAGCTTTAAGAATAAAATCATGTCAAAAACCTTTTTTAAATCTTTTCTATAAGCTGTTAAAGGGGAAATTTCTGGTTGCAGGATCGATGTTGAATAAATAGAATTAGCAATTATAGTCTTATTAAGGGATATTCATAAAATACCAACGAACAAAAAAATATTTGAATTCAAAAATCAGTAAACTTCCACGCGACGTTTGAAAATTTGGAGACTTCATTATTTGTACCTACAAACATTCTTACTGAAATTAACATTTATGTCATTTGTTATTAATAATCATTCAAGAATATTAAATCAAAAGAGTTTGTGTGCGACATAAAAATATTTTTTAAAAAAAACGGTCATTTATAATTCAAATTGTATGTAATTTGTAACAAAGTTGTTTGTAAACAAAGTTTTTACAAAAATTCAGAATGCTTTTGAAAGCTGTAGAGTGAGGATCTATTGAAGTTAAAACCTGTTATTTGCATTTAATTAAGTTTGCAGCAAGAATAAAACATAGTAATTGCAGCCTTAGTGACAGCGCGGAAGTGAAAATTGTAGAGCACAAAAAGTTCAGAACAAAGAAATCGAATGAAGAAAAGTACGAAAGAAATTATTGGAAAATTGTTGTTTAACTAAGTGAGTGTCGAAATTGAGGCAACAGTTTAACCATCATTGACTAGTAGATCTTCAGGAAGTCAAAAGTTTACGAGAAAGCTCGCGACAAAAGACTTGTTTGATATAAAAGTGTGAAAAAAGTGAAGATAATATTTTGAATAATAACATAAGTAGTGAATAAACAATAATGATGAATTATAACACCAATCAACTACAAATTCGGAATAATAATAAATATGAGGTAGGAAATGTCGAGAATACGTGTATAAGATTCTTATTAGAACACAAAGATAATGAGATCCAGCAAAGTTTTTTTTTTCTCTCTCGAGTTCGTTCTTGTCTGTAAAGAAATTCGTCGCAAAACTTTTGAGGACAAAGAAAAATCAAGAGAAAACTCCGTTCTGGAGAAATGAATAGCAGTGCAAAGTTCCCATAATAATTTAAATTTCAAGTCTGTGCTAATAAGCAAAAGAGTTCATTTCAATTAAGCTTTTTTATGTGTATCAATAGAGTGTAGAGTATAATAATGTAGGGAGAGATGAGAAAAGAATGTTAAAAAATTCATATTATTTTTCCTTCCTTTCGTATTTATTGTACTGTACGAGAGAAGAAATTTATTTTTGAATCACTATACTATCCGTATAAATACATAAGACACAGACCTGACAGACACTCATAAAATTATTCATCATTAGCAGTTTCTCTTATATCCCAATAATAATAAAACATGGCACAGGAGAAAGGTTTTATTTTTGTATGTGTTATTGTTGTTATCAGCTGGTTTTGACTGATAAAAATGAAAATAATACGCAATAGGAAAGAGAAAAAAATCCTATAAGATTCGTGTACGGCGAAGTAAAAAACTGTTTTTAAAAGGATGTAACTAGCTCATTTAATTTTTTATGCAATCATTTAATTCTAAATATGTAAAATACCTCATTCGACATGCTGAATGTTCATTTTTTTAATGTTATTAAAATATATTAAGTTTCCGTAATCGCTCAATTTAAAAATTTCTCTTCCTCATATCTACAAGTGTAATGATATCTTTTTATGCTGACTTGACTTGATATGCTAGGTGGATAGAGAAAATTAAGTGGATTTCCAAGAACGGGGGATTTTCCTTTGTTCTCGATTGATTCTTTGTAGTCTACAGTCTGACTCCTTAGCATATCAACGAAAATGAAATATTTAACTATTTTTGCTGTGCATTTTATCACCGCACGCGTATGATTTCTTTTTTTTCCTGTATATTTTTTTTTTTTGAGAAAGCAACAGCGATTTATCAATTTTGTTTGCTGTTGAGCTTTATGCAAAGGAATTTGCATAAATTTGGCATGAGACTATCACATGGGGGGATATTTCTGCGATTCATAGTATATTAATGGTCTGTGATTTTATCCTAATCATGGGTTTTTCAATCAGCATAATGTAAAAATCAGAGTGAATGGAATTAGTGTATGGAATGTCATAATAAAAAAAGTATTGGATTTTTCGCTTTTGTAAACATGCATGGGGGGCTGTTCATTAATGACATCTATAGCTTTTTTTTGGACCCATACATTGCTGATTCATGTCAACCACCATCATATTCCATTACCCATAAATTCTGAACACCATGAGTGAACGACCCTTGAATTTTCTCTCATGGAATTTTTTATGTTCCTTTGTTGTCTGCTTTTCTCAACATATAAAAATCAAGATATGCTCTTTGTTCTTATGCTAAAGCCATGGACTTTTTGCAATGCCAATAAAATCATTAAATTTTTCTTTTATTATTAGAATTTCCCTCAATCTCATCAATTGATTACCACTCTTAATGGCTCTGTTGCAACATCGCAAACGCTGACTACGACAGCTACATTTAATAACAATATTAACTCTTCAGCATCAAATGGCAACGCTAATGTTGCTGGTTCTGAAGATGAAATATCGAAAAAACTGCCAAAGGAAATTTTATTACGCATTTTATCATATCTTGATGTCGTGTCATTATGTCGTTGTGCTCAGGTAAAGCTTAATTATATAAAACTCTGTTCCTGGAAATTGGCAAAATAATTAATTGTATTTACATAATCGCTGCCTAGGTATCAAAATATTGGAACATTTTAGCTCTTGATGGATCAAATTGGCAGAAAATTGATTTATTTTATTTTCAAATGGATATTGAGGTAGGTTCTGGGTCACTTTCCTTGCATCAAATCACTAATTTTGGTGCCTTTTTTAGGGTCCAGTCATTGAGAACATTTCTCAGCGCTGTGGTGGATTTCTCAAATATTTATCACTCAAGGGATGTCAAAGTGTTGGCGATCAATCTATTCGTACTTTAGCTCAACACTGCCATAACATTGAACACTTAGATTTAACAGAATGTAAAAAGATAACAGACGCTGCAATAGATCCATTAAGTAAACACTGTCCCAAATTGACTGCAATTTCGCTAGAATCATGTTCACTAATCACAGACTTGTCAATGAAAGCTTTATCTGACGGATGTCCTGTAAGGCAGTTTACCTTTGAATATCTATGAATGACTAATTGAATCTATTTGCAGAACATTTTGGAAATTAACATTTCTTGGTGTCACTTGATAAGTGAAAATGGAATCGAGGCACTCGCTCGTGGGTGCAATAAAATTAAAAAATTTAGTAGTAAAGGTAAATTGCTACAAATTGCATCTTTTTTGAACGAGAACAATAGCAGCTAAAATGTCAAATTTCATTTCGCAGGATGTAAAAAAGTTAATGATCCAGCACTAAACGCTCTAGCCAATTTTTGTCCTAAAATTGAAATATTGAACTTACACAGTTGTGATGTAAATTTCAACTTTTATTGCACTATACTGCATACAGATTGAACTAATAAAGTTTTATTTTACATTTCAGACTTTAACTGATTCATCAGTTCGAAATATTACCATGAACTGTCCAAATTTGCGTCAGATGTGTGTCTCAAAGTGCGCTGACCTTAGTGATCAAACTCTAGTTTGTTTAGCCAATAATAATCCGTTTTTAAGTACACTCGAAGTTGCTGGATGTCATCAATTTACAGATCTAGGATTCCAAGCTCTTGGAAAAGTATTAACAATTGCTTATTCATGCTGATAGATTACTCCTTAATATCTCCTAACATATAATTTAATCCGTCCTTTAATATCAAAATTAATTTTATGAAAGGCAGTGAATGATTAAATTTATTTTTACAGAACTGCAAATATTTGGAAAGGATGGATCTTGAAGAATGCTCTCAAATAACTGACGTAACTTTGGCACATTTAGCGACTGGATGTCCAAGTTTAGAAAAATTGGTATGCTTTTTGATAACAAAGGATTTTGTTGATAATAGTTGTTAAACTTTTGTATTGCTTCCATCCGCACGCAGACCTTATCACATTGTGAGCTTATAACAGATGATGGAATTCGTCAACTAGCAGCCGGTAGCTGTGCTGCCGAAAGTTTATCCGTCCTTGAATTGGATAATTGTCCTTTGATAACCGATGCAACATTAGAACATTTAACTTCATGTCATAATCTTCAGAGAATTGAATTATATGACTGCCAATTAATATCAAGGAATGCCATAAGAAAGCTAAGGGTAAATATAGAAGCACATGAGAACAAAAGAAAAAGTTTTATTTTTGCTGATATAATCAATTCTCTCTTTGTTTGTCTTTATTTTAGACTGTATTGCCTAACATAAAGGTTCATGCATATTTCGCTCCAGTCACACCGCCAGTTGGAATCATTGCTGGTATGTTTGTGAATCCAAGATATATAGATGTGTTCATACAAAGTACAATCGACATTACAGAATTCAGTGAAGACCTTTAAAACAAAGGGAAAACAAAAAAAAAATCATGTTTGGCAGACACTTGAAGGTTGCTTTAGTTTTTAATGCTTGAACTTAATTAAGATTGTGTTGTTCTAGTGTATTCAAACTCTTTTGTATTAATTCATCTATATATCTTGCGATAATCTCTGTCTAGAAACTCATTAATACTTGATAAGGTACTGAAATTCTACTTCTTTAGGACCCGGACGACCACGATATTGTCGCTGTTGTGAGATTTTATGAGATCAAGCTATGGGTTTTGCTCGTAGAATTTTATTATGTAAGAGAGATGACTGATATTTTAATTTATAGTTTGAAACATTCAACACTTTTCGACAACTAAAAGATTTTTCGAACTTTATGACCTTTTCTAAATCGAACGTATCGTTTTCTTTATTTACCGTTTGTTTCGTTACTTGATAAAAACCAAAAAAAAAGTTATGATAGACAAAAAAAATCAATCGGATTTTTTTTTAAAACAAATTTTAATTTAATAAATAAATCAAAAAAAGGCTTTCGTTTCTTATGAATTATCATTTTATATATTGTTATATAGTAGAAGTATCATCCACATATTCTACTTTAAAATCAACCTTCTTTCTTCTTTCTAAATGATTTAGAAATTTCAAACAATAAAATGTGATGTATAACTGCGAAAAAACATCTCGTCGAATTCGTCAAAACCCATGAAATTAATTGATTATAGGTGTTTTAAGTTGAGCTTCAAAAAAAAAAAAAGAAAATTATGAAATTAAGCATTTTCCTAAATAATCTATAAATTTTCTTTGTGATTACATATTGGTAATGGTAGTGAATGAGCATGTAGAATCGATGATGCTAATAATTTGTGCAGTTTTCATTAATAATATTGGATTATAAAATGTTTCCTCTTATATTATCTTACAATACCATGAAAATACATTTTAAAAAAATAATATTAAATTCATTCTTATTAAACAAGAATCATCTTAGATGTGTGAATAGGAGAAGAAGTGAATGACGTAAAGAGTTATGTATTTTGTGGACAAAAAAGCATACAAACACAATTATTTCATTAAATGAAATCATAAAAGTTTACATTTTAGTAGACAAGTGGAGTCGTTCACAAATGACGCTCTAGTTTAATTGGATTTTACACCTCCCTAGTATCACAAAAATAATTAGTAAAGTGCTATACAGCTTTAAATTCACCCATCCCCTCCCTCGTATAAATCCTGGTCGTCATAAGTAAACGACTCCAATGAGTTTTTAGCATATTATCATCAATTATTAACTATTCACATCCAATCGTATCATAAGTACACAATTCCTATATTCATCTTCAAATAATTCGAGAAATATACACCCACACACACTCAATTGTATTACACACATATACACATGAAAAATATATTTTAATACATATTATGGAGAATAAAGGATCACAAAAGAGGGAACAATTTTTCGTTTTTCGAAAGTTGATGAAAAGTCATAACAGAAAAAAGGTAATAAAATCCAATTATAAGGAACTAAACATTTTAAAATTCACTTAAAAAAATGTGGAATCTCAATTACAGTAAAGTTCAATGATAATTTTTTTTAAAAAAATGTATTTTGAATTCATCACAACATTAAACACAACATACATCATTCGTAATGATTTTTAATGAGAAAAGATAATGAACTATATATATTTTAAGCATTGTAATGTGAAAAAAGTATGTTAAAATGAATTGTGGTGCATTTTTGCTGACAGGCTTGATCAGTAAATTGCTTAAAAATTTGTAACGGTTTTCAAAAATTCAAATTTTATGTTTTATGTCAGTTGAACTGAAATAAAATGAACTTTTACAACTTGCTGAATGAATTTATGAAAAATGGTTTTCAAAAATTAAAAAAAAACAGTTAAAATGAACTTTCATTTTAATCTCAGGATATAAGTTTGAAGCAACATAAAATTCAATGATTTTGAATGAGAAGTAGATTCAAGAATTAAGTCTAAATACCAATCAATTGCTAATCCAGCCAAAAAGATAACCCAAAGTGAAACCCATCGAAATGGCAAAAATGCACCAAAATAGAAATAAAGATTGATGATTTTTTGTATTAATTGAAATACGGCTCAATGTGTTAAATGCGGTAATTGTTCAATCAAAGTTAATAAAAATATACATACACGTTTTGTTTACATTAAATTTAAATTAAAAGAAAAAAAATATGAAATGATAATTTGTAAAGCATTTTATGCGAAAATGTGCTTTTAAAAGATGAAATTTTCGAAGCGAAAATAAGTCGCTTTAATTAATATCTACAAGGAGAAATAAAACAAACAAAAAATGAGTTGTATGATAAACTGAATTCGAAATATGTAATCAGTTTTTAACAGTGATAACGACGATGATAATGATTTTTACACAAGAGAAGAAAAAACAATGCGGACAGCATTACTGACTTATCCGACACTATTAAAAAAATTATTATCGTATCTTTAAAAAAACAAAAAGTTTGATGTGAGAAAAAACTTTAAACGTTATTTATATAAAAAAAAATGAAATTCGAAAGGTGCTAGTCTTAAATTTATACATAAAAATTACATTATAAAGAAAAATTGATAACATAAACAAAATGATGAGACATCACGAAAAAGTTCTTTGATCAATTTAAAAAAATGCTTAAGATTGACCGTAAACTGAATAAATGAGACATAATCTGCAAATCAGATCTTCTTGGATGATTTATTTCATAATCAATGATTATTATTGAATTGCATCATGGCTAATATTAACTCTGTCATGAACAGATTAAATAATTAATATGATTACTTATTATTAATAGTCGTGTTAAGGCATTAGTAATATAACATTTCATAATAAAGAAAGAAAAAAAAACAATTTGTAGTTACTCAACAATGTCATCAATTTTTTTATCAATAAAATAAAGAATCGCAAAATGATCATTAATTTTTATTGTGATCCAACTAGTGAGGTTCTGCAGACCTATTTTTTAATATTTTAAACTTAACATTTTTCCACTTTCTAGACCAAAACGATGAAGAACCGTTTATTTCAAAAATCATATGGTTTTCAAATGAAACAGCTGTTTTGAATTCTTTCCTACCCCTAGCAATTTAGGGAATGTTCAAAGTATTTGTCAAAATCACTCTATGTCATTTAATTAAAGTTTCTTAATTTTTAAGAGGTAATATCAATTGGTAGATTAGTAACACCTCAAGATGGTAATGACATTATTTAATAAATAAATATCTGCGACGTTACATGACTTTCAGAGAGCTCCACAGACGTTTTGTTCACACAGAGAAAATCGTTTTCAGTTCATTTTCATTCGTCAACTCGTTCATTTGGAAGGAAAAGATTTGTGGTCATAAAAAAAATTGTTCGCAATTTTAAAATTCGGATATTTTAGTGTCAAAAGGCAATCAAAAAATAATTTAAAAACTTTTTAAAGAATGTGTATATTAGAGAGAGACAAAATAATAATTGAAAATGACTTCAGGAAATAACATATGATAAAAATTTATTAAAATTTGCCATCAAAGAGAAATTTTGTTTTTTAAAGTCACAAAAGACGTCTGTAAAGGATAAAAAGTGAAGGATAAAGAAAATTTTAAACGTGGTAAGTTAATTAATTTAAGTATTATAAGCTAGTAAAAAGTCAATTAATTGGGAATAGACTTGGGAATTGTGAAAGTGGAAAATCAATATGAGAAGAAAATTTTTTTTTCTTTGCTGTTCGAGGCAGTGAAAATACATAAAACGAACGAAGAAGAACTGAATAAAAAAAAAATTACCTAAATTGTATTCGTCATAGGAAATATTTGGAATTATAGGCATGAGGAAAATGCTGGATTATTACATCAGCATAGAAAATAAAAATTAAAAAAAAATCCAGTTTGTAGAAGAAAGTTGGAACTGATAATGATGAAATTCTTATCATCTTCATGTCACGACAGATTTCGACATAATCACATGAATGCTATGAAATTGGAGCATACGTGCATAAGTGCCTTGTAGAGCACAAGCATGCAACAATTATCATAAATTCAAGTGACATAAACTAATGCGTATTAGTATGGTCAATACATTTATGTTGAGCATAAAGTCGAGATAAAAAAAAGTTTGAGGATCAAGGAAAACTCAAAAATTATTGAGTGCACTGGCAAATTTTATATTCTTTTTCAAAGTCCAATACACAGAATCAAAACATAAAAGGTTGTATTAGATATATATCTTGATTTTAACTGTGTATGTACAGCACAAACATCAGCTGTATTCGTGTGTAATCAACAGTGCTACATGGTTAACATGAAAAGTTTTACACAGTCAGCTGTGCATATTTTTCAATGTATATAAGTGCTGTGCTACACATACAGTCATGGATTATTTAATAATATGATGCACACATTCATAGATCACTTGTTTTTCGTACAATAACTAGCAATTAAATCGTACATCCAATATTCCCAACTTGAAGAACATTATGAGAAAATATTCAGTTAATTAATTGATTCCCAAGTTATGAATTTCTAATGAGTTATTAATTATCGTGTTCACTACGTATTTAAAATTGTAACAAAATTGTCATTTGGATGGAAATTTCCCAGCACTAAGTAGCTTGATTATCAAAAGTCTCCCATATGAGATATGTCAAATCACGACATGAAATTTAATGCACAATTTTTTTGAGGTGCCCCTACGCATAGTTGCCATATTTTTAAAATTAAAGTTATGCATACACACATTATATATGCTCATTCTACCGAAATTTTCCCTTTTATTTATTTTTTTTTGTACTTTATAAACATACATTCAGTTCGTATATATCCAAACCATTGTCGATTTATTTTTTTGGCATTCAATTCCATTAGTATCCATTAATACGAAGATTCATGCGAATGAAGCAAGTAAAATGAGTAAAGAGAACTAAATTAAACTAAATTTAAACATACATGTAGATATATATCTATCTATATATTCAACTTCTCTTTCTTAAATTCCTTTATATACACGAAAAATAAAAAAGAATCAACGTTTTGTTGACGTTCTTGACGATGATGTGCAAAGGATGAGATTCTTTTATTTTAAGAGGAAATTTTCCTTATTTCCTTTTCTTTCCTTGACATTGGAAATGACGTGAATGAAATCATTGAATAATCCCATTCATTGTACGTAACTGATTATTTGATGTACTGTATAATTTATTGCACAAAAAGAAGGAAGGCATGAGCTAGGTCTGTAATTAGGGGGCTTATTAAGATTTATATATTTTTTCATCAGTTTTTGAAAGTACAGAACCGTTCAAAACTGTTTCCATGTTTGAAGAAAAATTTTCTTTTCAACATATTTATTGTAAAGCATAACATTTTCCCAGCATGTTATATATCATTTTTAAGCTTGTTCAATAAGCTATTTAAAAATGATAAATAACTTTGGAAAATATTTAATTAAAGTAGATTTTTTTCTTAAAATATTTACAGTCACATGCTGCTTTAATAAGCTAAAATACATTTGTTTTGATGCAAATATCACAACATTTGGCTTCAATTTAGAATTTTTTTGCAAAATTATATGAAAATTTATCAAGTGATTTGATACATTTATTTTAGTACTTTAACTATGCCTAGTATCCTAATTTATGTGTTTTTATCTTACATTTTAAAGTAATAAACAAACTTTAACCAATTTGTTCTACATTGCATCAAAATTTGGAAAAACAATTATTAGCTCAAAAGTGTTTCCATGTGACAGTGTATATTTTAAGCAAAAAATCTACTTTAAATAAATATTTTTCAAAGTTGCTTATCATTTTTAAATAGATTATTAAACAAGCTTTAAAATGATATATAACATGCTAAGAAAATGTTATGCTTTACAATAAATATGTTGAAAAGAAAATTTTTCTTCAAACATGGAAACAGTTTTGAACGGTTCTGTATAAAGAAATAAAAGAAAATTTAAGTTACCTACATAATGTAAAACTATAGCTATTCTCCTATATACAGCTCTGTATGACTGAATTATAAATTTGCGTTGGGTGCTTCAAAGTTCATGCTAATTGAATGCATCGAATTAACATGAATATGAGAAAATAAAATAAAGTTTGCCAACATTCATAACAAAAGGCCTTATTTTGCGGATGATTGTTGAATACAGCAATGGAACAAAAGGTACACAACGTTGCCAACTTGTGCCAGAAAATGATCATTATCATATGATTTCAACATTTTTTGTTTTTGGAAGGAAAAAAATAAATAAATGAATTGAAATTTTTGTTTTTTGGTCTTCTTCTCTTTTGCCTCATCTTGTTTGAGCACTGAGCAACATGTTCAGGCATGAAAAAATATTCTTAAGAGATCTTTTTTGAGCTTATTACGCACATATTAATTTGCTATTTGAGCTGTTTTTGTTCAAAAATGAAAACTGTCAGGAAGTCATAAATGCTGAGACAAAGAAATGTAATAATTTAAGAATGCTGTTTGCCAATTTACAGCTGCTACTCATCTTTTTGAAGATCGTTGATCGCAAATTATTCTAATTATAGGCAAGAAACTGATTTTTTAGAAGAGATCATTACAATGAAATTTTCTTTCTCTTTTGTTACTAAACAAGTTCTGTGCTGTATAAATATTTTTTTTGAAGGTGAAGAAGAGACATACATATGGAAAGAGGTGATTGATCGTAGTTTCTTTGAGTTTGTTTTTTACAATATGCTTCAATGAGTGAAAGACATTTAAAGATTAAATATCATTAAAAAAAATTTCATTAGCGAATGTGCGTCACAACGATCACAAAGCGAAGCATAGCATACACTTATCATGTGATGCTCACGAGCTCGATTAAATATGATTGACTTATAATCATCTTCTTTTCCTCTCCATCATATTTAATCTCGGCAGGTTTTAATTACTTTGACTAAGTAACCTACATCTGTGCTAGATTCTGCACGTTGTTCTGACGGAGGCTGGCTGTGAAAGAAAGTAAATAAATGGAAAGTGAACCATTGTAATGAATTATCTGCTGACTATCAGTAATTTAGAGCGCATTTAACTAAAATGTATTTAATTCGTTCGAGAAACATTTCATATTTACACAAAGGAAGTGAACTTTTGATTTTCTTTTTTTGCTATAGTCAACAATTTTCAATGCGTTTCAGTTTGTGTCAAGGAGAGCTAGTGAGTCTTGAGTTCACTCGGCAACCGTTTAGTAGTACATTTATTTAAATTCTTTTGGTCATTTTATAACAGAATCGTTTGATAACAGGCATTTTAAGAATCAATAAAACATAACTGATTGCTATTCATAGTTGAATTAATTGAAAAAGTTTGTCATAATGACTAATTAATTTGTTCTTTTTGCTGATTCTTAAAATGAAATTTATAAAAAAATTAATGATAAACTCCAGAACTCACTGAAAAGATTCAGATAAAAAACTCCAGAATTCCAAATTAAACGATTATGAAGTTCTAGGACTATAAATTTTCTGACTTCATCAATGAACAATTTCTAATCTAGTTTCTAAAAATACAATTCCAAAAAAATCACGAGCTTAATCATAAAACGTAGTTCCAAAAATACACTAAACATCATTAGAGCATATTTGCTCACGAGAGTATGTCCAGAGAAAAAAAAATGTTTACAGTAGCAAACGAAAAAACAAAGCAGACGACATTCAGTTGGCACACCCCAATTTTTATTATTATTATTATTATTATTATTATTATTATTATTTATTATTGTACTTTTGTCATATAGTATTATCAATGTCAAAATTTCATATTATGACAACAGAAATCGATCAATTATATATATTTGATACATGTGTATATAATATCTTTCCTCAATCCCTATAAATAAGCTGTCCAACTGCACACGTTTGGTTGGAATAGATCAAGGTTTTTTGAGACTGTCGTTTTCATTTCAAACAAAGACTTGTCAATGAAATCTCTTTTTTTTTTGCATATTAAGCTTTGAATAAATTATCAAATGGCCAAAGTGAGCATTAGAATCATCACAAATACTTGCTACATTTACGTAGTTTATCTCCATAAATGTATATAAACCTATAAAGCTTTCAATTGTTAGATAAGTGCATTGAAAGTAAAAAAAAAACTTATTTTCAGAAATAAAGTGAACGGTTCAGTGCGAGACAAGTCGACTGCAATATGCTGATTACTCAATACAATTGTAGTTTTATATAAACGAGAATATTCCTATATATATCTACTGCTGCTCGTGCTTGCTTTTAAGTCAAATATGTAGTTGTATTTTTTTCTTTTTCTTTCTTATTCCACTTGAAAAACCTCATTGGAGTTGAGAAAAATGAAAAAAGAGATACTTTGAAGCATTAGAACAAAGGGAATAAAATCCTCAAAACGTAAAAAAAGAGAACCTTGTATGTGGGCAGGCAGTTAAATGAAAAAAAGTACGGATTTAAATAAGAATTGTATAATTAACGTAAATCGTAGCTTTACAACTACTATTTTTATCATAGGTGTCAGAGAATATCAAAATGCTGAATATTTATTGTAATATTAATGCCAAATAGTAGTAAGTGTTTCATGAACTGAATACAAGTACTGAAACGTGTCGCTCGTGTTACTAATTTTAATTTTATGTATAGACTGTGTAAATAGATGTACAATAATGCTTACAAGTTCAATTTTGACCTCGTTATTAATGCCATTTTGTGCCTTACCTATGTACTGCGAATCAGCTGACTTAGTTCATTAGTTTCATGAATAGAAATGCTGATTACGTCGTATATTATCTCTCCTAGTTACTCAAACTATTGTGCAAGATTGAAATTATTCCCTAGCAGAAATTTACTAGTAATTTCCTAGTAATTTACTGGATAACTTTCCATTTGCTACTTGCTATTTACTAGTCAAAATCCAAGTTCAAATCATCGCCAAAGACCCGCATTTTCACTTGCTAAGTGACTAGTCAATTCGCTTACAATTTAACTAGTAATTTACTAGCAAATTTTTAAAAAATTTAAATGAATATAACCGTTGATTTCCACGTGTTTTTTGTTGATTTTTCTTATTTGTGTAAATTATTGTAAAAGTATTAGAGTGTACTTATTTAAAGTTAATTAAAGTACACTAACACTATGAAAAAAAATAAAAGACTTAATTTAATTAAGTCGAATACTGATGAACGCCCATGACTCGCACGCAAACCTGAGGAAGATAAATAATTAATTGAAAGTCACATACAAATTTGGATCGAGGTTATAAAGGTGATTTCTGTGCGCTCTTGTGAAGTATATGGCAAATGCCAAATTTAGAACAAAATTTTTTATGACGCAAAAAATTCTTTTTGTGTTGCAAAAAATTCTTTTTATGACGCAAAAAATTCTTTTTATGACGCAAAAAATTTCTTATTTTGATGATTTTTCGTAGGGTTCGAACTTAAGCAGATTTGATCAAACATTTTACATGGTAATTTGCTAGTAAATAGCAAGTGTAATTTATTAACAGTAATTTGTTTTAATAATAACTAGTAAATTGCAAGTAGTAGAATAGAAAGACTGGCAATTTGCTAGTTAGTCTCGCTAGGGATTCAAATTTTATTTATAACTTGACGCCCTACAATTTACAAGTGAATCAATAGAAAATCATCATTATTATTATGTGATGAGCATGCAAACCTGAATAGTTTATGAAAGAGTATGATTTTGAGGAAATTGGAAATACCAAGGTGCTGTTCGAGCTTAGAAATTCAGAGCTTCCTTAAGAAATTATGCTATTTTAAAATCTTATTCAATTCCTGAATTTTTTAATCTACAACAGTCAAAAATGAACTGTACTGTAAAATAAAGCAAAAAGTTTCTCAAGAAACAGATGAATTGACAGCTTGATTAATGCTTGAGTCGATAAAGTCAAGAAAAAATATTTACGACGAGAGCAAAATAGTAAATAAAATTTTTCGATTGAAATAAGGTCTCGGTTTTTGGGACTGTTGCCCTAAATAATTGTTCTTATCAATACCTTTTTTTACGTTCAATTTATATATCAAGTATGAACCGCTTCATAGCAACTGATAACAACAGTATATTTAGCACAAACTCTGAATCGCGGAGATAGTACTGAAACATTTAATGATACGTGTTAATGGCACTATAAAATGAATAACTATGGAGTGCATTGTCATCCTTTTTTTCATTTCACTCATTTCCTTTTACTGCTCATGGCTTTATACACAGCTATTTTGGAGCAATAAGAATAAAAATAATAATAATAACTTTACAATAACAATGCTGACACGAATACTTAATCGTAGTTGCTGCATTTTTTTTCTGTTCATGACCTAATGCAACATACAACAATGAAATACATGGTTCAAAAAAATATATTTCGGTTATCATACTTACAGTAATGTTTATGACTATGTACGTCATTGCGCTCGCTTAAATCTATTGAACTTTTATGTCTGATGGAAGTTTGCACTGAACTTTCTCTCTCTTTCTTCTTCTTCTTTTTCTTTTACTTGTTTGTATGACAACAACAACAACTTTGTAGTAAGAAAATAAAACTGAAATGAAGAGATGATGGGTGTTTCATAACGGCATTTTCAATACTATATGTGTGTATACACAAAAAAACTAGGCTGACTGCGGATTTTACTTTCCGATTACAACATATATAATATATATTAATGTTCATACGAAAAAGAAAAACCACATTTCAGTGGTAATATGTTGTAGATACATAGAAGCTAAATGACCTTCTATTTCTTTAATTTCTTCATTTGTATTGTTGACTGATTTTTTTTCGCATAATTATTTATCGATTCCCTTTTATGTCGATTCTTCTTTTATGCATTTTGTGAATAATTAAGCGAAGAGGATTAACATCAATTTGATTGCAATCACAAAGAAACGTTTTCATTTTTCATAGCACCACAAAATGTGTTTATAAAAGATTGTTTGCTTTGTACAAGCTTGGCTGATTGTCCGAGTGAAAACTTGTGGTGTTTAGATATAATTGAACTGGTTTTACAATCTGAAATACGGATATATTTATTTTTAAAAATTCAAAATTTGATTGTACTTTTAATATTCTGAATTTTTTAAAATTTCAAGTAACTTTTTAATGAGGGACCAAAATGAATGAAGAAATCTGTGATGAAAAACATCACTATTTTTGATGATAGCAAAAATTATGATTTTTTTCATCTACGTTAATTATTACGCAAAATTTCATCACGTAAGAATCATTTTTACGTAGGATTTCATCACGTAAACGAAAAAATGCAGTAAAATCACACCAAATGTATTAATATTGCTTAATAATAAGAACAAGAGATAGAATAGATTAGTTTTGCTTAAAAAACTTGCATAAAAACATTTTATACGTCATTTTTTGCTTTACGTGATGAAATCCTATGTAAAAATGATTCTTACGTAATGAAATTTTACGTAATAATTTACGTAGATGAAAAAAATCATAATTTTTTCCGTAGATGAAAAAAATCATAATTTGTTTCATCATCAAAAATGATGATGTTTTTCATCACAGATTTTTTTCATTCATTTTGGTCCCTGATTTTAATACGTTTTGAGTTTATTCCATACTGATTCTGTTTGACTGTTTTTCTAGATGCATTTAAACTTCCTTGTGACTGTTGAAATCACAAAAAAAACACACAATTTAATAAAATCTGAAGTCAATATGGAAAATCTAATTTGATTTTGTTTGACATAAAAGAGTATGCCATCTTTTTCGTTTTATACAAAAAATTTATTTTTTCAAAGTTCGTGGTTCTAGTCAATTTTGATTCAAGTAGGTTTTATTTTAGAAATTGCGATTCATTTTGATTTTAAAAATTCGTACAGTCAATTCCAATGTTTTTAATCCATTTTAAGGTTTAAAATTTTTTGAAAGACTGATTTGCATTGAACATATCAAGTTTCGTACTAAAATGTGCGCTTTCAGTCATTCAACCCTATTTCAACTACATTATTTCGAAAAGTCAACAATGTTTTAAAGAGTGAGAGGAGAATCGACCTCATTTAAAAAACTTCCGTCTATTTTTAAATGAACTGAAATGAAAATTGGGTGATTGAGAGCATAAAATGTGAAGAACCGGGGAATGTTCTTTTTTGTACGTAAAATTTCAGCTTATAATTATTCTTGTGTTCAATAGATTCAATTCCAATTTTTGGAGCCAGATTATTTTGCTTAAAGTTTTACGTTGTATCGAATATTTTCAAATGCCAGACCCAAAAAACGTTTCATTACATTCTAAGCAAGTGGATGAATAAAAGATAAATAAATTTTTCCTATAACGTGTCAGTAGAGTTATGAGGAATGTGTGATGAAGAATCGGCAACATGTATTTGGACTTTGAAATCGGGTAGAAAATGATGCGCAGAAATGAACTGTTTCGTTTTTATAGCTGAAATGTGTAACGAATTTACATAATTCACAATAAATTTGCACTGATGGGGCACGTGTTTGATACATTTATAGATGGAAATACTTTTGTGTAATTTATGAAAATCGATAGCCACAATAGATTATCTAATTTCAATCTCTGATTTTGATATAATCCCAAATATGACAATTAATTGACTTTTGAAGGCTACATTTTGTGATGAAAAAAAAAATTGTACTTTATACTGCAATAAATTGGATTGATTACTTATGCATAAAGGTCACTCCATAAACGAGATTTGCGAACGTAATGCAAAAAACTAATCTAAGACATAAAACTCCCAAGAAATAATTGATGTTATTTAATAATTTTTTAAACATTAATTTTCTCATTATAGATGCATAGTGGTAGTGGCAGGTTGGCTGTTAAGCAAAAATCTGCTGTTTCTGTCTATGTAGGCATAGCAACATTATTACTAGAAGGTCGTGTATTAGGGAGCGAGGACGATGAAGAGAACTTTCTTAATCAGACACAACATCATGCTGTTGTCAATGAAATTGAGACTGAAAGGTCTTTGTCACCATCAACGACACGGCACACTGTCATGAATGTCTTGAGCGAAAAATTGATGAGGTTGCGTCAATTCCCTGGAACAAGTAAAGATGTTGTTGAGACATCGATTGTAGTGCCAGTTGTTTCTCGTGACGACTACGAGAGACAACCGAGACTTCATCATGTTGCATCTGCTAGGGAATTTCAACGAAATCCTCGTCTTACTTCAATTCCAGCATCATCGACATCAAATTCGTCATCTGCTGCATCTGTACTGCATGATATTGATGTCGATTGGAATGATATATCTATCGTGCTGAGCGGACTTGATACAATGTTCAAAGTTCCAACATTTCCATTGAAGCTCTCGACAAATCACAACTTTAGAGTTTCGTCTTCTTCAATGCCAATTAGTCAAGAGTCATCAATGAAATTGTACAAGATAAAAGCTCAACAAGAAAAAATGTTTTATGCACCATCAACATTGAAAAACAGCACAAAGCCAAAATTAGGTCCACATTGTGAAAAGTTTTTGAAAAAAATTGGCTTAATTAAAATGGAACCATCCGAAACGGAAATCGAACATATGTGTGTTCACGTGAACAGCTCTGTAAGTTAATCTTAAATTCGTAGATAAAAATAATATGTTTATTTACGTCTCTAAATTCCTCTTCTCATCTTTATTTTCATATTTTTTTTATAAACATTCAGTGTCGTCGTTGGCAATTTCATCTGAAAAAACTTTTACAAATAATGTCGAGAGCTGAAGATGCTTGTATTGAAGTATATTTGGGTCCAGAAAATAATGCAATTCTCTTGGAACAATGGATTTTGACTATAACTGATAAGTAAGTAGTTCTTTTGTTCTCAAGTTTTTTTAAAATTCTTTTACTAAATACCAAAAAAACTGAAAATTTCTAGACCTTCACCGTCAACAATGACTATTCAGGCATTGTGTAGTGCTATTCGATCACAATTGTTCTTCTCACAAATTTCATCGTGGATTGATTTATTAAAGAAAGCTTTTGTCGATGGCGATATGAGTGTCAAGGAACAAATGCCAAGCTTATTTAGTCCAGAAATCATGCAAAATCCACGCTTGAAAAAAAATTTGCAAACAATGCAAGTTGATTTGGACATTTTGTTCCGTATTAAAACATTCGATGGAACAGCCAATTTCAATGAAAAGCCTATCATCCACAATTTCCCGGATACAATTGTTTCGGATGGAATTGCAGTTCGTGTGTGCCTGAAAAGTTTACCAAGATTGGAAAAGATTCCTACATTAAACACAGAAAAAGCTCATCTGAATGGATTCTCTTGTGACAATCGCATAAAATCTTCACTTATTGGAATGGAATCTCCAACGTCTGGTTCTAGATCTGGCGTTCATGATCGCATGACATTTTCATCATGTCATGAAAAAGGCAAACATCGATGTAGAAATGAGTACGAAGATGAAGAAATTGTCAATGATAAAGGAGTGATAAAAAGTAGTGAAGAAAATAAGAAAGAAGTATTGGAAGTAGAAAGTTCTTCATCTATGAACGATCCATCATCTCCACATGATTTATCAACATCAAATTCATCAGTATCATCGTCGAGTCTTACACATCGTGAACGACAATTATTAAAATATAAGAAACGACTCATGAAAAGAGAGAAACAAAAAAAGAAGCAACAAGAGAATGAGCAGCCCCAACATCAGCCACCAAATTTTAACGGAAAGGATATAAACTATTCTAATACAGCTGATATAAATAATATGGAAATTCCACTGTACAACAATAGTAGTTTCATTAATACCAAAAGTAATGAAATATCAAAAGGTAGTGTCGTAATGGATGAACTTGAAAAGTCCACTGCCATCAATACAAATTTAACAACTACTACCGATAATACTGATAACAATAATAGCAAACATGCCCTTGCAACAACTCTTTCGATTGCCACACAAACTGAATTCAATGATTCTACAGCATTACCGTCATCCTCATCATCATTACCAGTCACATCGCCTATGATGTATAAATGTGATAGTTGTGGTAATCAATTGCAATGTTTGAACTGTGATAAAGTCAAATTAATTAATAATAATGCTAATGCAAATAATTATAATCAAATGGCGTCACCATTATCTACGAATTTGTCAAGCCACAATTACTCCTCATTGTCGACAACACCTAGATCAATGATTATCAATCAAGCTGATTTGCTCTTGCAAGCAATCCAACGAACAGCTATTGCTCACAAAAATGAATCAAAAGATGGTGGTTTCGCTTCTCCTAAAAGTGATAAAATAAATGATAATATTTTCTCTAGTTCTAAGATACATAAAAATAATAATAATAGTATAACTCGCGATTCGACAACTTTAGAAATAGCAAGGACCTCTTGTGATGCTAATGCGAGTGAATGTGATAAATCCACGAATTCTTTATTGCGTAATAAAATTGATAAAAGTTCTATTAATAATAATAATGATTCGGAATCCTACAATAATAATATGCAATTGGAATCTGAAATGGATTGTCGCTTATGCAAACGCCAAAAAACTAACCATACACCTTCCATGAACATAAGTGGAAGTAATAATAATAACAGCTATCGACGTACAATGTCGGAATGTTTGGTAAGCATGAGCCCGGAAGATGAAAATTGCATGTATAAGGCCAATCAAGGAATATATTCATCGCCTATATCAATGCATAATTGTGATGACTTGAATGTTATGAATCATTCAATCAACATGATGTCCGAAGAAGAATATAACTTATCTTATGGTGAACTCAAAGCCTATCGTCGCGCATTCTCTGAAGATGTCATAAATCAATTACCAAATGAATCAAGTTGTTTCGGAAATGCCAATGATAAAAATGATGATGATTATGATGAATGTATTACGTTCAAATGCGACCATAATGATGATAAAAATAAAGTTTCTCAATCGATTCACAAATTAACACCAAATGTTACATTACAACAGCAGCAGGATCCTTCGGTATTGCGTAATTTTATCAATAGTAATAATAAGAGTAATCAGAGTTTTAATCAGAGAATACCAAAAATAAATCTCAGTCAAATATTTGAAAAACTTCAGCCAACACAGCAGAGTCAATATAATGATTCAGGAATAGGACACGATACGTCAGAATTGATTGATTTCTCACCGACAAGTGATAATGTATTTATATTTAGTTCACCAGTAAGGAGTTATCCACCGAAAATGCAAATATCATCACGTCCCAATAATTCAATGAATAAACGACGCTCACGACATTTATCAGATCGTTCATCACTCTCAATATCGGAATATGCATCGGATGAGGATGAGATATCTCCGTCAATAGAAGACATCGCTTCAAAATGCAATACATTAGATAATAAAATGCCATCAATTCCATCAACAAAGATCTCATCGCTGTACAAAAAGTTTGTCAACAAAACTCAAACGGCATTTAACAAATTCTCCAAATTACCAATGCTAAGTACAATAGAGGAAAATTTACTTCATAATCGTTTTCAACCAAAATCAACCGTTGAGGGCTTTAAGCTATTACTCTGCGCAAGCGGCAGTTTCTGTCCAACACAATTGACTATCCCAGCTCAAACGTATTTTTATGAATTTCAAGGCATTAAACATATGTCGACACCGTATGTGGTAAGTGAATTGACATAAATTCTTTAATCACGCTATTTTTGTTTTGCAAAACTGTCGTTACCAGTGGATTATTGCCATGACCTATTTTGCCTTTGAGGGAATAGATTTAAACTTTTTTTAAAAAAAACTTCTAACACAAATTATAACTTGATTAATTTTGAATTTTCTTTCAATTTCAGTGTGAGTTTCGTTTGAATCGAAAATATTCAATACCAAGATTTGGCACTGTTCAAGCAACTCTATTGAACCCTCAAGGAACCGTTGTACGGATGTTTTTCGTACCTTACGATTTTCGCGATATGCCCTCAATGTCACAGACATTTATAAGGCAACGCGTACTTGCAATCGATGAGCATTGCACAGGTCAAAGGAATGTAGAACAAATGAGCACAAGTGAACAAATGAAGCATCTGCGATATGTCATTAATTTGAGGTGATGATGACAAAGATATTTAATTTGTTTGAGGAAGTAAATTATAATATCCTTCACATTTTTTTATTTACAGATTTCAAACTGGTCGGAGTAATCGCCTTTGTTTGCATACAGATATAAAACTTATAATTTCACGTCGCACTGAATTCGATACGGCAGCAGCTCACGCTAAAAACTCGCTTGAATCACCAAATGATCTAAAAACGATTATGATAACTCCAGACGATCCAAAATTCAGTTCCCGAATTGATAAGAGTTAAAATTAAATGAAATTTACTAATAACATTAAGTATTTTAAATGGAAACAAAAAATTAGAAAATACTTGGATTAATAATTCTATAAGAAAAAGTTCTATTTTGTGAGATATAAAAGAGAGAAGATAATAAGGATTAATGTGGATATAAAAATGGAAATTTAAAATTTTATTCTGATACCTATGATAGCTAAATGTATTTTATAGTAGGATTTATGGAATGTGCAGTAAAATAATAACAAAAATTCAAATCCCCGATAAAACGCATTTTAGGAATTCCTTTAAATCAAAATCAAAATGATGAAATTATATTGGATGGAAGAAATTTTTTTCTCAGTTTTCAAAACTAAAATTTAATAATATACAGACGTGATGGAAAGAAAATAAAATTTATTTAAGCTTGCTCTAGAAGAGACTATATACTGTTTTTAAGAAAAAGTTAAAGGCGTAGGATATGCATATGAATTACTATAGTAGTTGAACGTTATAACACTTTTATTTAACATTTTTCACTCAATTTGCAAATAAATTGACATTTTTTTTTTGAATGCAAAGTTGATGAACTCTGCATCTTGTGCTACAATTTTGACCAAAATTTTTGTGTAGCACTTGAGAGTCAATAGCTCAAATTGCGGTGTGCATCACACAGTAGAAATATTTTTGCTTTCGTTGTAATTTAAGAGATAAATATAATGGAATTGAGAAAAGTACCGAAATTTCATGTTAGTAAGAGTATAATATTAAAATGCACACGTTTGTATAAGATTTCAAGAAATTGTTCGTCCATACGACGAATTTATTTATAATGCTGTAAATGTCAGCAATCTGTTCTGTACATCTTTTTGTTTGGGAATTTTTGAAAGCAGAAAACTGCTCTAAATTCCCTTAATTCTTTTTATGGTTTTTGGTTCCCATTTTCATCACCCAATAACCTTTATAGATGTTTATAAACGATGTGAATTACTGCCATGCTACATTTTCTCAGCGACATGAGGATAAGAAAATAATAATCATCTAGTTACATTTTTAGAGGAAAAAACGAACAGTTTATGTAGCTATGAGAAATTTTATTGATGTAGTTTAAAAAGTAGAAATGGTTCACATGACGTAGAATTTACAGTTCTCAAAAATTTCTTCCCGAATAAAAAAATTGTTTTAATTTCATCTGCGATTTTTAATGTTTTGCTTGTGTTTCAATTTTGTTTTATTTCTAATCAAATTTAAGTTTTTAAAAATTGAAAAAAAGATTTTTGTGCCGAATAAAAAGCGAAGTAAATGGAATAATTCTTAATTTTAAGATTTGTTGAACATATACACTTATTAGTAATGATTAAGAAGAAAAACAATAATTTTATCTTATTATTCAATGTATTCGATCGGTAGTAGTTGTGGAATTTGAAAATAAATGATATAATCAATAAAAATTAACAACATTTTTTTTTCATTAGTTGATTTTCAAGTATTTTCAAGCTGTTTGGAACTTGAAGTTTATTTCATTGCTATTGTGGTAGAAGCATCCAGAATCGTTTATTTATTATTGCTAAATAGAATGATTAATGATAATTTGCAAATTTTGGATCCAGAGAATTTTTTATGCAGAAAGAATCGGTTGCAAATGACCTTCATCATTTCCTGACTCTATTACGAAAGAGGAAAACCTCAAAATATTGTTCAAATCACAAGTATCCTTAAAATAAGTAGATAACTGCGTCATTAGTATTAAAAATCAATTTGGAAATCACTCGACTGCTCTTCGATCTCAGACAGAACACTTCACTTTGGATGCCTATTTATTAGATTGTTCAAGCTCTCGAGTCATTGTATGGTCAGTGACTTTATTAAGGTTCTTATATTATTTTATTTGAATATACATATTCATGAATTAAACTTTAGTTAATCAATGCAAAAACTAGCACAATGAAGGCAAAAACTCAATTTTTGATTGATCATGTTCTAGTAAAATGTGTGTTGAAGCAATTAATTTGGTCACGAAAGCTTTTATTTTAATTTTATTCATAAAGCTAATTGAGCTTTATAGAATTTGAGTGCTTTTAAAAGCTGAATTGATTATTTTTGAATCAATTTTTCAAATCTATTTTAAATGTTTTTGAAGCATGAAACATCAAAACCTTAAAATCTTTACTTGAAACTATTCAACTTCTTCCAAACAACCATACAATTGCTTTAAAATTTTCCATTTTTGCGAAACAATGATTTCATATCACCTGCCATAGTTTATAAACACTTTAAACAATAAATCAATAAAGAATATAAATTTTGACTCATAATTTAACAATAAAGTAAATCCAGCCAATTATATGCAACAAAGAAAACAGCTCAGTGAATAAATCACTTTATTGCAGCTATAAAAACATCGTCCGAAACATTTTCAGCTTTTAATTTTAATTCATACCTGAAAAATAAATGAGTCAAACACCTATTCGTCAGTTCCTTAAACTTAGTTTTATTTTTTGAACATTTTCACATGACTTTTATATTTTTTTGGGAATTTTCTTTAAAACTCTTAGGAGCTAGGTTTGATTAATGCAATTTTAAAGGTAGATTTTCAATAGAATGTGTAATTTCTAAAAATATATATATTTGCTTTTTTCATATAATCAGGTCATTAACGTTCTCCTGTAGCTCTTGTGATTTATTTAAGAAAAAAGAAGATTCAGAGGATGGAAATTTACAATAATTACAAGGGCTTCAAAATGACCATAGAAGGTCTTTAATAAATAATAAAAGTATCTTTTTTAAAATCATCACATAACAAGTCATAAACTTAATTACCTTTCTTCATAAATAAGAATAATTAAGAAAAAGTTTTTTTTATACAATATAATTTACTATATGAACATCAATACACTATGCCTAATGAAGTAATTTTGGCGCATTTTATATATCTTATTAATGTTGTTATAAAGTTGCTCACTCTGTCTATGGATTTTTATTAATTCTAGGCTATTTTTATTGGACAAAAAAATTTGTTGGATGTTAAAAATTAAATTTGATGTTTTCAAGGCAATTTTAATTGGTATTGTTGATGTTATGTATCTTCAGATTTTCAATGAAAAGCCTAGAACCAGTCTAGAGCTAGTCGTTAAATTTAAAATTCTATAATATCTGTTATTTGGTCTACTTTGGGGCCGTTCACTTATTACGTTCGCATTTTAGAGGGGAGGGGGGTTTGAAAAATTGTAACAAAATGTAACATAGGGGGGGGGGGGTAAAGAAGTATGTAACTTCCTAACTGTCGTCTGTCTTTTTAAAAAAAGTTCACGAACAAAATTTGTTTACAAATTCACACCAAAAACATTTTTTTAAATTTTCCACTTTTTTATCAAAATAAAATAAGTTATGCAAGGGGGGGAGGGGGTGAAAAAAGTTTTTTTGCGTAACGTAATAAGTGAACGACCCCTTTACAGATAACATTAATCAACATCAAGTGAGTTTTAAGTCTTTATTTTAAAACTAGTAGCTGTGCATCTTCCAATTATGCTTGGCTACGTAAACAAACTTATGGTATTAATGAAATTAAATTAATTTATGCGGCTCCAAAGTTTTAAGTATTTTTTTATGATTCAATTTTAACTAAAATTATTTGATTATGTTAGAAATCGTTCTTTAAAGACATTCATCAAAATTTGAGATTTAAAACCCTCTTCCTCCCTTGTGTACGTTCACTTATTACGTAGCGCTTATAAGGGGGACGGGGGTCTGAGATTTGATGACCGTTCAAATAAAAACAAATTTTTTTTCATACAAATTGGAATCTTCTTGAACCCCCTTTTCCCTATTGCAAAGTTTCAGCCCCCCCCCCCCCCATTTTCAAAATGAAGTATGCAGACCCACCCCTTTAAAAGTTGCACATCATAAGTAGATGATCCCCTCACAAGACACTCAAAACCAAGTTCAGATGCTTTATGTCATGGAAATAAAATTCGATAAATGTCATTTATGAACGATCCCTAAACTAAAATTAAATGATATGTAAAAATGCGCCTTATTATAAGAATTTTATGAATTTACATTTTACAGACATCCAATAAATATTTTCAGAATAAATATTACGCATTAAATCGTAATTAATTTGAAAATAAACAGTTCACTTGCGTCTATTTCTATTTTTATGGCCTTTAACTGAGTCTCAAGCTTGACACATGGGTGGAAAATTTGTTTCATCAAAAATCTGAGCATTTTTTGATTGATACGTTTCTGCAGGATTAATTGGATTAACAACCGACTTACCCTTCATGACTTCAGCAAAGCTTGTTTCAAATGCTGGCGTATTAACAGGTGAATCTGCTTTATTTGTCTCATTTACAGATGTGCTTAATGAATCAATTGATGTCTCATTTCCATTCAATTCAGTGATGTCATATAATGAGCCTCGCAAGTCATGACATTTTAAAAGTTTACATTCACCGCCGTTTGCATCAAGATTATAAATGTACAGAAAACCATCTTCACACGCGACCATTAGACGTAAATCTTTTTCTAATTTTGCAACAACGCATGTATATCGTAGTCCAGGCTCGCTAAGTTGGACATGAGCAAAAGCTCGATCTTGATAAAGCATTGTGCTAACAGGTATAAATGTTTCCATTGCTTTTGAAAATGCTTTCATAATTCCTGATCGTTCGTCTGATTTATCTTCCTCGTCACCACTTTCTGTCAGCGCTAACTTATCTTGACGTTTCTCTGCTGCCTCTCTTGCCTTTTGATCAATTTTAAAGACATGAATTGTTTCAGTATTAGAACTCACTGAGAGGAAACTTCCGCAAATACTAAAATTAAGAGACATGATTTGTGCATAACGCTTAACGCCTCGTCGGAACTCCATTACACGTTGACCATTCTTAGTACAAAATACTCTAATAACAGTTCCTTTTTGACTTGCCGTAGCCAAAAGAGTACCACTTGATGAAAAATTCATAGCCGCAACATTTGAGCTATGAGCTTCAATAATGATCCTCGGTTGTAGATTTCCAGCATCATAGATCTGAATGTTGCCACTATCTTTTGAACACGGATAAGCAAGATGAGAGTTTAAGCTTAAAGTTATGAGACCAGTAAGATTATCAGGTAATTGCTTGATGGAATGAAGTAAACGCATATCACGTATGTTATGAATGTAGATGCTATCCTTAAGACAAACCACTAGTCTAGAGCGATTCATCTTCACACTCAGGATGTTCTTAGGATACTTAAATTCGCATATGTCAGTCCGTTTCTTGAAGTGAACAATCTACAAGAAAGAGATGAGATATTTATGAAAATTTGATCGCAGTAGGCAAATTTTTTGAGTTCAATTTTTATATTCCAAAGGTAGCATCATTGGAACTAGTAGTATCACTATAATTCAAGCTCGAGATGAATCACATGCGAGAAGATCAGAAAGGAATTTACAAAACAAAAGACGGCAAGTGTATAAATATTTTTATTACATCAACTCACGATCCGCATTTAAAAAAAAAATGATAAGAAGAAGAACGCATCTGAATCTCGTGATAAGTCGTAAGGCACGACTACATTGATTGTTTATCACGTGTACAGAAGCGTATATATAAAGAAAAATAATTTCTCGCTAAAGCTAAAACAACAGCACTACAAAATACTGTAGAAATAATAATAAAGTGAGGTCTTTGTACTTACTTTCAACTTATACTGCTCTCTGGTGATAACGACAGAAACCAAACTAGAACCAAACAACCGCTCAGCAATTTTCGTATCAACATTGTTCTCGCTATTGAATATCTCGTCGATCTTATTAACGGAGAGGATGGAGAACAGTTTATAGCCGCATTCATTAGCCACAGATAACGATCTAGTGAAAATAAAGCAGATAGAAAGGGAATTTAGAGATGAATCGTTTGCATATTTCAAAGATGACTAGATCTGTGTGAATATAAATACAAGTTACTTGTTATTCACTGTAGAAGCTAATGAATTTTCAAAAACAAAACTTGGCATTCGCTTATGCTTACAATATTCGCTTTTTATACTTTATTATTGTTTTTCATGGTCGTAGCAGTGGCGCATTTAATTCTACGTAAATTATTAATTTTTCTTAACCCTACTGCGTCGTAAATTCACTTGACAGACTATTGAGAGGTGATTGACACAATGCACACAAAGCATAAGATTAAAAAATCATTTAATAGGATAATATTGATAAGTAATTGAAGGCACTGTCAAGGTGAAATCACGCCACTGTATTGAACACAGCTATATTAGTGAGGGAATATAAAGTATATTCAGTGCTATAAGCGACGAACATACACAATTTTAAACACAACTTGAATATCAGCTGGCCTCAGTTGTTGATACTTTTTTTTTCATCGTTATTATTGTTTTTGTATACATCGCGCCTTCTGTGCTATGACGTCAGTGCCTTCTTTCAACACTTTGTGCATGTATTTATTTTTTTTTGGGTGCTTCTGTATTTTATTACTTATCATATGATATGCAAAATAAGCACTTTACAGCTGTTTAATTGAGAACGAAGATAACACTAGTGCTTTAATTATTTTTCTATAGCCAAAGAATGCATTGAAAATTATTTCAACCTTAACTAGTTTTTAATTTTTTCCTAGTATTCCTGATTTTTTAACTTTAAAATTACTCAAAACTGAAAACGGAATGTTCAGACTTGTATAAATTCTTTTTTGTGAATTTTTCGTACATTCTGTTGGGTTTCTTTGTGAATTTCATGAAAATTATTTTTGTTGCATGATGCAAAAGCAAAGTTTTATTGCACTTGAAAGTTATGAAGTGGAAGGGGGACACTCGGGAGTATTTAATCAGACTTTCATTGATATTTTTTATAAGGATGGAAACATATTAAGTTAGGTTTAGTAAGGTTTAGTAGCCCCAAGACCCCTCGCTTTTATCTACACTGAGTCTGTGACTGTATAGGGACTAGGATCTTAAAAAAATCATATTTCATTTTTCAATTGTGCTATGAATATTTATAATTTTAATTTGTAAAGTTTTTTAATTACTAATATTATTTGCATTACAATAAATTTCGAAAAAATGTTCCCTAATACGGTTTTTGAAAATGCTTATTGAATTAAATTTCTTAATGTCTTGTTTAATCCTTACCGGATTTAAGCAGAAGATTAAACCCCTTAATGCTTTACTCTCCTTCTAAATAGCTCAATTGACTTCTCAGACCTACCCAGTTTTTTCGTAGCTTAGAAGAATTAAAAGAGATTTTTTTGGCTCACTAGTAGCTTAGTAACGAATAGTATCCATAGTAAAAAATTGAACTTCTATGAAAATTTTGAATTTTTTAACTTAATTAAAGAAATTTTGCTATCTTCTCGATTTCATTTTATTGACAATGTCATAAGATATTGAAACTGATACTTAGAAAGTTGAAAAATTAAGGGCCCCGTCGAAAAAAAATTATTCGTGAGTGACGCTTTAAAATCTTAAATATCTCCGAAACCACAAAAGTGACAAATTTCAAAGTTATTTTATCTTGTAGTAAACAAAAATTTCTATCTTTTGACATACAACTTACTTCCTAAAATTAAGCAGTTATGTCGAAAAATCACTTTAACTAAGCGTCACTCACGAATAATTTTTTGGAATTTTGCCATAACTTTGTCAGTTTTCATTGATATATCTTCAAATGTATTTTTTTAGATCAGAAATTTTATTCTCCTTTGTTTGGTTTCAAAAAAAGTAATAAATTGTCCCAGAAACATACTTAAATGAACAAAATTAAGTTAAAAAAGTTTTAACGGTTTTAAATTTTTTGATTTTTTTTTCTGTCGTGAGATGTTTGTTTACAAACAAAAATTGAAATGAAATTTAAAAATCATGAAAATATCACTCAATAATGATGTTAAAGCTCTTAAAATAGGCAGAATAGCTAATGTATCATCTACTTTTCGTAATCATATCATAATATTTGGGAATAATGATTGAATAATTAAGATATTTGAGAATTTAATTTTTGATGTTTTGAAAGATAGTGTTAGTGAATTTCAAATTTAATTTTTCCGTTGAGCCTTAATCCTTAAAAAATCGTTGAGGCCCTTAGGTGCTGTTCACTTATTACGTAACGCGAAAAAATGACTTTTTAGACCCCCCCCCCCTCGTAACAAAATTTGTATGAAAAAAAAATTCCTTGTTTGAACCGTAACAAATTCTAGACCCCCCTCCCCCCTAAAAGCGTTACATAATAAGTGAATGGCCCCTTAATTAAACTTTATTTTTGGTAGTACCTTAGTGAAGATTACAAAAAATTTTCAAGTTCAAAAAAACTTTACTAAGCTAGTAGCTTATAACGAAAAAAACAGGGTAAATGTTTATCATCATAAGTACCCTCCCTACTCCCCATTTCAAAGCTCACTTCAATTTTTTTCACTGAATGCACTTTTGATGCAAAACTTTTCGCATCACTAAGCTAAACTTAATGCCTCACAATTTATCAATATTAAGCCATTTAGCTATTCAATTTAAAATTAATAAAGACACACCTCAGCACATCAATCAAAAGCCAACATAATTCACTTTTAAAATATTCATAAATGCGCATAAATAATTCAAATGCAAAGCAGTTACAACTTATTCCTTATTATAAACATCTTTCAAAGAATGTCCTTGAGTTTAAAAATAAACGACAACTTGCGAATAAGATTTGAGCATGTATATCTTTGGTTGCCTTCTACTCGCGTACGACTTTTAAACTTATGATTATTAATATCATGTAATTTTAGCAAATGACAATTTATCGCAATTAAGGCACAAGTTAAACGAGAATTTCACAATTATTACAAAGAACATTTAATATGGGTCATCAAATGAGCATAAATCGATTATTGCTTCTCTTTGTCTAAAAATATTAATATTCAGCTAATCCTTTATGAACAACAAGTAGCCATTTTTAATGATTAAGCACTAGTCATTTAGAAAATCGATGACATATATAAAGGCACAGTAAACAAAAAATAGTAATAATATTTACGTATAATCTTGATTGAAGTTTATTCTAAAATTTCCATTGCTTGAGTTTTTAGATTCCGAATTTTTCTTAATATCACTCATTTGGTTTAAAGCTTCGTACTTGGATTTTATTAAAGAGAAAAAAATTATTGCTGGATATATGCAATAAAATATGATGTTTTTTGTTGTTTGTTGTGATTGCACTAATAGTCGCAATATAACTGAACCACTGGAATAAAAAGTCGATTTTTTTTCTCTCCAGTTATAAAGATCCAGTGTCGAATTTCATGCCAATACATACGAAAATCTAGTCAATTCAACGATTTTTAATTCCGTGCCTGCCTATTGTCTATGTATTGGACATTACTAATATATTCATGATATCAGCTGTGTAGCTGCTTAATTGTCTTTGTATAGGAACAAGTAGTCGTAAAACTTAATAAAGTAATTTTAAAGCTAATGTAAGTTCAAGTTTAATTATATTTTACACTACTTAGTCTAAAATCAAGTGTAATAATGTAAGATGATTGAGAATCAATGAATCATAGCTGTTAAATGCAGGAAATGGAAAGTGATTCAGGGTTTTGTTTGTAAACATTAAACTAATACATCCACATGAATCAGTCAATGAAAAAAGAAGTAGCATAAAATTTTAGGAATGAAGCTTCGTACCCACTTTAGAAAGTTTCAGAGAGTCTTTAAATCATGAATTTTTGTTAAGCTATATGTGTCAAGTGCATTAATTTATTTTTACTTTGTCATTATCTTTGTGCAATTTGAAAAATTTGTAAGTCATCAGCTAATACGCCCATATTAGTCATGCTGAATTTATCTAAAATAACCGTCAAGTATCAATAGGATAGTGGACAAAGTGTTTGATAAAGTGAATAGCATTTTATAGTGAAATAATGCAATCGAAAAATTAACAACAAAAAGCACAAAAAGTTTTTAAGAAAAATAAACCAGATATTTTAATTGACCTTTTTCTTAAGGTCTTATAGTGAAGAAGATGTCGTCACGTCTCCTGGATCTAGCGAGGAAGTTTAATGTATTCTATTTAAATGGTAAGTTCCAATTTGATTTTTTTTCCTTGAAATGCGACATTTTATTATTGCCTTTATTGTACTTGAGGACGTCAATTTTGTACATTTCTTATCAGATCCGATTGGAATGTAGTTTCGACATAATGACTTTCAACATTACACAATGCTGTAATGAACTTTCAAAAATCTTTATTAAAAAATGCCGACAAAAAATCGATTTTTTGCGCAATGATTTTACTTTTCTGATCATCCATCTTCTGAGTGCATTTATCTGTTCATATTCCATTCATCTATTGATTTTGTACGACCTTACTATATATTTCTAGGATTTGAACGTAATGTATGTAAGCCGTTCGTAGTAAATGGATATCAAGTTGGTCTGAGTAAGTCTCATTAATTATTAATTTTTCATGTTCAGCTTTAATTAACACTATATTATTTTCTATATCCATCGCCTAGTACGTCCTGATGTATTTAATGAATTATTAAAGTATCCTGAAGTGTTTTTTATTCGTGATGTTCTTAAACATGATAACTCGTCTGAGGTACATATTTAATGATTCATCTGCCTATATATGATAAGAGCAATTTTAATGTTTAATCATGCTTTGTCTACTTTATAGACTATAGTTGAACTGAATCCAGCTTATAGGGACTATTCGGAAAGAACTGAAAATGTTGATCTAGTTTTACGTGATATGATGACTAAAGGACTCTTTTCAGCTGCTTTGAAAGGTCTTGTTCCTGTTGCTTTCTGGGAGTTCTCGAATTTACAATAGGTTTAATTAATTTCAGGCTGGAGAAACGAGTGTTATGAAGTAATGAATACGAGCAATGTATCACTGCTGAAGATGGATCGATCAGCTACATCATTATTTGGAATCAGAAATTTTGGCGTTGAAATTAATGGATATATTAAGCATCCTACTAAAGGGTTATGCATTTGGTTACAACATAGATCAAGTATGACTCATTTCCATTCTTAAAATTCCATGTCTTAAAATAATAAATTTTTAAGGCACTAAGCAAACATGGCCAGACAAGTGGGACAATATGGTTTCAGGTGGAGTGTCTGTAGGCTATGGAATTAAAGAAACAGCCATAAAGGAAGCAGCCGAAGAAGCTTCTATTCCGGAAAGTCTTGCGCAGAAAATTGTAAGTTTAGCTCCTTTTAATCATGCCTCGATATAATAAATGTTGGTTGCAGGTGTCTGCTGGATGTGTCAGCTTCTTTTTTGAGAGCGATAGGGGTTTGTTCCCCAATACTGAATTTGTATTTGATCTCGAGCTACCATTGGACTTTATTCCTTTCAATACTGATGGCGAGGTAAGCTAGTCTAGTCTTAAACTGATTCAAAAAAGGGAGCATTAACATATTGTCATTTACAGGTCCAAGGCTTTGAGTTGCTGCCAGCTGCAGACTGTGTAGAAAGAGTATTCTCACCAGACTTTAAGACTACGAGTTGTCCAGTAATTATAGACTTTTTGATCCGTCACGGATACATTTCGCCCGAAAATGAGACAAAATTTACGGATGTCGTAGAGTTATTGCATGTTCCTTTATGCAATCTATTTACATATTCGCGCCAAGCGAAAACCATTGAGAATGGTGAACAGAATGGCCAAAAGTAAAGATAATAAAATAAAAAAATCTGAAGAAATCAATCAACAACAATGAAGCATATATATACAGACAGACGACACAAACACAAGTTTTGATAATATTATTAACATTTTACATAAAGAAAATGATGACAACTAAGAAGTTATTTATTTATGATGATCGTTTTTTAGAGCTTAGATAGATTTAAAAGTCTCAATCTATAAACCTATAATTATTATTATTCTTTAGAGTGAAAAAAAAAGGAACAAGAACAGAATATTTAACAATCTTAAAATCTCCGTATTAATTCTTAGCTGTAATGCATAACTTATTATTTTAATTTAACTTATAAAACTTGTAATCAATCAATCTTATCGACCTAGAATCTTTCTTTCTTTGGAAGATATTTATGAAAATCTCTTGTAATATCCGTTAATGTTTGTCACCGTACAATTCAAAATACAATATGAGCAATTAAATAATGTAATAAACCCTCTCATAATTTTATTAATCTGTACTTACTTTAATTAATCTATTGTTTTTTGGTGCCACTGTTTTAACGACTTTCAGGATTTTATAAATATTCAGTGAAATCCCTGAAAAAACGTTAATTTTTTTGAATTGTTGTGTGTCACACAAAGCGGTATATAATAGTGCAAAGGTTTAAACTTAATTTTAGACAATTTTCACTATCGAATGTCGTGATCACAACATCAAATCATCAATTACAATCTTACGAACCTAAATCATTCTTCTGTTTTATAAGAAGACTTAAAATTGAACAGATTGTATGTTCATATCAGCCCGCGTCACATCAAGTAGTTGTTCTACTTAATACACGATATTTAAGAAAAAAAATAAAATAAAAATAAATAAAATTATAAGTTATATTAACTCTTCCTTACTGTCCATCTACAGTTCCTTGTGCTGTGAATCGTCTAGATTAAGGATACCATCGAATGAAGAAAAATGAATAGACAAATGAACAATTTTAACTTTTTTTCAACATTATCACCTAGCATTAAACTAATAACAGTTATAACTCTGTTTGGATACCTTCTTTCGTTTTCTGAGACAGCTATTAATGTAAGTATCAGTCGCAGCAATCAGTTCGTTAAAAAATATCCAGCATAAATGCTGGGGAAAAAGTATTTTTCATTGCCACTGGATCTTTTTCAAAAACACAAAAAGTCATCTATTAAGATCAATTGACACGTAAATAGAAATTCTAACTTGTTGTTCTTGACTATTTTAGGCACTTTCAGTTATTCCTGGTAATTTACTTCCCTCAACGTTTGCTATTTGGACTGCATTTACATTTTGTTTCTTGGAAATTCACATTTGGGAAGTGATAATTGACATTGTTTGTGTGACTTTATGCTTAAAACTTATAGAGCCATTATGGGATCAAGTCCAGATTTTTGCATTTTTTGCCGTTGTTAATTTTAGTGTTGCAGTTTTATCAAGTTTATATTACTTACTGCTTTATTCAATCACCAAGAATACCGAGATTCTGTTTGATGTAAAAATTCACGGTCTCATTGGATTCTTAGCTGGACTATGTGTAGCAATAATGCTTGTTATGCCTAATTTATTAATTGCAAAAACACCCTACTTTGGAAACTTTACTAATAGGTATGACTCATATGACAATTCTAATGCCTATAAAATATTTTTAACGGTACTTCTTTCTTCTTCAGAAATTTACCATTAACTTTTATGATTATCAGCATAATATTATGGGCATTAAATCTTATTAGTGGAACGTATCCAGTGATGTTTTGTAGTGGCTTATTCTCCTCATTCATATACTTACGATTCTATCAAAGACATTCGAATGGAATACGTGGAACAAATTCTGAATCATTTATATTTGCTAAGTAAGTGGACGTGATAAGATACAATAATTACCACAGTTCTATATAATACTTTTGGTTCCTTTTTTCAGTTTTTTTCCTACTTCAATCCAGCCAGTAATAAATTTATTAGTCAATCCTATTTATAAACTGAGTCTCAATGTTGGAATCGTTAAGCATCAGCCTATTATCCCACTTAATCATAGCTCCAGTGATATGCGCTCCCTGACAATGTCTATAACACCGTCTGATCAGCAAGACAATGAGAGAAGACGAGCAATTGCATTAAAAGCGTTAAACGAGAGGTGGAAAGCACTAAATGCTGGAGATACTAATAAATCGCAACTACCAAAGTCATTTCCTCAAACGAATGTGTCTTCAAAGTCACAATCATCACATCATAGTCATCATGGACATAGTCACAGTCATCAGCATGAGAGAAAAGTTATTCCAAAGTTTAATATTGATGAATTAATAAAACCTATTCCTTTGCCACCTCCTCCATCAATGATGCAATCATCGCCATCAGAGACAAGCGATGCACAAAAGTGAATCCAATTTGCTTTAGGTATTAATTAAATTAACTGAAAATAATTATGTATAAAGTTTTTAAACAAAGTGTAAATAAACTGATGATTCAAAAGTACTGCAGTTCCAAAACTTTCATTTCTAACGCTTCATCCATCTCATCTTTTATTCTCATTTGATGTCACATGTGACTGGTGTGCTCATATTTCTTTATAACGGACTAATTGAATTTTAGTTCAAAACCATTCAACAGCTTTGAGTTGTCGAAAACAATACAACAGTTTTGTTTTTCAAAATTGAAAAGTCCGTTTATTTTCAATCAGTTTAAACTTTTAATTTTGAAGAGATATGACTGCACTAGTGATGATCACATTAATAAACGAATTTCTAATTCTGGTTTTCTTATACTTTCCTTTGAACACATTAATCTTTATTTATTATACACAAAAATAATCGATTCTGCAAATATGTGGATATCCGGAAAAATTCCTCATTCTCATTATAAGAGATGTCTACACATCCATACTTCAAGAGCATCGAAGCTAAGAATATAATTTGTGTCAAAAAAAAAATTTCTTTCAACTTTATTTCCTTTATTATCATCAAAAAAGTATTACTCATTATTGTTATTTATTATTATCCATTAACACATTCACGGTTTTCATTACCACTTAAATATGATTTTTTTAGTTTCTATTTTTTTTCATTCCTATTTATCTTTTCTCAATTTCCTTTAATATTCTCACGGCTTATAAAATTTAAAAGATTCAAATTCCGAGTATATTTGGAAAACGTTTCTCTTTAGCATAAATCAACAACATAATCCAATGAATGACTTAACAAATTTTATGGATTTACCATTTTTATTTAAATTTCGAAAGTTGAGTCTCTAATCGATATAGTCAACACAAAAAAAGAGATATGAAATTTTCATGATATTTGATGATAGGAGTTAATTTTCTTACATATATGTTATTTCTCTTTGGGGATGGAACAGTAAATTTCTATTATTATTATTGTCTCTAACATAACGTCTTCAATGTTTCCCTTTACCTCTTATTTTCTTTTTATTTAAATAGTTATAGCTTTTCTTCTCGAGTCACAAACAATGCTCAGTACGAATAAATCAATCGAATTCAAATTTATAACGGCTTTCAAAAATTCAAAAAATCTACGACTTTCCAAAATTCAAAAAAAAACTTCTTTCAAAAATTCAAAATATTTACGTTTTTCAAAAATTCAAATAATAAGTAACGGTTTTAAACTGAAATGAAATGAAAAAAAGTGAACTACTGAACGACTTCTCTATAAGCTTTGAAATAAAAAGCTTCAATTCCATTAATCATGAGCATTAAATTATAAAAAACCTAACATGAAATTTGACTTTACTCTGGTTCATTATGCATTGAAAATTGTTGGTGACTCGATAAAATTATAAATAAATTAAAATTTTTCTAAAACAAATTCCTATAAAAAATAAAAGCTTTTGTAAATCAACTCATTTTGAACTTTTAGTAAAACTTTAAAGTTTAATTTTTAAAAAACAGTAAAATAAAAAATAGAAGTAATAAAGATTCCATTGTATATAAATATTTCCTTTTCAAATCCTACTTTTTACCATCTTTTAATTATTTATAATTCAATTTTCGTCCTCGTTTTACGTTCATATCAACTGATTTAATTGAATAAACTTTTCTTTTAAAATTCATAATATGAACAATTAGTATGAACCACATTTCTTATTATTTTATCAAGAGCAGTCAACTTCGGCTGAAGTGTCATAAAAGTATCTTGGAAAAGTAATGAGATTAATAAGCAAAGTTACGTCTTTCGAAAAAGTTTCTGTCACGGAAATGGAAGCAGCATCCTGCTGAAATTTCATGCTGTTGGCAGTAAACAGCTATTGTCAGTACCATTTTTCGGGCAGTGTAAGAAACATTTGCTGTTCGTGCCAGCTTCACGAAATTCAACGTTGTAGCTGTGCTTAAAATCTCAATGTGCCTTTTTTTTGACATTCCAGTCGAAGTTGGTTCCCCTTGTATTTTAGTAAGTAAAAATCATTTTTTATGAAAAAGCAACTTAATGAAAGCTTCATAAAAAGCTTTTTCTTGAAATCTTTTTAAATGAATGGGAGCATCTTTAATCTTTCGATTGCTGTAACTCGACTAATTCATGTGGCTCTCCAAGTTCCTGTAGAGATAAAAAATTAATTATTAACTTAAATAGAACTTTCAAAACAGCTTTTGAAGCTTACTAATTTTTGGGCCGTTCCACTCAGCTCTCCTTTCGATAAATGGTCCACAAGAATTGTTCCAAGTGCATCGCACATAACGTTAATTGTCGTACGGAATCGATCACTATATAAATGTAAAAATTAATTAATTGTTTCATCATCAGAAAAGCTTTTAAAGGAACTTACAGTAGCCAATCAACAGCAATAATTATCGTTACATCTTCAGCAGGTAGACCGACAGTATCAAGGACCATGACCATAGTAATTAAACCAGCTTGCGGAATTCCAGCAGCACCAATAGAAGCAGCTGTTGCCGTTACACTTTAATAACATAATTTATGTTAAAATCCTTATGCTCTATAGTTTTTAATATTTACACATAACCTACCTCACAGCAACAATTTTACCAAGTGTTAATGCTTTATTACGTAATTGAGCAATAAATAATGCAGCGACAGCCTCATAAAGTGCAGTGCCATCCCTATTTTTTTGATTAAAATAAATAAATTAAATGACATTAAATAATGATGTGCTACTCACATGTTAATTGTGGCACCAACAGGGACTACAAAACGTGTCACTCTTGGATCGATTCCCATATTATCAAGACAATTAATTGTGATTGGCATCGTTGCTGAACTTGAGCCAGTACCAAATGCGGTGGCAAGAACTTGAGACATTTTTAAGATGTATCCGTATGGAAGTTTTCGAACGACAATATAGAAAATAATGGCTATTGTACCAAGACCGTGAACAAAAAGACCGAACATGACAGTGATGAAATATTTTCCCAATTTTCCAATGACTTCAGCGAGTGACTCCATCTCAAGAATTTTAGCGGCAATCAAGAAGAACACTCCAATTGGTGAGATCCTGAATAATTAATTAAATATTATTGTTAAGTAAAGGTTACAATGGCTACTTCACGTACCAGATAACCCATCTTGTGATAATCATCATAGCTTCGCTCAATGAGACCAAAAAGTCTTGAATTGGCTTTCCACGTTCACGCATTTTACCGATTGTTGCTCCAAGAACAACACTGAACATGACCAAACCCAAAACATTCATTCCTTCACGCCATTGACCCTTGATTTTGAACGATGTTAATGGAACTATCGAAGATTATAAAGAGATGTTAGTAAAGGTTCTAAGATTTGTTACTTGTCTGCTTTTGTTTGTGAATTAATGATTCAAAGCAAACAAGTGGTTAAAAGAAGTGAAGATTCTTTAAGATTTGTGAAAAGTTTCTTAAAGAATATTCAACGTAAAGTTAGTTCCCAACACATTGTTAGATCTCTTGCACCAACCATATAATTAAAAAATTATTTATCTTCAACAGTTGCCTTAAAATTATCAATAAAGGTTGACATCCCTTTAAAAATTCTATTTTTAGTATGAATAAAATTCTTGGTCAAGAACCTATTCCATATCAACAAATTTAGAATCATTTTCTCTGTAAATGGCCATTTAACTTTAAATCATTCTCTCTCATCACACATTCTAAAACGTTCACAATTTTGTATTTATGCTGCAAAAGCACCCACTGTTTTTCAATCAGATTCACACATATACTGTATATTAACAACTGCAGCATCATTGTAGTGATTTCTCACTCGGATGATATCAAGTACTGCTGATGATTTACAGAAAAAAAAGCACACAGAGTATTGTGTCATTGATATGGGAAAAACATTGAGGATATCCTCAATTAATAGATGTTATACAAATACAACTGTTGATACTTTCATTTGAAAAATACAAGCACATATTAGAACCCGATTATTATGTTATACATTATGGTTATTTTAGATCATTAATGAAGTTGATCACCCAAACAAATAAATATAACACTTTGGTTAGTGGTGCATATACCATTTTATGGATTATTCATGTTCTGGCAGAATGTAATGAGTTTCATCCTAAACATAGCTAGCTTTCTCTTCCATTAAAAATTTATAAGCATTCTTTATTCTTCTTCACCTATAGCTTATTGAATGTTTATCATTGCTATCATCATTGAAGTGCGAAGTTTGAAGCTTGAGTGACAAAAATTAATTTTAAAATTTTCATTGCTTTATCTTTTGTTGCAAATATTCGCAAATCGGTTATTCAAATATGATTAGTTAAGTTTAAGTCAATATACTAATGCCAAAGATGCAAAAGCAATGAAGTTAAAGTTTCGCATCTTTTTTGCCTCAAAAGTGCGATTAGAAATCCAAAGTTTCATAAAACATCTTATCTTAATTAAGATTTAATCACAACAAACCATTTCCATCTCCTTTCAATGAGAAAACAACAATAAACGTTCATAAAAAGCGACTTAAAGAGTTACCAAATTAATAAAATTTCCAAAAAAAAATCCTTAAAAGAAAGAAAAAAATTTTGTCAAGCGGTAGTTGGGCATGCAATGAAAGCCCACACACCAATTTATGCCAATTAGATACAATATCAAAAGCTTAATTAAAAATTTATGCCTGATTGGTTGATTTTGAAAAGAAATAAATCGCCTAACCTTCTCTGCCTTCATAATCGGTAAAATTAAACTTGCTGAATGTGAACTTGTTACGCACATCAGCGGACAATTCGGAAATTTTTATTTTTGTTCCATTACCCATTTCAGCGGTGACATTCTCTGGTGGCTCTAAATGTGTACGATATTGGAACATCGTGGCTTGAACAATATTTGGCGGGAATAAATTTCTGTAAGCAAATAAAAAGAGAATTTTTGATAAAAAAAATTTAATCATGTGACTCTTATCACCATCAGACAAGACATATGTAATTTATTGCCAAGGCGATGACTTTTTTTTTCGTTCTTCATCTCTTCTTCTCCAGTTGTTCGTGTCGTCGTTAAAGTCACTTGACAATCAGAGATATAATATTTACCTCACTAAATCAAGAAGTGTATCAGCCGTAAGAACATCTCGAGAAACTTTTTCCTCTTCTTTATCATCCATCTTGTGTCCTTTGCCAGGTTGGAAAACAGTTACGAGTATAATACCGAGTATTACCGCACAAATAGTCGTTGTAAAGTAATATATAATAGATCTGTAATTGGAGATTATGTAGAGCAGTATGACAAGGCTAGCAATTCATCAATTTACCTGAATGCAATTTTTTTCGATAAACTTAGATCTAGTCCACCAATAGCACTCGTAATTGATGCTACAATCAATGGCACAATCAGACATTTGAGCATCCTTAAGAATAAATCACCAGGATATTGAATGTACATTATGTCACGCTGTGTCCAATTGTGGTCGGATTTTTTTAAAATAAGTCCAAAAATTGTGCCTCCAACAACACCAATGATTGTTAAAATTGTCAGCAAATTCTCTCCTAAGACACTCCGACGATCTCTAGCTCTACCATCTCCTGGTCCTTGTTGTTGCGGCTCATCGTGATTCGCCGTGTGATTTGTCGTCATTTTTATTACTTTTATTGAATAATCTTTATGCTTAATATTATCACTTTACCAGCTAAAATTGTTTTATTGTCTTTTTTCGTTACGGAGATTTTTTTTAAAAAAAATTATTCTAATCTGTTGCTCCACGTCTTATGTCTTGTTAGTTTCTGTTGTTCATCCGTCTCAATGCAACAATCTCGGAATGGATCTATAAATAAATGCACCAAAATAAAATATGTGTCAGTGATATGTGGTCTATACTCAAATGAGAATTGTAAACTTTCAGTATTTTTTGTCACTTCCAAAAATTTTCTCTTTTTGATACAATACAAAAATATTGTCAAACAAATAAAGTTTTACTCAAACATCACGTAATGAAACATCAAATATAGGATTTTATAAGTTTATGTGCGTAAGATTTAAAAATTAAATTGCGGAAATTAATCTTCCAAGTTTCCGCTACAACACTAAAATTTACATATTTGATACACGATGAAAGGGACAAAATTATTTCATCATTTAAATTTGTTTGGCATACGAGTTTATCAACACACGAATTGTTTATGGTGTAATATGCTATGGGAGAAATGATGATGCAAGGTTTTAAAGTGTTTCGAGAATTGAAAATTGGATTAAAATAGAGAATTGAATTATAAAAGATTAGGTTGAACTTAAACTTTAAAGTCTTCTCTAGTTACAAATTAATGTTTCTTAATCAATCGTAATATTAATTGATAATTAATCAAGATTTACCAAATTAGTTTAAAATCACTGAAAAGCAACTTGAGGTTATGTTAACACAACTTATGTTAAGAATTATTAATTTTAAGAATTGAATTATAGCGCTTAATTGTTTTAGTAACACTGTTGCACAATTTAAGATAAATAAATTGAAATTGAAATTAAATCAAAAAAAAAATTTGAACTTTAAAAGTTGGAAGAATTCCGATTGTTTGTTTTTGATTTTTATGAAGGAATTAAATTCTTGAAAATCTTATTACTAATGTTTTAAATCTTTCAAAATTGGATTTACTTATAATTTTATTTTCTTTTCTTCTTGGACTTCAATTTCATTGAATTTAAACTAAGTTGGTGAACCTTGCAAATTAATACAAGAATCTACATTTTGATGTTCAAAATATTTCATTAATTTCTATCAAATAGGGTAAATACTTTTGAAAATTGCACACTCATATGAAAATAAAAAATACAAATTTCTCTCAGATTATCCACTTCTGATAATACTTTCTTCATAAAATCTTTGTATAATTATTGTACAAATGCTGTTGTACCACTTTGAGTTGTTTAAAGGCATCAGGAAGATGAATTCCTTCAGCAATCAATTTTTCATACAAAACAAAACTTTGCAAAATATAAAGTTTTGGGATAGAATCAGTGGCTTTATCAAATATTTTGATATCCAAAAATGTAGTTCTTAAGCTGTTTAAAATTTTGGAAGTATTTCTTTTGTGAAAGAATAAGCGGAAGTGCCCAAAAAATCACTTTTAAAAAACTTGTTTTTCACTTTTGAAATTTGCACACTTTTAAGCTTAGGAGACATTGCGAAATTTGATGTAAACATTAATTCTTCTGATGCAAACATTAATTTTTCTGATTCAAAACATTAATGTTTTATGCCTAAAATAAAGATAAAAGAGAATGGTGATTTTATAAAATTAGAGGATATCTGAGGATATATTTTGAACATGTCGGTTAAGCAGAATTTAATGCAAAGGGAAGTCAGAAAATCAAGAAATGTGTTATGCATCTAAACTTTCGATACAGCAAGTTTTAATTCTTACAAAGAATAATTGTATAAAGCAGCATCTAAACTTTCGATACAGCAAGTTTTAATTCTTACAAAGAATAATTGTATAAAGCAGTATAAAGCAAATTAAAATAAATTTTATTGGATTTCTTTGGAACTTACCGACGAAACATAATATTCTTCACCCTTAAAATTGTAAACATATTGTTTGTTGACACAAATTTGATTCAAAAATGTCATGGATTGCTATCAAAAAAGTGTGCAAATTTTAAAAATTTCCATGCAAATTTCAAAAGTTGAAAATAAAATGCGAATATCACTGCTGATAAGCATCGTAGCTTTAAAAAAAGAGGTTGGAAATGAAAATTTTCACTATTTTCAAAAGTTTAAAAACCTTAACCAAGCCTTTCAGTTTCACGCAAATGAAATTTTCATGAACAAAATTGTGCAAATTTCAAAAGTATTTCCCCTAGATTTCAAATGCAAAATTCTAAAGCAAATTATTGTTCCAATAATGTCAATTAACGCATATTCCACAGCTTTGTCATGATTATACGTTAATCAATTCTCATTATAATGTAATTATGTTATCGTTTATAGGGCAATTGACTAATGAACGCAATAAAAATCATTCATTTATGAATTGTAAAACCTTTCATCTACGCCAATAACTGCAGATCACAAGCAAAAATTTACTGTCTGTGGTCAGTACAAAAATTATTTTCGTCTAGTCAGTGATTAAACGATCATCAAATTCATAGATATGAAATATATTGAAAAGAATTGTTATGTATACTGTCTAAATGAAGGCAATTTCACTGAGTCGGCATCTTTTATTCTGAAGATATACAATTAAGTAGTTCAATGATGTGTTCTGAAGATAAGTCTATAGAAAATGCTCTTTATATCATCAGTGACATTAGAAGTTTGATATTGAGATGTCAATTTTGTTTTTTTACTGTGAAACTTTCCAATTGATAAGTTGTAACATAGTTTACAAGCCAAATATAACCAAGCATACTTAAGTTCTAATATAAAATTACAAAACTCAATTTAAAATACGGAAATCTTCTCAATGAAAGTCAAAGTAATGATTCAATAATTGAATTAAATTGAAAATGATCACTGTCAATGTTCATATAGATTTATAGCAACATCTTGCCAATATTTATCGACTGTACACAAACAAATTGAATTTTGTAAATAAACAGGTGAATGACTACATAAAAAATGAGGTAGACAATTGGACAAATTTATGACAATTTACAAAAATTCTCATTTAAACTAGCTAAAATTTTTTCAAGAACTTTATTTGCATTATCACCGATAACTGATTTCCTTCATTTCTGTTTAACAAGCACTTGATTTTTTTTATCGATGTAGAAAAAAGTTAAAAAAAAAAAGTTTAAAAACAGTGACAATGATGACGATGCTGATGATTTTGTGTATATAAGAACACTTAAAATGCAACGCTTGAGAGCAAAAAGAATGTCATTATTATGCCATTTTTTCAAGATCTACAAATATACATTTTAGTATTTCCTAGAACATTATACATGATATGCTTCGGATTTTTTTTTATATGTTTGTTTCTTTAAATCCGAATGAACTATGCTGTGCTCAGCAAAAGATTTTTAATATCTGCCAACCTCTTTTGTGTATTTTCATGCTGTTTTGAATAATCGATGTTTGGTTTTATTTCGTACTTTAACAGAATTACAATGAATATTAAAAGATTCAGCTTGTCTGACTTCAAGGAAAAACTTATTCAGAAACAATCAGAGATTCCTTTCAATGAAAGCTTCTGCACCCACTTGATGTCATTTTCTTAAACTTTCAATAAAGCTATCTATTAGAAATTTGAACGTATATAGCGGATCTGCTTGAAACAGAATTTCTGATTAAAATTTGCTGTCTGTTTTAAAATTTATATTAAATAAGTTTTCAAAAGCTTTCGAAACATTATTTGATGATGTTTTGTTACTCAAATATTTAATCTAAAAGTTTTAATTACAATATCAAGTTGCTATTGAGTCATGTCAAAACAATACTTCGATTTGTCTTTGAAAAGGGTTGGAAGTTCTAGTCCATTGAAATTTTTATTGACTTCGTCTTGTGGAATTGATTTATTTTACTGAGAATGTTTACTGTTGTTATGAAGTGAAAAACTTCAATAACATTGCGGTTGAACACTTCATGGGTTTTGTGATCTAAAGACTTTTGAATTGAGTTTTCCTGAGTGCTGACTTTCATACTATTTATTATGAAATCTTGCAGGATTCAATAAAGGAAATAACTTTGATTGTTGACAATAATCATCAATTATTTTGTGCAAGTAAATACTAGTATCCATTCCGTAAATCATCAATAAGAACCAATACTACTACTTAGCTTTGGAATTAAAAAATTTCATCTAACAGCAATCTGAAAATGTCTGACATACGCAGAATGTAAGCAGGATAAAGAACTGCATACATTTGCTATTTATTTATGTATTAAAGCTTCTTTTCTGTTTTTGATATGGATATTAAAAAATGAATTATTCACATTTTATGACTCCTTAAACCTTTCTGCTTGTTAAATGAGCATCTGCGAGAATTCTAAAGACTGTTGCTATTGTTGCAAAAATTTAAGTTACTTGGTCAATATATTGACAAAACAGGAGAACTTTTAATCACTCTTCAATTGTTTCTGTAATCTTTGTTGAATATTTTCTAAATGTTGGCAGCATGTGACTTTTATATTCAACTCTTTTGTTTAACACTGATGATAAATGAGAATATTCATAATTCTATCAAATCACTGTAAATATTTACTTTCTTACCGTCACGTTTATATTTTAATATCAATCATAAATTACTTTGGAACCAACGGTCTAATATTTGACTAAACCTGAAGTTTTTATCTTTAAGTTTGCTTTGCACGAGACATTAATAAATAATTTTACGATTAAGAAAGGCTCCTGATGCTATTTTATTGTAATGATAATGATAATGACATTATATAACAATTTTATATCTTGAAGCAGTGTTGCATTCAAAATTTTTGTTATTTTTTTGACTTCATTAAAAGGAAACTACCCTTAAAGTTGAAAATGAAGCATCATAAATTAGAATCAACTGAATATAAATGTAAAAAACCATACCTTAGGAACTCCATTACCAAATCATTTACCACACATTTTGAACCAAAATTTCTATTTTATGCAAATTTAAAATCACTTCTGTCAGTAATAAAATCTAAGATTGCCCCAATTGACTTCAAAATACTTTATTATCAGGGTGGGGTGATCAAATTGTGGTTTATTTTTGATTTATGATTTAAATCATTTTGTATGAAAGATTGCTTAAGTATGCAGATGTTGGTATAGCTGTACATGATAAAGCATGAATGGATCTTGCTCCATATGAGGAACTAGTCACTTCCAGTACCTTTAAAGC